TGCCCACCGGTGCGCTTAAAGCGTGCTTACTGGTAGTCTTGAAAGACAGTACATCCTGATATATGAGCATAAAAATGTAGATATGCAATCTAGAATGTAGATTTTCAACAACTGTCACACTTTGCCGGGAGTAGATTAGGATTATTTGTTCCACAAAAAGGTGAACATTGAAAATATGCCCGCTTGTATGGTCCAGCATCTTGTAGGACAAGCTTCCCGACGGAACCAGCAATGTATTTTCGTAAGTGACAAACAGTGGATACAATTTACATTTGACTACAAGGATTATTTGCTTTTCAATAAATTGCATTTTAGTTGGTGCAAACGCGCTTAATATAAGAGAGAGAGAGAGAGAGAGAGAGAGAGAGAGAGAGAGAGAGAGAGAGAGAGAGAGAGAAGAAGGAAGATTTCTGTTTTCTCAAACCTCTTAATTTCTTTAAAGTGAAAGGATTAAACAAATCACAGTGTTGTATACATGAAGGTATAAAAATGATGAATTTATTAATTCTGCTAAAAAAAAGACAAGAATACATGCAACTTGTGAATATTGAATCAACCTCCATTTCATTATAAAAAATATGTTACTTGTATTTTTGCATTGACACCTTCACTGGACCACAGCTCAAGTGTAAATCCCAGTCATCTAATGACCATTTCTAGCAGGGATAAGACTGCCATTTATTTTTAAAAATTTGCAACAAAATATGGTGTGGGGTTAAGGGGGCCAAAATGTCAGAAACCTGTTGATAGTAGGAAGAATCTCATCCCTGTTTCATGCTGGTTTTAGAGGTTAGTTGTCTGGCATATCTAGCTTGATTAATAGTTGACATACAGCTCACTTATTAGTGTAACTGATAATATATAGATACAGGGTGTTGACACTCTCACCTTCCTAGCCCATCTGCGGCACAAAAAGCACACAAAAGAACATTTGTCCACCAAGAACTTTCCCTCCTCCATCACCAAAGTGCTGAGTGCTAAGTTGGGAGACAGCAGGCACAAATTATAAAGGGCTGGCATGCCCTGGGACAGGTTTGTACCAGTGGCATGAGACAGTAGGACAAAACTGCTTTTTTTTGGGGGGGGGGGGGGGTATCACCAAAATATTATTGTGACGTATACTAAGAACCATCCAACGAGAAGTTCTCACGCCAGTTTTATTGAATCTATATCTGGACTTACAATTTTAAAACCAAGCCAAGCTGCATCCTTTCCAGGAATAAAAAGATCCGGCTATTGTCTCTCGCTCAAATCAGTTACCAATACTATTCAGCAGAAAAAGACGCAACGTGGTCTCCATTATTTATAATAGCATAAAACTTGATATAGAATCGTGGCAATTCAAATATATGTGTTACCTCAACAGGAGGTCTACCAATATTACAAAACTTTAATTACTCAATTTACATGAGTGTTTCTATTCAAAGATTTCAACAACACAAATTGTTGTCCGGCTAAAATGACCTTCTGTTGTTTGATTTTAAACTTGCCCACCTTATTTTGTCGGTTAAGCACGTCTTTCTTACTTGTCGTCCCCGTTGAAAATAATACATAGACTATGTTACATCCAAAGTTTTTGTCTATTTGTACTCATTTTATAACGCAAGACAGTCCATTGATGAACTCACCTTCTTCACGCCTCTCTCAACCTGAACGGGTTCAATAAACATGGATGCCGAGAATCATGTCAAGGTCAGAGGTCGAGTAATCTCAAATCTCGTGTGGAAATTAAATCTATTTCAAACTTCTTTTTGCTGTACATATCTTAAAGAATGACTAAATAAAATAAAATTTAAAAAAATTAAATAATTTATATCATAGATGGTTTTGAAACTACGGCAATATTTCTTTAAAAGCACATTGAAATTTGGAGAATACCTAATGGACGTACACATGTGAAAACCTAGTTATCCTTGGAAAAGTTTGCGGAAATGTCTGCTTCTCTTGTAAGAAAGGGATTAGAACTATTTAAGGATGACTTAGAAACACTTCAAGGTAAGTTATAAAGTTATTTCATAACGATATGAGTACTCAAAAAGGTTAAAGTGACCCCCCCCCCCCCCAAGTTGGACGGAGTACATGTAGGGAGACATTATACAGTGTAGTACTTTGTACACTGCTTGCCCTTTAATTAGTGGGATAGAAGTAAACGTATAATGATCCCACTTACAACTGTGTATAGAACTGGAGTGCCAGATACTGCCAACATGTACAGAAAGTAATTGTACAATCTGTTTATCTAATTAGTCGTAATTATATCTCCGTTGCAAACACAAAATTATAATTTCACATAAAATATGTATGTAAAAAGTTAGCACGATTTGGTGATTACAATCACAAACTCACAGCTCTAAGTCACAAAATGCTATTATCCTTTTTGATGCCTGCAAACATGCAGACAGTATTTCTTCTAGTGCATTGTGTGGAAATTAAATAGATAGAGGTGTAGTTTAATTATAATCAGTTCAATCTATTGTTTAAAAATCATGTAAATGAATATGTTCATTTTTTTTTTCAGACTTTAATAGCCCAAAGAAAGGAAAATCAGAGAAGTCAGATAGCACAAGTTCTAGAAACCTACTGGGCACTAATAAAAAAGGTGTCAAAAAGCAGAAAGAGCGATTGACTCAAAAACCAAATAAAAACAAAGTGACCGTAAAGGGAAAGAAACTTAAGTCTGTAGTTGGTGAGTATTTATTGTCATATCTCTAACAAGTTTATGAAGAAACAATCCCATTTTTTTTAGATTGGCTCACTGTGAATGACACTGACTTAATCAAATATCTATAACATGTAATATTTCTAATGCTTTGTATGATTCCCTTTGATCAAGTTTTATATTTCACAATAAATGGTCTTTTTTATTAGAATTCAATTAGTTTTCTCATGCTTAAGGTATAAAGAGAACATATTCATATCATATTTAGCTTTATTGTGGCCAACAATTTTGATATAATGAATGTGTTCTTGTATTACAGAAGAGTACAGGAAAAACAAACCAAAGGACAATACCACTGACAATTTGTATTTTCTACAGTTACTCTCCAACTCACACAAACCTCACTCATCTGTGGTGGAAAAGGTCAGTAAACAAAACTTTTAGACCCCATTCCCAGAGATTAGATCGATCTACTTTAGATCGACCTAACTCCCTGGGGGTTCACGCTAAATAGCTGTCAGCCAAGCAGGCACAAAAGTTAATTACCCCCTTACAGCTTGTAGTAGGCGGGACGGACATTTAAGCCGGATTATCTGACAGTAATCTAGTGAGACTCCCCGTGGGGATAGATCGATCTAAAAGCTCTGGGAATATGCCCTTATTTATGTCTCTATATTAACTTTTACTGAGAATATTTTTTGGGGAAATTTGCTGTCACAGGTCTGTATAATATCAGGTAATCAAGTGCAAATATTAATGAAAAATAAACTTCTCTTCTCATATTTAACCAACTGCTTAATAAACCAGATCCCAAAAATGACACTATGGGAATTTCTCAGGAACGTTTTACATACAAAAATGTAGAATGCTAGGTGATGAAGAAGTAATATTCATGAAGAATAAACTCTGCTTCTGTTTTGCCAAATACTTTTTAAACCAGATTATTCCAGCATCATGAATTGCATAAAAATTATTTTAAAACATCTTAAATGAAATTTTTTTTTGCAAATTATAATTCATTTCTTGAGGCTGTAGGAATAAAAAATAAGTTTTTTCTTTTCTCCAAGTTTTTCTTAGTTATCAGAGGTATTGACACAGTTTGTTGAGCAGTGATTATAATTCATTATTTACAGATAATGGAGCAGCACCGTGGCAAACTCGCCAAGGACAGACCCCCAGAACCCATGGTAAAGGAGGAAGGTTCTGTATTTACAGACAGGGACTTTGACAAGTTTGAAGAAGAATACGATTGGTGACATCCACCCTCTGCTGTCACTTTGTGAGCCTTAATTTTTACAGAGCACTTTGGAGGAGGTCATAGAGGAGAAGTGATATGCTCTGTCATGACCGTTGTTTGTACTAAAGAATAAAGGTTGTGAGCCAAAGGAAATAACATTTTTCAAATCACACCCATTCTTTTTGAACAGAAGGAAGCTAATTGCACCATGAATCCCAGGAATCAAAAAGCTGGTCATTATGCAGATATTAGTTCCTGCATTCATTGGGAGGGAGGCACAGAATAAAAGGCAAAGAATTGGGATAAATGTTAATATTATTTATTTATTTATTGTTTCAAGAATATTTTACAAGGGTATGATCCAACAATTACTACAACACACTACCTACAATGTAAAGTACATGATGGATGTTGACATGACAGTGATACATATGTTACATTGATGTGGATATATCTAATAAGTTGCATTCTGTAATATAGTATTGCCTCAATGTGTTCCATTATATTTTTTAGGAAACTGCATTAAACTTTGTGTATAGCCTGCTACACTGAGAGCTATGTATTCTCAGAGACAGCAAGGCTGCTTCATATCATTGTTCTCTCAGAAAAAGGTGATGGATAATCATTTTTCAGAGGAAATTATTATTAAAGAAATGGAGATTATTAGCTAAGGATCAACAATCTCTGGTATTTTAACATGATTATTGGATTGTTAGTACAACTGTTATTAATCACGATCGTTCATTTTTGTGATAAAGCAGGAAATGTGCCTAGATTGCCATGGATACTGTTACTAGCATATCTGGATATAGAATCAGTAACAGATGATCCTTATGCAGTGGTCATCATTTCCAAAATACCCCCCCAAAAGCTTAACTGGTATGTTATGGCAATTTCAGAATTCATTATTGCACAAAGACAAGATTTTGTGCACTATGTACGAGTCCAATTGTCATGTACACCTAGTATGATATTTCTTCACTGCTTCATTTCTCCTGTTTATCTTTTCCAACACTCCTGAATCCTTGTTTTACCTAACAATGGATGGTAAGAATGTGTATACAGGTTTCCCAAATACCATTTGATATGGACTCAGTCCAGTTTCCTGTCTGTCGTTTTTCAGTTCCATTAAAGCTTCATACTGATCCTGGTTGCTCTTAATACATTTATACATAAAGTGCTTTATGGTTTTCACTGCTGATTCTGCCTTCCATTCGCTTTTGGGTAATGTGGACTTAATTAATATGTTTCACACCTCATTTCTGTGTGAATTGATCAAACTGACTAGATGAAAACTGAGGTCCATCATCTGATACAATGGTGATTGGCACACCACAGTTTGCAAAATGCTTCTTTAGAACTCCAGTGACTGCATTCAAAGTAGTCTTGTTCAGATAGTCTATGTGGGGAGGGTACGGTTCAAGGGTGAAAAACTTAATGAAGAGTGTTTGATCTGTAGCCTTTTATTGATCTAAACTACTATCTAAGACTATCTTCTCTGCACGAGTGGCACAAACTGACACTTTGTTGCAACTGGCTGCAGTGCCAAATACAGTATCCTTCCGGCTCGGGTGTGACAACTTCTTCTTCGTCTCTCTCATGCACAATGTCTGCTTCTTTCAGTTTTCTAGCACTTACACCTCTCAGTAGTAATTCCTTCTTGTCCTCTGCATTCTTTGGCCTTTCCCATCCACCTCTCTAACTTTCACTTAAAACTCTCTTATGTTCTTGTGAAAATTAAGTGTTTACTTTTCTCTTTCTTTTACCCATATTGACAGCGCGTTATAACCCTATTTGGGTACGGCCCCTCCTTAAGCAGTCTAGTTCATAGTTCCATGTACAAGTTATCATAGTTCATTTTCATATAAGTTCTTGAGCCCATCTAGTGATGTTTTCCTTTGCTTCCTTGGTCCCATGTCTTGTGTTACAGGTTGGAATGTTAATGTTTTTACCAGCATTTTCTTTGGCTAAGGTTACCTCTCTTAGGTCGGGGACAGTTTCAGAATTAACAGAAATTTCAGGAGGATAAAGTTTCCTGATAGGGCAATTTGTTGTGCCATACTTTGTTTTCAATATTACTGATTGCACTATTCCATCGTTGCCATAGCTTAGATGTGTAACAAGTCCTAAATTCTACAAAAGACTAGGTTTTATATCTTCATGAATCAGTACTATATGCCTCCAACTTAAGTAGAGTTTTGACTAGCTCCATTCATGTTCTCTCTTTCTCTCAGTGCAGTGAGATATTCAGAGGTCTATCTCTATATGAAATGTACATTAACCTCATTTACGTGTTTCTATCTTTTTGTTAAGTGTTCTTTAGTGATTTTGCTATATTGTGTATACGTTGGATCCAACTTTTCATCCTCATCAGTCAGTGGGTAAGGTAGTGTTTTGATTTGACATTCATTTAAAAGCATTGATGGAGTTTAAGGTTCGTCATCATTGACGTATGTAATGGGATAGTCATTTAATGCTGCTTCTATCTCCAATGTTATTGCTGGAAATTTGTCTAACGTGATTCAGCTCCTCCTAATGTCTTTTTCATTGCGTTCTTTGCCAGACCAATCAATCTTTCCCAAAAGCCACCAAACCAAGGTGCTCTTTTAGGAGTGAATTCCCACTTAACTCAGTTTTGACTCAAATAATGATGTACATCTTCATTTTGAAAAGTTTAGTGATTTCATTGGCAGCCAATGATAGGTTGTTGTGTTTTCACTAATCATTTTCATAGGAAGTGATCTCCTTGCTGCAAATCTCCGAAAACCATTTATAAATGAAGACGTAGGTGGATGGCATGAATAGGGGAGCACATAAATAAACACATAATACATACTTATGCTTCATAATTTGTCGGTGCGACCGAATGCTTTGTTTCTGCTTTTTCATTTTGTGTAGAAAATGACACTTTTAAAATTTATGATTATTATCAACAGACAACACAGATTAATTATATTCATCAGAAAATATAAAATGATGTATCAAATACTTCACGTGAATGTTTACCGCAAGTTTTTCTATCAGGGGTTCCGAGTGATTTAATCTATTATAAGCTTCCATGTTTTTGTTATAGCTTTTGTTATATGCTATTATGACTAGCAACCCATACTTGTGGCCATGTTTAATTACATGAAAGACACATTAAAATGATGAATTATGCATACGCAGAGGCCTTTGCCACTAGTTTGTATCGCCGCAAATAATAGCCTCGAAACTAATGGTGATTTCGCCATTAGCGCACGGCCGCGATTTGCGAAGCTTTCAAGATATGGGATAGCGCACGCTTGCCATGCTTGTGCAAGCTCGCCATAAGCGAAGCTTTCGAGATACGGGGCCCTGGTAAAAGCTGTAGTTTTTCACTAAGTCTCCTGTCTTTAATTCCAAACACAGTTTGATCTCTAAGATGCTCCTCTCTGTCCTTAAAGTTACAAAGTACTGCAATTTCGTACAAGGATCTTAAATACTGTTCAAACCCTTCATGTTTGCCTTGGGTATGGTGATGAAATTTAGCTCTCTCATGCACCACGTTAGTTTTTGGGATGAAGTGATTATCGAAACATTCCATTACCTGTTCATACGTAATCTGTGTTTTTTCCTTGTCACCATCTGCATCGTTTCCCGAGCCCTCACATGGTAAATTAAACAAACTGTAGATGTGCTCAGCCTCTTTGCCCATTGAGTATATCAATGCACTAATTTGCACCTCGTGGTCTTCGCCGTTTAGCTTTGTGGCTAGTCGATACCGCGAAAATCTTTGCTTCCATTCCAGCCAATCGCTCGGCGATGAGAAGTTAAATTGCTCTGGTGGACTGAACTTCGGCATTTTCACTTCTGACACCATGTACAGTACTGACCAAGATTAATGGTCAAGTATTTCTGCAGAATGAAATAGAATGACACAGACACGTGTTCTACTGTAAGCCATCTTTACTGAACAACCGCAAACCCCACACTGACATGTGCACTACACACATACCTCAGTATTTTGCAGTTCAGAGTCAATTGTGTCTGGATTGGCAAAATCCTCTTCCCCTGAACTGTTACTCAACTCCCCTTCTTCATTTATAAATGACGATTCTGAAGAAAACAATACGGCAGATATCTTGATGCGTTCGGTTGGCAAGCAGATTTTTACATGACCTCTGTTCGTCAATCAAAGCGTCAATCAAAAAAATCTGTCCAATGGCATGGCTTCGTCTTTGTAAGCCCAGTGTAATGCGAACTTTGCAGTTCTAAATCTATTGCCTTCAATACCTAATGAACTCGAACTGCGCACATGAACATGTACCTGATCTAACAGACTGTGTAATTTTGATAAACTATTTCTACCTTGACCCTCAAGGGTCATTAGGGATTGAATGTGACTGAAAATAATGAGTTCCCTACGACCAAACCTCACTCCTAGCAACTGACACGCCTCTCTATACTTTTTGCTAGTCAGCGACAACCCTTTAATAACACCTGCAGCCTCTCCAACCAAGAGAGATTTCAAGTAAGAAAACTTCGTTACCTCAGACAACTTGGTCAACTTCCAGTAGAATATTTAGAATATCTGCTGGTAAGATACTTAGCCTCCTGGTCTCTCCATCTTTGCTGTATGTGGTACTGGAAAAGTTCAAACGCCTATAGGTTTTCCAATATATATCACAGTTGATTTGGGGATCAGATCCACTGCAACATGGGTCACTTCCTTTCCATGGCTTCTTGCTTGGATTTCAGTTTGGCACTATTCTCTCTCTCAATTTCCACCAACCTCTCCCAAAATTTAACTTTTGTTACAGGACACTCACATCTTGCCTTCTCTAGAATATGACCCTGGTCCTCTGGTGTCTTTGCCTTTAACCATTCTCCAGTCTTGTTTAATGTAAACATCATATGGGCCTCATTGGTCAGGGTTGAGGCACTGGGCCTTGCCTTCACCAGGTGATCTAGGAGGACAAACACCCACTCAGGGAACTTGTTATGTTTTAAGGCAGATGCTGTCTCTTCCTTAACTTCTACGATACTGGGTGTATTGAATGTTGTCAAGTACGAGGACCGCTTGTCGGGCTTTATCTGTAGAAATCCCAATTTCGCGTCCAAATGAAAACACTTTCTCGTTTGGGATACCAAGGGCCACTTCCTCTATGGTTTTCATAGGGTGGTGTTCGCGCTTGATCACCATGTTTAGGTCTTTTGGGTCAATGTAAATGCGAATCTTATCATTGCGTATCAACATGATCATCGAGCTAACCCAATCAGTGGGTTCTTTGACTTTGGTGATATAGCAGTTTTCCTCCATCTCACGTAATTTAGCTATTGCCTTGGGCTTGACTGTGGCAGGAAGTTTGCATGCGGGGTGTACAACTGGTGGTACAGACTCGTCAATACAAATACTATACTCTCCCGGTAGGGTACCAGTAGTTTTCACAAGATCTGGAAATTCTCAGAAAAGTTCATGATAGGTTTCCATTTACGGTTTGGGCATTTTGATCGACAGTTTTGGTGCTTTCAAAAATCTCATCATGTGTCTTTGTTTCTGTTCAGATGTCTTTGAGTTCCACACTGTCTGGTCCACTGCATACTTAGAAAATTTGGCATCCAGTTTGAATTGTCCTCGACCAAAAATGCCCTTTCTACATCCACGTATTGTCCTTGGACCAGCTGGTGGAGTGAGCAGATGACCATAGGAATATCTTGAAGTTTCCACTCTGCCTTCATTTTCATAATTTGGTTAATTGATTCTGCATTATTATTAGTCCACCCTGAGTTGACTTCTGGGCATTTCATAACAGTTTGGAGGTTTTGCTTTAGAAGTGGATAGATCCTCTGAGAGTAATATATTTCAAATGTGGGTACTGTTCTCTGGATATGTTCTAGCACAAATTCATGGCGGAGATCAAATATGACTTCATTGTCTGCAGATGCTAGTCCATTTTGCCCAAACAATAAGTTGTTTATCTCATTCCTTGTGTGGAGAGGGGCACCAATGCTGTCTTGAAGCTGCTAGCTCATATTTCCCTTAAGGTGGCGTTGACAACTGATGATACTGACAAACTCTCATAGTTGACCAATAATGATCCTGGCCCTCTGGTGTCTTTGCCTTTAACCATTCTCCAGTCTTGTTTAATGTAAACATCATATAGGCCTCATTGGTCAGGGTTGAGGCATTGGGCCTTGCCTTCACCAGATGATCTAGGAGGACAAACACCCACTCAGGGAACTTGTTATGATTTAAGGCAGATGCTGTCTCTTCCTTGACTTCTGCAGATGCTTCGCAGAGGTAAAAAAAGATGGTCTGAAATGGCCTTTGCTATGTAGGTGGCCCATGCCATCATTACATACTGTAGAATTTGTTTGATGCTTAGTTGTTGTCACTTTCTTCTAAGAGATGTGTAAGCACCACATCAGGAGACTTGACTTCATGAGGGAAGGGGCTTTCTCCATTGAGTATGGGCGTTGTATCTAATGCTATTTTGGTGAAGAAGTCCTTGAGGATGGTGTAATTTTTGCTTATTTCAAGGATTTGCCCTTTTCTGTCTATAAGCCTCCACAAGAGGAACCCCATGGTTCTAGCTCCTGCTATGTAAAGTAGAGTCATCAGGTCTGCAAGCAACGCCTTCAGCAGCAATTTGGTTGCCCCATGTACCTGCTCCAAGAAGTCTCTGACCTTCTCAGAGTAGTGAAATACAAATGCTGCATTCAAAAACACCACATTGAACCAATTGCCTCTGAAAGGAACCAACTTGGGTGTAATGTTGTATGTGTCCAACATGTGGATGTTGAAGTCCCTCCAGCAACCATTCTTTTTGTCAGTGCCTCTTGCAAAGGCCTTGCTGGCAGTACTAACCAGCCTCACTATTCCAGATTCAGTGCTTTTGGTGAAAGAAGCAGTGTCTGGCCTTCCAGCAGCACCCTGACTACTGACATCACTCTGCTGTTCAAATGTAACAATTCATTTGTTGGTACTTTCTGCTAGATTGACAAGGAGATGCAAGCCACAGAAGAAATTGTACATTTTGCCATGTGCAGCCTGTTCTTCTTGTGACAGCCTGGCCCAGTCAGTGCATACATCTGGCAGAATGAAAAGCCTGTACCTTTGAAGGAGTTCATTGAAGGCTTTGCAGATTGCTGCTTGGTCTGACATGGTGTTTTTAATATTAGCTAGTATTTGTTTTCCCCACATTCTGAGAACATGTATAGTGTTGTATCCATGCTATATATGCTCTTTCTCATCTGTAACAATTTCAGCTGTATACAATCTTGTAGCCCCAATAGCATCTGGAAACTGGCATTTGTGAAGTTGACTTAAATGTTGTGTGTTTCCTCTTTCTTCTAAAAGATATGTAAGCATCACATCAGGAGACTTGACTTCATGAGGGAAGGGGCTTTCTCCATTGAGTATGGGCAATGTACCTAATGCCATTTTGGTGAAGAAGTCCTTGAGGAGGGTGTAATTTTTGCTTATTTCAAGGATATGCCCTTTTCTCTATATAAGCCTCCACAGGTGAGATACAACTAATTTATGGAGGAGCCCAATGGCTCTAGCTCCTGCTTTGTAAAGTGGAGTCATTGGGTCTGCAAGCAACGCTCTCAGCAGCAATTTGGATGTCCCATGTACCTGCTCCAAGAAGTCTCTGACCTTCTCAGAGTAGTGAAATACAAATGCTGCATTCAAAAACACCACATTGAACCAATTGCCTCTGAAAGGAACCAACTTGGGTGTAATGTTGCACGTATCCATCATGTGGGTGTTGAAGTCCCTCCAGCAACCATTCTTTTCATCAGCGCCTCTTGCAAAGGCCTTGCAGGATGTTCAAACCAGCTTCACTATTCCTGATTCAGCCCTTTTGGTGAAAGAAGTGGTGTCTGGCCTTCCAGCAGCACCCTGACTACTGACATCACTCTGCTGTTTAAATGTAACAATTCATTTAGTGGTACTTTCTGCTAGATTGACAAGGAGATGCAAGCCACAGAAGAAATTGTAGATTTTGCCATGTTCAGCCTGTTCTTCTTGTGACAGCCTGGCCCAGTCAGTGCATACATCTGGCAGAATGGAAAGCCTGTACCTTTGAAGGAGTTCATTGAAGGCTTTGCAGATTGCTGCTTGGTCTGACATGGTGTTTTTAATATTAGCTAGTATTTGTTTTTCCCGCATTCTGAGAACATGTATAGTGTTGTATTCATGCTATATATGCTCTTTCTCAGCTGTAACAATTTCAGCTGTATGCAATCTTGTAGCCCCAACAGCATCTGGAAACTGGCATCTGTGAAGTTGAATTAAATGTTGTGTGTTTCCTCTTTGTGTTTGTAGGGTAGGATGCCATCTCCAGTTAAGCCATTCAGTCTCACTCTGTCTGCTTTGTCTTAGATTGTTGTCACTTTCTTCTAAGAGATGTGTAAGCACCACATCAGGAGACTTGACTTCATGAGGGAAGGGGCTTTCTCCATTGAGTATGGGCGATGTATCTAATGCCATTTTGGTGAAGAAGTCCTTGAGGATGGTGTAATTTTTGCTTATTTCAAGGATTTGCCCTTTTCTCTCTATAAGCCTCCACAAGAGGAACCCCATGGTTCTAGCTCCTGCTATGTAAAGTAGAGTCATCAGGTCTGCAAGCAACGCTCTCAGCAGCAATTTGGGTGCCCCATGTACCTGCTCCAAGTAGTCTCTGGCCTTCTCAGAGTAGTGAAATACAAGTGCTGCTTCCAAAAACACCACTTTAAACCGATTTCCTCTTAAAGGAACCAACTTGGGTTTAATGTTGCACGTATCCATCATGTGGGTGTTGAAGTCCCTCCAGCAACCATTCTTTTCATCAGCCCCTCTTGCAAAGGCCTTGCAGGCAGTTCTAACCAGCTTCACCATTCCTGATTCAGCCCTTTTGGTGAAAGAAGCGGTGTCTGGCCTTCCAGCAGCACCCTTACTACTGACATCGCTCTGCTGTTTAAATGTATCAATTCATTTAGTGGTACTTTCTGCTGGATTAACAAGGAGATGCAAGCCACAGAAGAAAATTGTAGATTTTGCCATGTTCAGCCTGTTCTTCTTGTGACAGCCTGGCCCAGTCAGTGCATACATCTGGCAGAATGGAAAGCCTGTACCTTTGAAGGAGTTCATTGAAGGCTTTGCAGATTGCTGCTTGGTCTGACATGGTATTTTTAATATTAGATAGTATTTGTTTTTCCCACATTCTGAGAACATGTATAGTGTTGTATTCATGCTATATATGCTCTTTCTCAGCTGTAACAATTTCAGCTGTATGCAATCTTGTAGCCCCAATAGCATCTGGAAACTGGCATCTGTGAAGTTGAATTAAATGTTGTGTGTTTCCTCTTTGTGTTTGTAGGGTAGGATGCCGTCTCCAGTTAAGCCATTCAGTCTCACTCTGTCTGCTGTGTTGCAGTTTTTTTAAATTTTTTTATTTATTTTAATATTTTTATTTTTGTCTCTAAGCACATTTCATGTTAAAAGGTAAATCCCCATCTCATAGTAACACAACCTTGGAATGGAAAAAATGGGTCAGACAATTTGCAAAATATCAAGATATACAGCATGAAAACTTTAAAATTTAGGTATAGCTTTGTGAACGTGACCCCATGGAAACATCTTTAAAAAAATGGCCATCTGCTGTTGGCCTTTATGTCCAGATATGCTAGAAACTGCATCCAGTTGGCCAATTTCTTTGACAGTAACAACTGTACATTGTGTGGTGCAGTATATTTATTTAAAGTGGTGCAAAAAGGGTGATTTTCATATGTACTTTGTTAAATAAAATTATATATTGGTTTTATCTATACTTACTGAAATGTCTCTGATGAAAGATAAAAATAAAGGCATAATTTTATTATTTTGACAGTTTTTTGTCACTGAAATCAATTTGCACATACCACTTAGTACCTTATCTGATTTCCATACGCAATCTGAATACTTAACATTATGTTATTTAGCTGTGAATTGACATTTGACAGATGGAAGCCATAGTACTTGTTAAATAATTGAACAAATCATTTAGAAGAAATCAATATCAACAAGTGATTAAACAGTCGAGACAGAAATGATCAATGAAGCATCTAACGTCCCCCTGCTCAGGCTCTGGTATATAACATTCATTTTAAATCTTTATAACACAAAGTATAATTTACTGTGACATTAAATCTGCTTTTTTGATAAAAGGAATAAGATTGCTGAGATGATTCAACCGTTGAGTCATTGCTTTACATTTTTTTCTCCTATTACATAATGTATTTTTAAAGGCTGTGTACAAGTCCTTGAATAACTTTATTATGCAAATAAACAAATTATATTATTTTATATTTATTTAACTTTATTATGAAATAATGATGCACAGCCTAAAATGTGTTCACTTTTAGTCTATGGTAGCATAAATAAGTAGAAAATGGAAGGGTGAATTCACTTCTCTCCTGACCCCATCCAAAAAGAGTATTAATTGGATTTAATTATGGTGCAAATCCATGTATTGTTCGGATGCTGTTCTTGTGGTCCAATTGATTTTTTCTTTGCATACATAATTGATTAAGATTAAGAAATCAAAGCAGACTTGTTGTGTTTTGTATTGATCAGACTCTTATTGATAAGGCATAGGTGCTAGGAAGATTAAGCATTGGACATACGACAAAAAATGGTCATGGAAATATATACGTATTTATACAAATCCAAACTCAGAATTCCAGTACAAGTTTTTGTAATCAATCATTCTGTTTGCATGCAAAACATTTAGATGTTGTCCTGCTGCAGTTCAACTATTGATTACTAATAGTAATTACCAGACTTGCTTGTTGAATGTGACAAGTTAGAATGGAAGATGAAACTTCACCGAAAGAGAAGCTCTTTTGCAAAAGCTTCTTTGTTTGCACAGTTTAGAAATATTATGATATGTTTCCTTGGGTTTTATGTCACACTTGTTTTGCTGGTTATTCCTGGACTGCAGCACTCACCTGCTGGTTTCAAAGGTAATGAATTTTTCCATAATACGAATAAGGGCAGAGGAAGGAGATATGATGGGATAACTTATCAGTGTTAAGAGTGATGTGTGAAGGTTGATATCTAGTAGATGTAAAGACATTTGTTTTTAATTATTATTAAAATGGGTTAGTTGTACTCCTTTTCAACTTTGCACTGAACTTTTTAACTTTGGAGTGATATGGTCAAATTCTCATATGAAATCCTTCATTTGACAATTTAATCAGAACATTTGTAGAGATAATCCTTTTATTGCAGAATCATTGGGCAAAAAACTGTCTCCTGGAAGACAGCTGAATACCAAAATCAATTCGCCCAAAAAGCCAAGAGATGAATTTGCCAATATGACAAGTGAGAATGTGCAGTTTTACAAGTTGAATGGATCTGGAGACATTTATTTATACTCTGCTTTTTTCGATCCTCGCAAACAAAGCCAACATTGTGTCCGCATACTAGGTATGTGGCCAAATGCAAGGAAAGCAAAATGGGCTGCACCAAGTGTACCGCCCACTTTGTACTGCAGGTTTTCAAAACCTCACAACAAACCTAAACTTGTAAAAGGTGCTATCTATGAATTCAATGAACATCATAATGCTAGGTTTTCTGGGTTCATATTGACATGTAATGTCAGTTCACATCCAGAGAATGTAACAGTTTTGCGATCCAGCCATATTGAGGATGATGAGGGTGTGCAGTTGTCTGTGATCCCCTTGGTCCCCCATCTGAACCCCTCTGTCAACATGACCCTGTGTATCCCACCTCTTTTTGGTGCAGTAAAACCAGAAAGGCTGGTGGAATTCATAGAACTAAACCTGATCCTTGGGGCTCAGAAATTTGACTTTTACATCTATGAGGGTCAGGATATGGATGAAAAAGGAAAAAATATTTCAGCAGAGACTTTAAGAGTTCTTAAATACTACAGCAAGAAGAAGATTGCCAGACTTCATTACTGGTTTTTTCCATTGAAGAGCAGAAGTATGTGGTACTTTGGACAAGTAGCATCTTTACATGACTGTCTCTATAAAAACATAGGCAGAACAAAATATCTTTCCTTTCATGATATTGATGAGTTTGTCATACCTATTCAGAAAAACATGTCAACTTTGCAAGAAATGATGGCAAAAATTGACGATGGCAAACACTGCGGCTACCAAATTAAAATGACTTACATGCAAGTGCCAAAAAATAAAGAGCCTCTTCTTTCATCTGAAAAAAGAACAGCAGATGTAAGCAGTGTGCGAACCAAATGCATTGTGAGACCAGAGAGGATATTTGAGATGGGAATCCACCACATTAGTAAACAAAATGAAGAACGTTTCACATCTGTCATGGTTCCTGGAGTTGTGGCCCTGGTGTACCACTACAGAACATGCAGTCCTAAATACAAGTTTAACTGTAGAGTGTTCAGTAAAGAAAGTGTTTTGGAGAAATATAGGCAGAAATGGTTCGATAACACAAATGCTGTTTTAAGTGAACTTGGGTTGCGGAGATATTTTCTCATTGAATAACAACAGGTGCAAGTACAATATCAAAAGGGGGGGGGCCTTTTTACTGAGAAAGTAGACCCATTTACCCTTTAGTCAACCCAACTTGAGAAATGGCAAAGAACTTTCATTCAGATCTGACCTTTTCTGGCCAAGAGGGAAGTCTGTTCTAAACCAAACACCTTGCAGTTCGTACGCTCCACCCCCACTCCACCTACAAGTTGATGTTTTTCTGGGACTTTACACAGCTTCAGTCTTTAATAAGTTCTTAAATGATTCAATAGCCGGGCTGGGTTGAAATTAACCCTGCAAAAGTGCTCACTGCTTGGCTCACTTTCCAATAATTTGTCAAGTCATTTAGTCCTTATTGCCAGTGTTCAGAGAGCTGCAATGAACAATTTTTCTTGGTGAATTCAATAAAGCTTACTTTGAGACCAACTGAGGATGTGTAAACTTGAACCTGATATTTTAAAGTGGGAAATGAATCCTGGGAAGTGTTTAACCACTGAGGTTTATAGGTCATTAGTTAACCTAATCAGAAAATATGTTTAAGACTAGTTATTTGTTTTTGTCAAAATCTAACGTGGTCTTTGTAATATCAATGATTATCAAGTTATCAATTACCTAGATACAGACTGTAAGATGGATGAGATTTTTTGTTGTTGTTGTGCATGCAACCAGGCTTATAAAATGTAAGACCAATATTTGAAGCTACTTTGTAGCCTAACCTTCCAATTAACTTCCTGATACATCAGATTTGTTTAAAAAACTGATACTTAATTAACAGTTAACACTGCTTTTAATCAGAAATCAATATCTCAGCTGAAGAGGACATATGATACCCACAATTCACCTTGTAAATGATTGAAAAAATTGACAGCTGTAATGGAAAATTGCACAGCAGGGTACAAGATAATCAATAGCAATTTTTGATGTTTGATTACTCCAGTCCTCTGGTGCCTTCAAATTGCTTTTAAAGCCATTTGTAGAATATTGAAAAACATCTGATTTGAATGTTATGGTGACAAATTCAGGTTGAATAAGAAAAATACCTGTTAAGCTCATACATGTATAGGTGTATTCTTATAAAGTAAGTACTGTTTGTTTTTTCAATTTGTATATTTGATGGCTTAACCTGTCCCAAGAATAGTTTAAAACGAGTGAAGATTATACTGAAAATATTCAGGTCAATCCAAGAAAATCATTCTCATAAAACAATCCAAAACATTGAAATCGGAGTACGCATGTAGAATAACATGGAAGTCTTCGTGTTACAAATTCTTTACATGCAATTATAAAAGATTTATTTATTATCCATGTTTTGAGTTCAGCATCTTTCGCGAAAAACTAAAGAATATTTTCAGAATAAAGTGAAGCATATGTCACAATTCCCTATGATTAATATGCCAACATAATCCAACAAAACCAGGAAATGTGCAAATATGGACAGCTTAAAAGAGATTTGGTTTGGTATCCTGAAATTCATCCAAGTATTCATCCATACTGCACGCAGGTTATAACACAATGCCAGGTGCTGTGCGTGGATTCTTCTATTCCTTCAGCAGTCACAATGATTCTGCATCATTGAAGGGAGCATCTCCGGAAACATTTACAGTTCAACTAGCTGTAACAGCTCAACTCATTGCTACATTATCTCAGAGTCAGTGATTTCTAACCAGACCTAGACAGTAAATGTTTAGGCTCAATTAAACTGAACCAAAATATTGACACATGAACCCAAACTATGGAGTGAAAAAGTACTAACTTAAATGAAATGTGCTCAAATTTACAGTATTACTTGTGTATTGATTGGTTTGTTTTGCTCCAGTCAACTGGTTCAGGTTCATTTGGCCACTCCCAGTGAGTATATGCCCAGTTTGAGTGTTTCCACCCAGTTAGGGGACACACACTGTTTACAGACTTCTGTGAACACAGACCATCGAACCCTTCTGTGCTCTTGATGCCATTGCTCTAGGATTATTGATTTGGAATCGATTGTAAAACCTATAAATTAAAGCTCCATTGTGAAGGAATATGTACTGTATTACTGGTCATACATTGTAAATAATTACAAAAAATTACATCATTTTTTTTTTTTTTTTTGTTCGTGCATTTATATTTTGGTTCAGTATATAATGACAGATGGTCAAGACAAGCTCAATATGGTCTGAACCGTTTCACATAACCTGCTGAGGTAGCACAGTTCTAGCCTAAACTTCAAAGCTGGACTGCACATATCATCTTTGAGAGTTCTTCCTTCAGTGATTAATATCCTGTTCCTTTACTAGTTGATGCTGGCTGCATATCCTCATCGTGAAGACCGGCACTCTGAAAATAAAAAAAATGCACAATTTGATTTTGTTTCATTTAGTAAATAACTTTGAACTTAATGTATTTCTGTAAATCAATAAATGTGGAGGCTGGGTGGTTTTATTTTCATTACTATCATGGCAAATGATACGTGTTAATAGCATTTTAAATATAAATATCAATTTTCTTCCCAGGAAAATCAATAAAGAAGAAAATTTTGCAAATGGAATGAAATGCTAAACCATTGCATGTGATAAAAGACATACACACAACTAATTAATGTTATAGAATTGCAAACAACTCTACTTATAACTTGATTATACTTCTCTCAGATTACTGACAAAGATGAATCAATAAATTATGGAAATAGCACCCCAAAAACAGAATACATAAAAATTATTGATTACATTAAAGTTAAGCTTTTCTTACACAATAAGGTAAAATGTGAGGAGAAATGGTTGATTCTTACAATAAAATTTACAAGAAACATTTCTGACTACTCTTTTTTTCCCTTTCCACATCAGCAGGGAAATCAATAAAGTCCCCTTTACACTGGACGGCATCCTTTCTGTGTCCTGCAGTATTGCCCCGTTTGAGAGAGAAAGAAAAATTAATACTTTACATGCCAGCAACTGGCCAATAATTGAGCATTCATTTTGCAACCAAAGCAATGCGTGTGCCTCCTTTCTACAACCAAAGCGATGCCAGTTTCATGGTTGCACATAGGACACAGAAAGGGTGCTGTCCAGTGTAAAGGGGGTTTAATCACTTGCCTTCTGCACATACTGTGGATTGACAGCAATGTCTCTGTCCATTGACTTCAGCTTGTTGTCCAGATCAATGCACTTCTGCATCTGAAAGCAAACGTCTAACAATTCAGTCTCCAAATCAACTTGTTTTATTTTTATCATCTTATCTGTAGACCATCCTTTTTTTTCATATTATTTAACAAACAGTGCAAAAATATCAAATTTTGCACCCAATGACAAATCCAGAAACACCAATTACAAAATATAGGGTTCATCTTCCCTTTACAAAATACCCTGTTTCACGTTTCACCTTGAACAGCATGACAGAATACAGAATACAATATATAATACTTGACAAAAATAAAATAAAAATATGACTTATGGTGATAATGATCAGCAATATTTTTCAAAAAATATATATATGTATGTATATAGCTACAAATAAGTGATTCTTTTTTTAGTAATTTTTTTAATTGAAAATTATTTTTAAAAAAAGGAAATCTTAAACTGAAGAATTAAGAGCTTCTTGGTGTGACTAGTTGTTGCTTGAGACAGAGATATGAAGTTGCCATTATGTCTGACCCCACTATCTTTCAAATCCCACTTTATCTTGCTTGATTTTAATAAGTTGCAAGACATTGGGCTACTTCAGATGATTTCCACTGGATGTTTTTGTTAAATGCTTCAAAGCAAGCATCTGTTAAGTCAGCACTAGTGGTTGTAACCTACCTCCTGATCCAACTGCATTAGCATGTCCACACTGTTGTACTTCTCTGGGTTGTCAAGGAAACTAACCATTCCGTCCTTCTGATTTATGGTGGCAAATATTTCGCCATCTTCAATCTAAGAAAAAAAAATGTTAATAACTCTGCATTACTCATACCCATATACTCGGTAACTCAAAGAAATGATTGTATCATAAAAAATTTAATTCTATTAATTTCTTCTGTATTGTCTGAAACTTATGGGCACTTCCCAACTCAAAACTTCATCAAACCCAAACATGCTTCCAGTCCCAAAGTATCCTGGTTATATTTAAGAATACTAGGTATCCCAACTGAAGGCAAGTTTAATAAATACAGCAAATATAAGCTAAAGGAAATGTTTCAAGTAAGTAAAGTGCATAGGCTTTTCTGCAGTAAGTCCATTAACACAAGACTGCATACATGTATGAACCCATTATTTTTTTTTCTTGAAGAAAAATCTCACCATATGAAGAACATATTTTTCTGCTTCCCTTGGTGTTGCAAGCTGCACCCTGTTGGCCATATCTGCCAGAGACAGAGTCAGGAAAGTCTGCGTGCAATTAGAATAAATGTTTAAGGCACTTCTTATTACAAAAAATAATAATAAACAAAATTTAACAAAAGTAAAAAAAAATGCTGTCAATAACTAAGCAAAGACTGATTTAAACACAAATACAAGTCATTTACTTCTGTTAGGGAAAGCAAACCAGAAATCATATGAGATTACATTTATAAAAGTCATTTACTTCTATTTGGGTAATAAAACCAGAAATTGTCATGGGAATACATTTTTCTTTAAAATACCCTTACCTTGGTAAGCCTTTGAATATTTTTCTTGTACAGGGAAGTGATACACTGCTTGATTAAACCCATGTTGTTGTCCTAAAATTATTGAGATATCTGAGCAAACTTGCCATGAAAGAAACTGAGCATGTTTAAAAATCTACTTTCATAAGATAAGCCTTTACATGTAACATAGCCATATTATATACATTTAGTTTTAAATCAAAAACAGAACCCAGTATCAGGTGATAAAACACAAAACAAGGTAAAACAAAACCAGCAAATATATGTCATTTAAAATCTCTCTTACTCTTGTAAATTGTTCCTGGTTTTTGGTCACTGCTGCCCTTAATTCTGTTGGATTGTTAGTTCCATATGCAGTACATACATCATGATAAGCCTGGCAAAGGGGCTGTGGAGGAAAAAAGAGCACTTTTAATTCTTATTTCAAATAAAATCACACATTTTAAAAAGAAAAAAATTGTGCAACTCAAATAACATAAACTTGATGTACAACTAATATAACTATGAAAAACTATGGTGTAAACATGAATACTAGCCATTTCTTACTTTAAATATGAAAGAGTTAAGTGCCAGCTAGTTAAATCACTATTTCTCTATATTCAATAACTAATGGAAATTTTCAATTTCCTCACTCATGCCAGTAATTTATTTTTTCACGATTGAAGATACTCACAACAATTGGCATGAAGCCAACTCACTTTTCAATTTACTGAGAAATTATAATATCTTTAAAGATATCAGATATCAATGCAAACCTTTATGTATCTCAATACCACTTGAGATGTGTATTTAGGGAGGGTGGGTACCTAAAATGGTTAAAGTTAGGTCAAAAATAAGCTGCAAAAATAATGTGTATTTAAATATCAATTACCAATATAAAAGGATTCTTCTTTTAAATACTGGTACAAAGTTTGCAAATTAACAGATTTTAAACCATCTGTTGGATACAATTCCTTAACATCTTTGGTACATAAAAAGCACCACTGAAAATGTTTACTAGTATTAATCCAAGTTGAAGAAAATTCATTTTGAAGAATATATTTCCCTACAGCTATTTATTTAAACACCAGGGGCAGCTGTACAGGTGTAACATCAGATAAGATTATGTCATACTACTTACTTTTCCATGAAGTATCAGAGCAACTAGCAGGTGTTTTTTATAGGACTCCAACATAATGTGACTGACTGCCATACTGGGAGTAGTTATAGCCTAGAATAGATAAACATATCCTCATAAATCTACATAACACTTTTGGTGCTACCTGGAGATTATGAGAAGCGGCACGTTTTGTTTTATTCTTTGTAAGTGTAGACAACAAATATAGTTGTCTTTATATGTAATTGGTATAACCAGTTATTATATGTAATTGGAAATGAAGTGTGACAAGTTTTACTTTAAAAACAGTGAAAGTCTTCTTAACATTTTACATGTACTTGAGATGATGATGATGATGATTATTATTATTAGACAAGAACACCTACTATTTCAAAGAAATATAATGCTCTGTCATAGTTCTTCAGTCCAGTGTAGATCATTCCTCCATAGTAATAGTAAAGCAAGAAATGGCGGGCATCATACTGGCCTCCCTGTATAAATCATTGGAGTATAAATATTGCATTAACATAGGAGCTTGACTTGGGGGTAGCTATAATCATAACAGATGTCACTATTATGGGGCATTAGTTGCATTAGTTTGCATTGACATTAAAAATATAGGACATAATGTGTGAATTCAACTGGTTTACATTGTCTTAATATAACTTATATAAAGTTATGACCTGATAATGCAAAACTTGTGGCTTAATCTGTCTTCTGTCCTAAAGAGAAATGTTTACATCACTACTTTTCAGGAGAAAATGTATAAGAACTTTGGTGTATTAGTGGTTTTTAACATTTCCTTTATATACTTTTTTGTTTGGGGGGTGGGGGAGAGTTTGTCAAACTCACCTCTTTACTGATCTCTGTTATGTCAGCATCTAGAAACTGCAATGCTGGCTTAAAACATTTCGCTAGTAGACAAAGCTATAAAAAATGACAAGGCAACTTGAAATATATATTCCCCCTAAGTATAGTTATTTACTAACAACGCAGAATTTGTATACTCTCAGAAGTAAAAAAAGTCATAAAAAATTATTAAGAAGCTGAATATTTCAGCTTGCTTAAAAAAGTTATTTACAAGTAGTCACAAATTTGAATATTCTTACAGCTATAAAATTCAATTATCATATTATATCACCTGGCATAAGTCAGCATGTATTGAAGTTAATTGAGAGGAATGGAGCTGGATCTTGGTTACTGCTTTGCACAACACAGAGATACCTCTAATAGGCTGAAATAATTATAAATTTCAAATAAAAAATTGAGATATGAAAATAATATGTCTGCACTTGAAATTGTAATATTAAAAATAACTCATACTTTCAACACTTTATGTAAAAAGCTTGTGCTAAATGCTTAGTTTCATCCTTATTCATAATATAATTAGTCATATCTCTTAAATAAACAATTGTACCACCAATAGTTCAGTATATAAAAATGGCAATTTATAAATTTTATACAACTTGATAAGAAAGCCATGATTATGCAGTGCCAGGTCCTAAAACTATGCAAACAATCCAAAAAACCCAGAACATATTTACCTGTCTTCTTGTCACGAGATTCTCAGTAAACCTATGACATAGTTCAGCAACTAAACACAAAGAAAAATAATTTTCATTAACTGATTCTAGTTTTAAAAATCACAACTTGCTCAAATGATGTATTTTACATCATAGTGAAAGAAAGTTAAGATTTGTTTTTAGTAATACACATCTTGTGCTAAATAAATCCAATGATAATCATAAGTAATGGTAAAAACATAACCTAGCAATAAATGAATTTATATATGATACTTACAGCTATCAGTGGCATAGCGCACTTGTTCTCCATTACACATATTAATAAACTCCTGTGTCTGCACAAACAGCGTCTCAAAGTCAGGTATATTTGGGAGATTGTACTTGATGCATCTGTAGATGAAATTGAGTCTCATCAACAATCAGAGTTTATATATAGTAATAATAATAATAATAATAAAATCAACAACAGATATTACATACAAATGTCACATAATGTTTATCACATTTCATTTTCATGTTATAAATTCTATGCAAGGTGTAATTAAGATTCAAAAGTAAGCCTCAGTCATTTCAAGAGAGTGAAAGAAGTAATGAAACAATTAATATTCTTCCAAGAATGTGGGGTATTTTCCTTTGACAAACTGAGCAAGAGCTAGCTTACAATATTCCTAGTACTCCAAGTGAGTGTTCCTGGAGGTCCAGTGCCCCCAGCAAGTTATCTAGATGACTTGCATTCTTGCCTAAAACGTCTCCACTTTTACTGATGAACTCACAAAGCTGAGAAAAGTTGCCTGGAAAAGAAAAAAATATTGTTACAATGGACCCATACAGTGTAGTGTTCCAAATGAATCCACAAGGTATATTTTAAAGGACGTGATTAAGCATTAATTTTGAAGGGAAAGTGTCTAAAGCACTGTCAAATTTTTATTCATGATTCACTGAATAATGCATTTCCCATTAATATTGTAATAATTCACTAAGCTTTCCTCTGCCTTTTAATATTTGATTTCATTTAATGTATTTATTCTTTACTTTTATTGTCTATTATTATTATTACTATTATTATTATTATTATTATTATCAATTCATTATCATCATCATCATTATAATTACATATTCAGTTTATTCCCTATAGCTGGCAAATTTTACAAAGTACGACTTCAGTCAGACCGCAAGACTAGTTAAGTTAACTTGGCTGCTACAAATATCAAATGCTCACACTCCTTTGAATAATCACAAAAATGTAAGACAGTGAAAATACAAGAATTTCAACGAGTCGATGGATGAGACTGAGTGAAGAGGGAGTTGTTTTACGAAATAAGGAAAGCGAAAGTATGAAATATAACGACTGACATCTACAGCAAAGGAAAATTGCAAAAAAAACTGCAGTGTTTTTTGTGCAGACTAAGTCATTCTTGCAACATCAATCTCACCTTGTGAAGACAAAGTTCTCACATTATTCACGTATTGCTCCAAGGCAGCTGCCATCTTGGTAAGTATCATTCGCTTACAACAAATTAAAATTAAGAGTATTCTAAGAGGGATATTTTCATTTTCGCTTTTCTTTATTTAAAATTCCAACATCTGTATAACGCAAACACGTATTTATGGACACAATAGTGTTATAGACATGAAAAATATATCGCTGTTTAAAAAAGATATCCTAAGGGTTTGACCTTGATCATTTGGCCTTGACTCCTGAGAGGTCAGTGAATGGTGCAAATAAGGTTGCTGGACGCACGCAACAACAAAAACGTCACGTTTCAACGGAGTCACGTTGGATGATCAGAACAAAAATCTGAACATATTTAAAGGCGTGAAACCTCCAACACCCAGACGCTAACGAGGCAGCATCATGAGTAGAATATCCACCCTCATATCTGTGAAATTGCTGGCTGAGAAAATCGCTTCTAATCAGTCCAACGTACGCGTTTTGGATTGTTCTTGGCACCTTCCATCAAGCAAAAGAGTTGCGAGAAATGAATATTTGCAGCAGCACATACCAGGAGCACTGTTCTTTGACATAGATGAATGTTGCAGTCACGAGACAGACTTGCCTCACATGCTTCCTTCCGCAAAACAGTTTGAAGATTATGTTGGAAATTTGGGTATAAACAATAACACACACGTTATTGTTTATGACACGAACGAAAACTTTGGCATTTTCTCAGCTCAGCGATGTTGGTGGAATTTTAGAGTATTTGGACATTCTGCAATTTCCATTCTTGATGGTGGCTTATGTCAGTGGTCCAAGGAAGGGCATTCATTAACATCGGAAATCCCTAAAGTTGAGCGACAGATTTTTAAAGCAATATTCAATCCGTCACTGGTTTGGAGGTTTGAAGATGTCGAAAAGAACATACAGACGAAGCACCACCAGCTTGTGGATGCTCGAGCATCTGGTAGATTTCATGGCACAGCCCCTGAACCAAGAGCTGGTAAGGATACCACATTACTACTGCAGTATGCTGGGTAGTAGCATGAAGTCCACTTCATATGTTAGCACTCTTATTTACATTCTCTGATTTGTCGTTCTTTTTGCTAACACAAATAGTATTTAGCACAAATAGTACATAACAGAGATAGTAAATATACAATGTAGGGGTGCTAATGTATGAAAGTTTGACCAAATAGCAATTAGGATTCTTGTCACAAGCTTAAGGCCACACATCTCATAAATTTTTATAAAACATTTCTTATAACTTCATATAACACCTCTGTAACTTCTGCCTTGATGCAAACTACATGATTTGTGTTTATTTTTTCCAGACACCAAACCTGGCCATATACCTGGTTCTCTGAATATACCTTTCCATAATGTGATGAACAAAACAACCAAAACATGGAAATCTCCAGAGGAACTGAGGAAAATGTTTGCAGACTTTGAAGTAGATCTAGAGAAACCTGTGACTTTTTCGTGTGGTTCAGGTATATATTGTTGATTTTCCCTTTTTATTTATTTATTTATTTATTTATTTATTTATTTATTTATTTGTTTGTTTGTTTTGAGAAAACATTTCAAAATTCACTTTCGAATTACCAGTTTACGTGTCAGTTGACTTGACTTTGATTATGATAATAAGAAAAAGAAACAATAATTTTTGTTGTAGACATGAAACTCAAGTCATGTGAAAATGTTATAATAAAAACATTATTTATTTTACAGTTAAAAGTTGAATGGTACATGTACTAAAAGTAACTAAAACACATGAAATTACTATTTATTTATTTATTTATTTATTTATTTATTTATTTGTTTGTTTGTTTGTTTTGAGAAAACATTTCGAAATTCACTTTCGAATTACCAGTTTAGGTGTCAGTTGACTTGACTTTGATTATGATAATAAGAAAAAGAAACAATAATTTTTGTTGTAGACATGAAACTCAAGTCATGTGAAAATGTTATAATAAAAACATTATTTATTTTACAGTTAAAAGTTGAATGGTACATGTACTAAAAGTAACTGAAACACATGAAATTACTAAAAAGTATTTGATTTCTAGGTGTTACTGCCTGTACCTTGGCTGTTGCTGCAAATCTATGTGGCAAAGATGATGTTCAGATCTATGATGGCTCTTGGACAGAATGGTTCAGGAGAGCTAATCCAGAGCAGATGGAAGATGTACCTGATGAAATACCAGAGTGAAACTCATTCCTGACTTCCTTTTTTGGCATGAACAGTCTGTGCCAAAACTTTTAACCTTTTGGCTGGCTCTTGAGACCACCAGAGTCTAAGAATCTACTGGATCAAAGCAGAAACAATGGCCATAAACTGAATTTAAATTTTTAAAATTTTAGCGACCCACACATCGATTTTATTGGCATTCAGTGAGGGCCATATACAAACATTGCAGACTGCATGAGAACTTTAAAAATGTTACTACATGTAGTATCTTGTGTTGTTTAATCACTTTGCTTTATAACTTATGAAAATATATTGCTTATTTAATGTTCTGTATGGAGAATTGTCACACTGTGATATTTTCACTTTTTGTGTTATATATTGTTACTATACAACCATTACAGCTGTTATGTTGTATATGAGTATGTAATTTGTACCTTGCCATTTCCAAGGTTGTTATTGAATAAAAATGTTACATGTACTAAACCAAATATATTGTAATAGTTTGCACTGTCATGAAATATTGCAATAAAATTGATTGTGTATCAGCTGCATGTTACAAACTTTGACATTTACAGCTTAACAAGCTAGGGATGTCAGATCAAGTTTTTTTTATGTGAACAACAAAAAGTAATGACTGAGTGGTTTTAATTACCATAGTAACATCATCAGCATGCAATGGGACTGGCTCAGATTATTTCATTGCAGAAGAACTTAATATTTATTGAAATGCAGTCATAAACTTTTCAGCTTACTGGCCATTTGGACTAGCACTAACCTAAATTCCACTGGTCCAAATCAGGATTCTCAAGCCTGAATAAAAATATCAACTTGACATTTTCAACTGTATATTTTGCCCTATAGCAATAATATTAGTAATAACAAGACCTTGATTTTGCCAAACATTTGTTGTTGTTTTTTTTTTCCTTTTTAGAATCATGTAGTTGCATTTTTGAAAAATTAATTAAATCAAAAGCTTTTTTGAAAATTTATAGAGAAAATCTAATGGCCATGCTGGATCACTAAATTCACACATTCTGAAAAATATGCTGGTCCAAACAAAAGTTACCTGGCTGTGGGCGAAGGACCAGTGGTTATAATGCTGCAGACTGACACTGCCAGTGGAATATATGGCATATCGGGGAAAGCATTTTCTCATGTAGTCCATGTCATGACAAATAATTATTACTGTTTTGGACTTTGTTCACACTGTTTATTCTTGAAACTAGACATTTTTATCTTTCAGGTATTATTGATTTTAAAGAAATCTCATACTTTGTTGCAACAAAACCTCCATCGTATATGAAAACTGGTGAAATTTCATTTTCTAAAGAAGTTTCAATACCAGCACATTAAAAAGACATTTCAAAAACATTACTTAATTTTTTATTCAAATACATTTGCAAACATGAGCACTTATATATGTTTCTGCAATTAACAAATTATAAATAGAAAATATTCCATCTAGAGTTTAATGTGAACATTATTTACATGAATCTAAGATCTAATAAACGGCATATTAGATCTTAGCATGAATATACACAGGGGCGGATTTAGGCCGTCTTCTGGGTCTTCGGAAGACGGTCAGATTTTAAAGTTTACATTGACGGGTACCTAATTTTTTCTGTTGGAAGACGGTCAAAAATAGAGAATAGATCAATAAAGATAATTGGAAAGACTGTCAGAAAATATCTCTGGATCCGCATCTGATACATTACATATGACTAGTACTTGGACTCATTATTACATGTAAAATAGGTCCCAGCATAACACCAAAGCCACTTATGAGAGTGCTCTAAAGTGGCACTTGAATCAAATGCGTCGGAGGTATTGTACCCGAAACCGAGGCTAGGTCCATCCTTGCATGTACGCCGTCAGGATTTGGACTGTACACAAGTGAAGGGCGACGGTAAGCCCGGCGTCTTTGTTATGAGCTATAATTCAATTATTTTAATCTTTAAATTTTACATTTTAAGAGTAGAATATGTACTTAACGATAAACCTCAAGTAGGAGTTTTATGCGGGGAAATACACGTTAAATTTATGACTTCTACATACCTGTACCCCTCCAAAACCAGTGGCACCACCACTCATTGTCCACTGAACCAGACTTAACAGACTAATGCTGCTCTAGTAGAATTATGTGTATGAATAGTTTCACATACACATACATATGCAGTCTTGTCTTTTTTGCAGACCCCATACCGTACTTCTTAAAATATGTCTGACAGATGGAGATTGTTTGAAGAAGATTTCCATTTTGAGGTCGTTGCTGAGCAGGAGGCCCTCAATTACAGAAGTTTTGAAAAATCAACTCCACTACTAAATTGCTCAGGAAGAGGGAAAAGAAAATGTAAACTAAGACTTCAAGATATGAGGCTGCCAGATGCCCTGAAAGTGGAGCTACTCCAGCAGCAACAGGTATAGTACATAATATATCTTTATGATGGTAGGGATACTAGTAACAGTTTAGTCTAATTACCTTAGATTATAGGTCATTGGAATTTAAAATAGAAATTTGATATGTGGTACAGTTCAAGAATGCCATTATCACACTGTTGTGTTGAGGATGAGAATGGTTAATGGATCTTAAAACTACAGAAAACAACTTCAGAATACCACACTTGTCTACTATATTGCAAAAAAAAAAAAAAAAATTGGGTGTAATATTTCAAAAAGATTTTACTGTAAATTAAATTGCCATATGTATGCCATAGCTAACATTTTATACTGTATGCCGTATTTTAATGTTAGATGGATTGTACTCAAATTTTTCTCTTACACTTAAAGAATGTGTATTTCTTTCTAAGGAAAAATGTTTATTTTAAATTTTCCATATTTTGCTGTTTATATTTTTCAGTATTAAGAAAAGAAAAAATAGATGCACAAAAATTATGATTTTATTGAAAAAAGTGTGTCTATTGAAATCTTCATAGTCATTGGTTATTTATCAACATGTTGCTAAACAGAGTTTTGCCATCATTTTATATGCATGAGAAAAGATATACTGCAATGCTTTTTGTTTTAATTTTAGGCTCTATTGCCCAAAGTGGGAAAGGGAAGAGCACGGTTACTGACAGACAAAAGACAAAACACTGACCACAAACCAGGAAAACTAGGGGTAAATATCAATTGCATGAGTTGTCCATAAAAGGTGGTACACATGTACATTGTATCACTGGAATGAAAAAACTAAGTCTAGGAATATCTGTTATATATTTTTATACATATTTTTGAGTTGGCAATAAAATTAAAAAGTATGGTCTAAATAATGAGAATCATATCTGAGAAAGCCTAAATGAAGCTGTCTGCACTTCGAGACTAAAACACATGCAAAAACCTGTTGTTTCACTGCAGTTGCTAGTCTGCCATTATTTCTGTCTCCATTTTCTTGCAAAATCTCACTTGATTTTTTTTTTTTTTTTAATACTTAGTTGCGAGATTTTGGGCCATCCTGTATGATCTCCATTGTGGGTGCTTTACAACTTCACTCCAGCAGTGGTCTTCACACCAAACTTCTATGATTGTACATAAAAGTTTTGAAGATATGTGCTTTAAATGTGATAGATGTTACTTCTATTTTATAGTTTTGCTGTGTGGTGTGAATCATTCACTTCATTTAGTGGATTTTCAAAATATTTAAGTATATAACTGTTTTCTTTTCAAATATATTTCAGTTCCCTAAAGACAAATCATCTACCTCTCCTGCAAGTGGTTCTGAAAACTTATTGGAATTATCAAAATGCAGCACTAGTCTTCAAAATTCCAGTTTGCCTTCTTCAATTTTATTAGAACCTTTTGAATCTTCTTCTTATCAAGGATTTGGTCATGTGAAAAAAAGGGACACTGATCCAAAATTCACTGAAGAAGACTTTCCAAAGCTTGCAAATGCCCAGAAACCACCTAGTGATACAAAAGTCACTTCGACTAAAAGCAAAATTAGACATAAAGCAAAGAAAAAACATGTAAAGAATGCTGAAGCAAATTTTTCTGAAAATACAGAGGATACTGATTTTTCCATAAAAGGAGACCATGTGTGCAGAATAGAAGGATTGCCTCAAAAACTGTGCATAAAAGAATTAAGAGAATTTTTAATAAATTATGGACAAGTTGTTGAAGTGAAATTGTGTGAAAGGGAAAAGGACAGTGTTGCATTAGTAAAGTAAGTTGCTAGATAAAATTCTGATGAAGTGATCAACTTACAAAAAAGGACATCAAAGTTTTTTCTAAGCCCAGAACTTGCCTTAAGCAAACACAGCACTGAATTAACAGTGTGTTATTATTTCTTTTTCGTAAACGTGCCTTTCATTTTAATATACTGATTTTCTTTGGTAATTTTTCACTTGTTTATTAAAAGAAACTTGAAGATACTTGAAGCTGATGGAGATTTCAAGCATTGTCTTGTAAAGATTTGTCCTAATTTTGAATCCCTGTATTATTTAAGAGCAACTACCAACTGTTGCTCCTCTTGACAGATGTATAAACACTGATAAAGAAAACATATGACTTCCACTTTTTCAGACTCGGCACTGCAGAATCTGCAGAATGGTTGGTGGACTGCTTGGATGGATCAGATGCTGTTTTTAATGGTATGGTGGGGGAGGTCTACAGCAATTTCAGCATTCCAAATGACTCCATCCTTTTAACACAGTGCCAAACTTACCAGCACATTGCTATAAAGTTACATATGAAGCGAGTGTAGATTCCCTGTAATGCATTTAAATCACTACTTTCCAGTTTATTTGGCGTGAATAAATCTCACATGCTAAAGGATAAACCTAATTAATCACTCAGCCAAAAAAAAATTGAAAACGTCACTTTCTCTTTATTTCTGTTCACAAGCTCTACTTACTTATCTGTTCCTCCTTTTCATAAAAGTCCACCAAATGATGTAGCAATGTATGGACATTACTGCTGCATACACAGTAACATAATTTCTCAAATGAGTGTTGGCAAAAGCGAACCAGGTTATATATACCACAGAAAGAAAGCACCAAATATCTGTGCAAATAATGTTTTTTCAGGAAATATGAAAGTATAACTTTTGATTTTTTTTTTAAATTATACTATTGGAAACTATATGGTGGCATTTGGTTAGGTTTAATATCAATGATTTTACATGTCAACTAGCTTCAACTGCACCCTTAATGTTACTGTCCTTTTCTGGACATTATTTTCACAATTTCTAAGAGGTATGCAGTCATTTACCTTCACAAATTTGTTTGAGACATTTGAGAAGTGTGAAACTTGTTTTGAATGGGATTCTTATTACAAATCAATGGATAGACATTGTGGTACAATGTTAGTGTGCATACAATTGAATTACCTAGCCTGGATATATTTAAGTACAATTGATTTGCTGAAATAAAACAACCTCAAGCAAATGTGCATATGAGATATTGAAAAAAGAAATGTTCTTAATGAATCTTATTCTCATCATATTTTGAGAGAATATTTAGCTTTAGAAATAATATAGATTTCTTCTACACTGAAATATTTAGATTTCTTCTACACTGAATTTGAATACACGTTTAAATTTGGGTTTATTATTATCAGTGATAAAAGACATTTTATTTGTTTTCACAGATTCTGAACAACCAGTTAAGTGCTCCAAGTTATCTTGAGAGAGTTTGAGAGGCCTTCCCAAAGCAAGGACACCAAGGAATTTTCTTCAACAAGCCTTAGTATCTTTGTACGCTTCCTTCCGACTGTCATCTTGTTTTTTAACAAAATCGTAATAGCTCTCATTCAGCCATGAAGTATTTTAAAGAATTGATATCATTTATGCAGTCTTTTTAAAAGTGATTTGAATGTCTTTTTTAAGTGGTGAATATATTTAAAAAATGATGTTTATTTGCATATATATATGCTAAAATGTTTATATACATTTATACAAAATGACTTTTTATTCATTTATTTGAACATGGTGCAATTTTATCAACAAATAATGTTTGTGGATACTACAAGCAAAATGTAAATGGTCAAGTGAATGTTAACGCTACTCATTTCTTTTGTACAACTTTTTTATGGATCTGTGGCAGTATTTTTGAAAATGAGTTTTTTTTTTTTAATTTCTTCAGTTTTGCTCATGGTTCACTAGCTGATTTTAATGGTTTATCACTGAGTTGTAATTTATAAATCCTGCTGTATATTTTCATTTTGGTTTACTCAATAAAAGACAAACGAAGATCAAACCAGCATTCGTTTTCTAAATGCCAATCCAACTTGATAGCGTCGTCTATTTTCTTTGGTTATCAAAATAACTTGTTGACGTTTTTTTCACACATGCCAATTAGTTAAACTTGAATATTGATACAATATTTTTGTATAATTGGTCTATATTTAATGTGTAGGAACTTGAGTCGGTGTTTAAAGCAGAAGTGTAGTTAATGAGAAGTATGAATGAGAAATTTTTTTCACGCTTTAGCATTTACGCTTCAGCATAATATGTTCTGACATTTCTTGTTACACCGGAACTTCAAAAGTGAAACTTGGCTGAAGACATGCGCGCAAAAAATGTACACATTGTGGTTGTTGCGCTGATGTCACGTCACATCAACCACAAAACAGTCGCTGGGAATTAGTTGGATCAACACAGAGTAGTTTTGCGCAGTTAACTACCCGGTAAAGAAAATATGAAATTGTCCGAATGAATTTCATAACTTTGTAACAAAGTGAATAATTGTCGTTGGCACTTTTTTGTGCTAAAATGTGTCTCTCCACAAAACGTAATGTTGATTCACAACACGGTACAATTTTTTCTCATAAACTGCACAGGTACAGTACAGGGAATGACAACAAAATAATAAAAATTAAACAAATTAACAACGCTCTGGACGGAAAAATCATGATGCAAAATCAGCGACCATATAACCTCATAACGATTTAATAAAATAATCATAGGCTAACATCAGAAATCAGATCATTATAAACTATAATACTCGTAGTTTAATTTAGTCGTCCTCAAGATGTAGGCCCTTGATATCAATCTCGCCTCACTGTCACTTATCGGGCATCATATCTTGGTACAATAAGACTCATGATTTTTTCCCCCCTCGGTTGACCTCGTATCGTCATTTCGCAAGAATTGGCCAAATGTATTATCTTTTCATCGCCGGTACGACGTCATGTTGGTAAAGCCTATCGGAACAGGATCTATTTACAGTATTTATTCTGCTTATACATAACGTCGCAATTCCAGTTCCTGTTTATGAGAAAAATTTTCATAACGGTCATTCTGATCTGCTCACTAAACACAACTTTTGCGAATCAATCAGACAAAACTGACGTGGCTATTTGTGTCTTCTGGGGCATATTGACCGAATACTCTTAACGCGCTCTGGTTCACACCACAGGCAAGGTGCAAAAACCGGGTCAGCGTCTTTTATGTGAGAAACTTAATTGTCCACCACCATCGCAAGTATTTCACAACCGCAAAGCACAAGGAGTATAGAATTGGCACGGAGTAACGCCCAGCGTAAAGAGGCAGTCACGAGCACTTTCCTTTGTTCTGCTTTTGTGTAAACGTTTACTTTTGGGTACTTTCGCGTTCGATCGATCCGCCGTAGAAAACAAACAGGATTAACTGGGACGGGCATGGGCATACTATAGCTGATTATTATTCGACGGCGGAGTTGAGAGGTAAGGCGCATCGCTCGTCATATAAAATGCCTATACAGTATAATGTTGTTGCTAAACGAGCATTAAATTCATCTGGTGTCTGATATTTTTATCGACGTCTTCCGTGCGACCTACTGACCAGAACTGATGGTCGGTGGTTGTAGAAAGCTAGGTACACGGTACATGTACCCACGACACGCTCCTGGAAGCGTCATGCTATGTACACTCGCCCTTCAGTAAAGCTAACGGGTCACTGTGTTCCTTATTATACAGCTGCTCCATGCTGCTCTAAGGTCTACGGTATCATGCTTGGTGTCCTGGAAACGGTAGAAAGTTTGGTTTTCTGAATATTTACAAAATATATGCAGTGTGCACATGTGCAAATTTGCCACGGAGTTTATCGTGCTATAGGCCTACTCTTTACGACTATATTGGTGAATAACAATTCGCTTGGGAACTTTTAGAATTTACAATTGAAGATATTGGCTATTAGACATGATTAGATTTTAGAGAATTATTGATTGTCATTACGAACAATGTTGAACTGCCAGTGAAGCAAATCAATGATGTACGATTTATATCTAACAAAGCTGTAACCCATAAAAATGTGTAATATCATAAATGTAAGTCCATTGTGAATATGCTTTAAAAGACCCGAACGAGAGCACTATTAAGCAATTCACTAAGCAATTATCGCCGAGTACGTATCGCTTCATTGTTGGAAGTATGTCTCAAAGCTGTCTCGAAACTATCATGCTAAAAGACCTGAAAGAAACACGGGGTGAACGTGTCTGGCATTTTCAGTGCCAACTCAGTATTCAGCCTTGCGGCCTACAAAATAAGGAGTAACAAGATCTTCCCACCAGTTACCAAGACAACAGAGTCGTAGTGCACTAGTTTTTTTACGGTCCATACTCTCTCTAAGTACATCCTGATATTTCCCTGGGTGGCGTTTCAAGATATTGAAAGCGTTTGTAGACTGTGTGTATAGTCTAGGCTGAGGTCTAGGTTAGTGGAATGGTAAATTTCGTGAATTAATCAAGTTTGGACAGAATAATCAGACTGGATTCTGTCCGACACTCGGATCACTAACTATGCTTGTTAGCCCTTAGATTTCTCCTTCACTGCCTTCAGAGTGAGCAAACAGAAGCCTTTTGTCTTCAGTTGCCCTTTCCTGAAGCCGAAATGAAACATATTTTATAACATGCCGAACCACCTTAAAATTGCGTTTAATTAGGGTTTAATGTTAAAGGGGCTATATGTAGGGTCAACCTGCTGGTATTGCAGTGGTGTTGTTAAGGGGTGAAGTTGATCTCTCCGGTTGTCATTCAGGTAATTAGAAAGTATCACTCTCTAGATAATGTAATTCAGTTCTGAAAATTATAGTAATAAATAGTGTTGCGCGGTTGGCAAGGCGGATATTACAGAAAATTGATAGGAAACAATAGTTTCCGGCATGTACTGAAAGTTGGGTTTTCTAGCATTCGACTCCGTATACACTAGTCCGATTACTGAGTATCTAACCTGACAGGACCGACAGCAGTGGTAAACGTCATACTTGTAATAGCACGCATCGACAGTTGCGTCGAGAATGTCATTATCCCACAACACACTTATAAAACGTTGCATAATATTGAGGTGGGGGCTTCAAGTATCTAATAATTCCTTTGTATACTGGCACCCTAATTTACAGAACACAGTTTGTATTATAAGGCAATATTATTAAATCAGCCCATAAAGTTGAGTGTTTTTGTTATGTTCACCGTAATGTTGACAACGACTATTACCATGTCTAATGGATTTGATTTTTATGTTAATACATTTACAAGTACAATGCTCTCTCTCTCTCTCTCTCTCTCTCTCTCTCTCTCTCTCTCTCTCACACACACACACACACACACACACACACCTGCAACACACTTGGATTTAATACGATGACCAAGAAATCAGCTCGAGACTAAATAGATAAGGAAAATCAACGAAACAAGAAAACTTCTGCTCAGGATTTTTACCACATATTTGTCAGAAAAATGCTATTAGTGTCCAGCATAACTTCATCATAAAAAGTGACGCTATGGACACAGTGTAAACATACTAAAGAGAAAAGCGTAGAAGTCTTGTGCAATATAGGACAGCAAGAGAAGTAGGGTCATTTTTTATTTAAGGTGACAGAATTTACCACTCCCCCTTTTTGATATCCGGGATCGTTTGCGGTGGAATAATTTTTCTCAGGTATGTTGGTGCCCTTAATGATTAATGATGTGAAAAACGCAACAATAATTCCCGATAGTTCCGTATATGTATTTTTAGATGGTTTTAGTGTGAAGATGATGTCAGTTTATCTGATTCGTTCACAGATATATAAAACAGATACTGGTTGACACATTTTTGTCCCACTTATGTGACTCGACAGTGCACAGAATATACATTTTACTATTTTGATAAAACGGATGTACTCTCCCAAACACCCAGGGCTGGACTATCACCATGGGTCTTCTTCACCTGAAACATACAGCGGAAAATATGTAATCTTTCATTTCGATTAACCCATTTTTATGACCCTTACTAAAGTGGTGAAACTTTCACCGCGATTAACAACATTTTGTGGTACAAAATGGACAATAGGTCGTCATTATTTAAAATCGTTATAACATGTCTTTACAACTGAAATAAAAAAAGTTCAGTTCTACCAAGTGCCTTGCCAGCTGTCCTTGCGCTGGCCTGAAGATTGAAGAGGAGGACATGGGGAAAGCCACTGCTTGCACGGTGAGCTTTCCTCGGTGATCTAGACAGGGAGAGGGTCATTTTTTTAGGTAGCCTGATTAGTAATTTCTAAATATTAATCACATTAGATTCCCCGTCTGCTGTGTACGCAACGGGTGTTTGAAATGCCGACTGAAGCCCGATCTCCAACCCCAGCCTACATTTGCCGTCATCGTTGTCATATCCGAGAGAAAGTCCCCTGTCATGCAGGGTTCGGTTCCCATTGATTTGTACAGGTGAACCCCGTCCTAGATCTTGACCTTCTGACGTCAAGCTTATCCTCAACTGTGTGAATGTAATGGATGTGGACTTTGTGTTACACTTACCGTCAGTTTTTTTAACAGCGGATCGGAGACAACCACTTGAGCGATCTCGATATCCCTAATCCGAAGCATCTTCCGATGAGCTCCAATATATTGCAGTTTTGTTCTTATTCTAAACGATATTTAAAGCATGTTAATCAATATTTTAACTGTCTATCCCAGGATAGTACAGGGTACATGTGTGTCAGGTTCCCATTGTTTTTTTTTTCTTTACCCGTGACAGCCAATTTTTTTTCACTGAGATGCGTGAAACGTGCATATTATTTAGCGTGACCCATGAGGAACCCGATTCCCGTGGCTCGTGAATGCGGCTTTTTATTCTTCGCCCTTTTCGTGAAACAAAGTCTTCGGGATTTCGATTTGCATTATCAGCAAGATATGAATTAAGTTTTATTTACTGTGCTTTGTGAGTTAATGATTTAATTTCCCGTGAACTGTGATCACTACCACTCCTCCCCAATGGGATCCTCGAGTGTGTCTTTGATTTGACTGTATTTTTACGTAAGCTGGGATTTTAGCTGAACGTCTTATATCGTAGCTTTTGTTTTCTCACCACTCACTGGTTTCTTTGTTTTCCGTAATTTTGCATTCTTTTAATATTTATTTATTTATTTATTTATTTATTTATTTATTTATTTATTTATTAGCGAAAAAACAAGCGTTAAACACATTGATTAGTCTAGTTTGGTAATGCTTTGGTAATGGTAATTCATGTCTTGTCTCTTGTTGTAGACTGTGTAGCTCCATGTCGCACCATAGCACTAAAATTGTCGAATTTCTTTCTTTTTTTAATAAAATGAAACCTGTTTCAATGCAGAAGGGGATCGATAAAAATTGTCGAAGAGTGCAACTCTGGTAGTTGGGTGGCGCATGCCCTCGTAATTCTAGAAAGGCCTGTCCTTGTTCACCCCAACCCCCCCCTCCCCTCAGCAAATACTAGGTCCACAAGTGTTGTTGTAGACTTAGACCAACTTGAAACTTTGGCAAACTTCTAATAGGTGAAATATTTATAAGATCATCAGTGATAAAAAAGGAATTTGTGAAAAGGTTTTGAACTTTGCCTTTTTGGCATAGACGAACCTTTGTAGTTTATAACTCCTTCCGCGAATTTTTATACTAAAAAATTGTTAATACAATTGAGTAAAATAACATCATCTTGGTAAAATCATGATCAGTAATGTGAAAGTATTGATAAACCCCTCTTTTTTATGTTCTTTCATTTTTTGGAGTAGGGGAGGGGGTTATCGCAGACAAGATAACAATTGCGACCCAAGGGCTTGTTCTGGTACTGATGTTGTATTAATGATAATTCCACAGGACATTTGGTAAATGAATAACAAACGATACAAGTCAAGTGTTGACGCACGTCTAGAGCGATTGTGACATCTCAACACGTAAAACAGAGATACTATATAGCGGTATCTGATAAATTATAAGGACATTTTAGTTTCGGACTTCACAGAGAACACGAGACAAAAGGCAAGCTGGTATTGATTTTCATTTGTCGCAGATTCGTTATGTCACTTTTGTGACATTTTGACGACGTTTGTTTTCAAAGGAATAGGTAAGGGTATATGGGAGAGCTTAAATTGTAGAAGAAGAGCGAAGTTTATAAAAAAAGTTTATAGTTAAAAGTTTGCTGTTGCAAATTTTTTAGTAAAAAATGATAACTTTTCGGTATAACCCGAAACAGAACTAGTTCATTAGATGTTTGTTCAAGCTTTTTTTAAGTTGACTTATTTTACTACCCTTTCAAGTTGTCTTTGCTGTAGTTAAAATGCCATATTTCACAAGTTTACCCAAGCTGAACGAACCTTATGCCCTGTAGTATTATCTAACCCGTGGCTGTGTGAAATTTTAACTTAAATAGGCAGTACGTGCTGTGCGTGCTTTGTGTTTTAAAACGATGACCTTGATATTATTTGCTCTGGTTTATAAAGAATATCATTTTCACGATTCATAGGTAAACATCTGAAGTCAGCATTATATTTGGATAAGTTTTTTTTCTCGTAGGGATCAGGGGTTGTGTGTTTTTCTTACAACTTAAATTTGTATTTTGACTTTTTCAGACTGTGAAAACGTTTCAAGCCGCCACTTCCCCCTAACAAGCCAATCATGGGGGCTCTCGGGCAGTTTGGACTTATATTAAAGAAGAATTTTAAGCAAAAGCTTCGGCAACCGGTAAGGAATTTACATTGTTTGAGAGAAATAAAGTTTATTATTATTATTGTTATTATTATTATTATTATTAATTAATTAATTAATTTAATTAATTTCCTTGGGGGGGGCATATTTTGAATGTGACTTCTTTCTCTGTGTTATTATCTAATAATGTTTAATAGGGAAGAAGAGACAATTTAATTTTGAAACAAAAATGTGCTGATCCTCGCGCGTAATAGTTTCCTATTCATTTTCACAATTACAGTTATGTTTTCGTGATCGATTCAGTTTTCCGTACATGAAAAAAGTAGCAGCCGGATAAAATTGCATTATCTAGGGGTTCCCAAAATGCAGGCTTGGAAAAAAAGTAATCGAAAGGCGCCCATCAGAGTTTGCAAATATCAAATTAATTTGGCTCATGCGCTTCTCACTTCGTTGATACCGCCCTTGCAAGACCTTGTCCTAAATCGTTTATTGCTTCAGCTCTGAACTCTTCCCAGTGCAGTGGCCTATTTTACTTCTTTTTTTGTTTAAGATTTAAGTTGGCAGCTGGATCTTGCAAACCTTCCTCATGATAGATTTTATCAAAAGCCCATCATTAGTTAAGTTGGATCCTAGATTTATGGAGTAGCCGATTTATCATTATAATCATAATGGTTTTACTTATGAATGTTACAATCATTTTGTGACTCTTTTGAAGCAATTATAATCTGTTACAAAATTATTGAGTCGCCTGTACTTTAATTTTGTATACTCTTTTAAACACCCCTGATAGCATAGGGCATGGACTCATTAGGTCCATGCATAGGGTAAGTTTTGACCATCTTTTATAAAAGATGCTACATTTTCTCTCTGTCATGACGGCACGTGAACAGTTTGGCTTCATAAAGCTACCGCGATGAAAGGAGACTAGTTGTACAGCGACTTTTTCGACATTTAAGTTGAATGGATAAAATTAGAGGAACAGTGTACGCATAAAAAATGAAAAAAATTTCAATAAGAATACTAAATGAAATAATGAACTAATTAATTTATAAAATCCGGATGATATATTTGAAGGCGAAACAAAATGTTGATGGTGCCTAGAAAAAGTTATAGAGACCTTAGAATATGGATCACTGAACAGCACAATTTTGCCCACTTTTAAATTAAGTGAAAAAGGGCTGCCTCGCCTCCACCTTGATATTATGACTGATCCAGTGAATATTGGGCTTCTGTCTACTGAGATGTTTTTGAACGTCTTTGTATGGCTCGAAGCCGGGCAAAGATGAATATGCCCTTGAAAGTAGGAAAGTTCCACTTCGGCTATGTACTTTGCCTGTGAAATATCGACTCATATTCATTATGCAATATATATTGAGTTTATAAACTTCAAGATATTTGTCTCCTCACCCTTACTGGCTTGTACTAATGTTTACTTATTCCACTGGCTATTTTTAAAGATGTGTTTATCCATCTGGGCCTGGCCAGCGTCTGCTCCAAAATTATTTTAACGTCACGAAAGTTTGTCATGACTGCAAGTGCCATTATTTATTGTTGTTCTTGTCATTTATTTATTTATTTATTTATTTATTTATTTATTTATTTATTGTTAAAAGGACACCACATTTGCTTGGTCAATACAGCTATCTGAATTTTTTTTTCATTTGAGCTAGCCTTCTGATCCATGCACACTGCTTGTATAGGATGATGCATTCAGAAAAAACCTTAACACTAGATCTAAATGAATCTAATAGATAAATTGAAAATTTTAATAATTATTTAAGATTGATAGGAATCTTCTTTTGAAGAAAGTCATCTTTTGTAGAATTGATAAATACAGAAAGTAGAATTTGCACATTTATATCCATGTAGTATGAAGACACAGTCACATGCATTTATTTGTTTTCTTAAGATCTTTTTCAAATTTTTCAAAATCTTCTGTTTCAGGTTCTTTTGCTTCTGGAAATTCTGTGGCCCATTGCATTATTTGTTGTCGTGGCTCTGATCAGACAGCAGACGTTACCTCAGTATATTGGATCATGTATGTATAAAAATTTTAAAGCTTTCTCTTAATACACTGCATCATGCTGGCAAATTAGATTTTTTAAGCAAAGTCCTTTGTCTGGTCATAAGCAAAATGGGTACAGTCTTCACTTAGTGTGTGCAAATTAAATGTCCATGTGCATTTGTAAAGTCATCTGGAAAACTGTACAGCTACTGAAAAATTAACTTGCACAAGCTGGTTCTGTTAGGAAACATTTGTGATGCACAACTGAAAAGAGTCAGTTTTTCAGCATGTTATCCCATTCATCTGAGGCCAGAGAATTGCAGCTTTTTTCGATGGTGGTTTAAAATATGTACTGAGTCTTTTAAAGGCAGTGATTTAAATGGCAATAATATTTTAATCATTGTTAACAAGGAGAATCAAATGGGCAAGAGATGGCAAGAATTGATATGAAGTTGTATTGTCAATGAGTAGAAATGGATAGTAAATGAATGATGAATTCTGATTTGATTTTAATTGTCCATTTTATGATTATCCACTTCAGGGGCCACCCAAGTGCCTGTAAATAAGATGTATTGAATTAAAACCAGGCATTGGGAGGACATTGAAGACTAATGTAGCCTTTAACAGCACTAAATTGAACATTAACAGCCTGTAGTTATTTTGTGCTTTCCTTACACATGTGACCTCTTACATCCATTTTTGTCTATTAAGGAGGTCAAGTGGAATGAAAGGATATTTCCAATATAGTATAGCTCAATCTCCTATTATGTGCATACCTTGAGGAGAACAGGGTCCAAATATTTGGGCTGGTTGGCCATGTATCCAGGAGAGTTTATTTTTTTATATCTTAATCTGTCATGTTCAGATATAAATCCAGGGATAGGTACTTGAAAATTAAACATAAACCATAGGCATATATATCTGAACGAAGGACTTAGGATTGGAGTGAGTGCTGAGTGGGTGGGATTTTTTAATGATTCATATATATATATCCCTTATTTCGCAATCTTGCAACAGTTCTACTACCATGAATTGGGGGAAAATAAGGGGAATGTGCAGTTGCTTTCATTTTTATTATCTTTTTTTCAAGGAGTGCCCCTTCACAATGAAATGAGATGCCTATGTGTATGGGTGTGACTCAAAGTGGCACAGATGCGCTTTATATTGGGGGATGGGGAGGGAGAGAAGGGTTATTCAAAAAAAAAAAAAATTACGTCCTTTTCACATGGAAAAAAAGATGAAAAAGTTCACAGATTTCATATAAAAAGTACAAAAAATGGCCATTTACAGTGTGCTTCATTTTTCCTGTATTAGGGATCATTGTTCCCCTATCTCTCAGTACATATCATTCACCTGTGGTTTACATAACTTTGTTTGCTGAAGCCCAAGTCTCCTATGTAACGTATGTTGTTGACAACAACAGTGGTTCAAATGGAAAAATGAGGTTATTCTAATGGTCAGGATTAGAAAAGAACCCATCATGGTTTGCATTGAAATATGATATATGTGTTTAATATATGAAAGCAGACAAAAATGATGAGAAGGCAACAATTAATAAAATGTCATTTATTAACTTATAAATAGAGACTGTCTGACATCTAAAACACGTTTCTGTTTGTGTTAGATGGGATTTTGATAGCATTTCAGTTCAATTGTTTTGCCCCTTGATACTTTGAAGATAAAAGATCTGGGTTATCAAAAAATAAGATAAGCAAGATTTGCTTACGGAGTTCATAGATAAATGATTGCTTAATTTTTATTAGTGGTTTCTTAGTCCATGTTTACAGTTAGGTGTTATCAAGAATGCATCCTTGATGATATCTATATCAGTGCATTGATAAAATAAAACTGAAATTTTATGGAGTTTTCATATACACAATTTGTTGGGTTTTTTTTACTCAATTCAAGAATTATTACCAGATTGGTAGTTTCATTGGCATAAAGTCCAGCAGTTTGAAATAGCAGTTATGTGTCTCTATTCGTATTTCTTGTCACAGATACCTATCTTACTTGAGGGAGCTGTTCCTATGGCAAGAGCTCAAGAGCTGCCCTGCAATATATATTATCAAAGCTATTCCTTTTAGAGTTATTTTGTGAATTACTTACAAATTAGATGTATAAATGTACAGTTTTCCAAAAATGACCATTCTCTTTTGTTAGTTTTATGGATAAACCTTAGATTTTATTCAATCCCTTTGGGATGGCATGCCATCTAATGACCAAATCTACCAGTGAAAGTTTCTTTTACCAAATCCAAATCCAAAGTTATTTTATCAGATCAAATAATATTCTGTATCATAAAAATGGCCCTTGATTTGTTATTGATGGAATAAGTGTCAACACATTTGACAAGTTTCTTACACTTTTTCTTTCAACTATTTTAGGTGAATTTGGAGAGCGGGCCATGCCCAGTGCAGGGGTTCTTCCATTTCTACAATCTTTTGTATGTAACATAGACAACAAATGCCAGTCTAGAGCACAGGTGGAGGAGTCCGTACTTGCCAGTGCCAGGTAATACCCTCTTTATTTCAGACAACAGTGTCATATGATTTAATGATTCTAATGATTTAAATTATTTTTTGCTTCATTATAAATGTTTGCAAATATGTCTCGTCATATTGCTGATGTTTCTGCCAAATTATGAAAATGTGAAAAAGATTTTTGTTTGTCAGAATTCTTGCTTATTCTTTTGAATATAAGCTGTAGATTTTACTTGTCCACAGAGATTTTTGAAAATATATTTTTTGGGAGATGAGCATGTAAAGTATTAACTTAATTCTTTTTCCCAGTCCCTCTGTTAATTTTTTCCTTTCAATCAGCATCTAGATGAGTATCATGGGTGCCACAAATAACCTTCTTGCATATTTTTGTTCCCCCCCTCCCACCTCCCCAAGCATTTTTCTAACCCTACACCCATGCTATGGCGTAATTGCATTTTGTTCAAAGTTCAGCGCTCGGTAATCATTATCATTCTTGATACATGTTGGTGTCATGATGCACCTTGAACTTGCTTAAATTAAGCTTTTTATCTTAACTTTGAATTAGTCCAATGCCAGGTAAACAAAGGCATCATAAGCAGCAGAAGTCATGTATGGTGGTGTATATAGATACCTCACCCTCCTACTTATCATATTTTTATCATATAATAGATATCAGTTACTTACGAAATCAGAGATCCTTAGCCTGTATATAGAGTATGTTGCATTCACAGGCCTTGTTAATGAATCAGAATACAGTATTCTTATTTACAGCCATTAGTAAAGTAAGAAACTTAAAAACTTTCAAAATATTGTGTAAAAAAATTTAGTCTTAAAGTGAATAAAAATTGAAAATGTTCACGTTTGGAAGCACACATCTAAGCTGTTTATCAAAAGAATATTTGTCAAAAATGAACTTACAAAATGAACATCTTTTGATAATCTGTAAAACGTTCACTTTGCAATCCACGAAGATTGCATAAGAAAAATGGGTTTCAGTTGTAGTGAAAGCATTATTCTGTTGACCACTGTTGGCTAGGTTTGTACACAAATACGTATCTTAAAGAGCACCGAGGTTTGGAAGTAGCTAGTAATCCATATAACCAGCTTGATATGAAGCTTAATAAAACTGCGCATGCTTGTTAATGTGTGCTTTGGAAAATCAATTGAAGTTATGAACAAACTCCTCTGAGTCAGTCGGTGCCAATTAAAACTGTATATAATTGTTATCTTGCTGTTGCTTAGGGCAGAAACCCATTGGATGAAAGGATTAATTTAAGATAACTCTCATAACCTTTGTCAGCAAAGCGGAAACAGATACCAAACTAGTAACTCATTTGCTGATGAAGTACCTCACACTTATTAAATATGCAAAACTTCATCTATTTTATTAGGAAATTTGTGGTTAAAAGATAATCGAAGGCAGCCTGGGTATACAGAATAGAAAGGCAAGGTTTAAGAACACTTGTACTTAACTTAGTTTCTGAGATAATTTTCCAGATAACCTTAACCACATGATGTCGCATTCTGGTTGAACAGAGATAAGAAAGGAACAGTCAAACATCAACATAAAAGCTCTAACAAATCATTAGGTTACTTATTAATTATTTGGGTTGATTGTGCAATTCAAGATGGAAATGTTTTCAGAATATATTGAGACGAAATATGTTTTAAAATGTAAAAATTAGTCAATTTTCAAATGTAAAAGTATTTGACTTGGCAAAAAAATACCAATGTATCAAATGTTTTACTGGAATTATATCATGTTATATAGGGACTGATACTTTCTACAGTTTGGCTTGAATAATTATAGGCTATCAGAAGAGAATTGTGGTGAAAAGTTAATTAAATGTTTCATAAAAAAATAAAAGCTTATTTTTAATAAGTTAAAAGACAAAAAAATACAAGCCACATGGCTGGAGTTTCAAAAGATTCATTTATGGAAAATTTACTGAATAACTACTAGAGTTGCACATGACAAAGAGAGGTTTCACAAATTTTTTTCAAATTATTATGTCTGTTTCATGGTGTCTCCTTGCAGATCAGATTTAAGATATTTACACCTACAGTTGTCGATTAAAATCACTTTATTTAGTTATGCAGGTGTGATTCCGTTCCCTGAGAGATATCATGAGTATGTTCCTTTCACTTAAGGATTTTTATGTGTAGTTACTAATTACAGTTCAGGTGTACCAGGTGTGACAACATGTCTGGAAACCATTTGAAACCTTTTAAGATCCTCAGTAGTCTGCTGGGATGCCAATGGCAAATGTGTATTTGAGGGAGGAGGCGGTGTGAAATTGTGTATTTGAAAAAAATTGTTTATGATTTGCTAAAGATAATAAAAGTATACTTTTTGGTATTTCTTTGAGCAGTTGGATAAAAAATGTGTGTAAACCTCACAAATATCTTCAATGATTGCTTGAAAACTATTTCAAGTATATGCAGTCTGCCAATAGCCAGTTCAACACTGGTATAAAAAATAAAAATAAACCTGGGTACATGCTTCTCGGTTTTGTGATTGAAATTGCAATAATCATTCTGGTGTCCCTATTGAAAACTGAATGAAGTTTTCAGCAGATATCAGTAGAAGACACATGTGAGACATACCTATTTTGGTAACATTTTTTGATGGGACACATAAAGATTCACTTCCAAAATTCTCTGATGCTAAAACCAAGAGACTTGATTAGTTGTTCTATATAAAAAATGTCTTTATCTTCAGTAAGTGTGGAGGCCTGCTCAGTTCTTGTTGAAGGAGTTGTAAATATGCAGCTTCGTCCATTTATTTCACAATACCTACAAACTGTTAGCTTAAGTCACATTTGCTAAGTCATACAATAAAAAGGAATGTTTGAAGAGTGGACAATGTACAGCCTCTGTGGACTTTACGCCTCCAGTTATTGTGAAGCATGGCCCCGTAGTGTTATCATGGTTTCATGGTTCCCACAAGTAGAGCCTTTTTGTACACATAATAAGAATGAATTTATTTATGACCCATCTTTTGACCACATGACTCTGGTCACTTATACAAGGGCAGAGAAAAATGTACAGTTTACATGACTTTTGAAGTATAATGATTTTATGGCAGACATTCTATAACTTACTTTTCAAATATATTGTAAAAAAATTTTTTCTATCTTTCATGTACCAATTTATATTATGGATAGTTGATTAGTTAATTTTAATGTAGCTGTCAAAAATTGCTTTCTTTGTACATTAAAGAAAACTGACATTTCTTCTGAATGTCATGTCTCTTCAAAATTAACACGTTTTCTATTCAAGCATTTACTGCCACACCTGTGTCAAACAATATAACAGGGATCATATTTCACGGTATAGTTATGAAACCAAATGCTTGCTCAGTGACATAAAACTGCCAAGGTCACCTCCTGATGGACATATGGTACTCTCTGACCACAGGGTGCACTAGTCTGTTTAAAAAATGTTGAAAAGGAGTGAAATTTTTTATACTATTTTAGGGGCCTCTGATATCAGAGGGTAGACATTGTACATGGTGCTGAAAATAAAAATGTTTCAGGCATATCTGTCATGACACCTTTGATTTGATTGAAAGAGAATAAATGTTTATGAATCCCAGTTTACATAAGCTAAATTTGATAGATTAAATGTTTTACTTAACTACCTGTACAGTTTTTTCACAAGTGAATTTTTCTCTTAATTCACCCCCCCCCCCCTTCAAAGCTCTCCCAATTTTGCTATGGTTTTATCTTAACCTGTTCTATTTCAGACATTAACTTGATACACAGAAGATACAATGTTATAAATGACTTATTTTAGTTTTTTATGATTAAAGTCCAGTTTCCTTTCTTTTAAAAAGGGTTTCACAAATTTTTGAGGAAATACAACCCATACTAGATAAAGAGTCGACCACTGGAGAAGTGTTGCAAGACCTTCCGAAAACAGTGCAACTTGTGGATTCCTTAAATGAAGCTTTTCAGGATGAGGATGTCCAGAAAATACTCAGTAGGTTCAATCTAATATTGGGATTGATTTTCAGCAACTTTAATTCCACTTTTGATTTTTGTTCTTTCTGCAATATGTACTGGTAATAAGGGATGTATTTTTTTTTCATTACTTTCTTGATGATTGTGTAAACAGCCCCTGCTAGGAGGAAGCATATCTCTCCCTGGGCAAATTCTAAATGAGATGAGGGCTTTATCTGTCTCAACCTAGCCAGGACCAGCCCTCCACCAGGGCTACAGGTTGATTTTTCACAAGATATTGACAAATTCATAACAATTTTTTCTACTGTGAGACTGAAAATTTTGGTATGAAATAAATTTTATCACTCATTTGGCCTCTAGTATTGAGTAGCCAGGACCATATGATAACATCTCCATATTTTCACTCATAGCCCTGATAAAAACACATGTAAAAAGTCCTTCATTTTGTTGAATCTTTCGTGCTTTCAATGAAGACTCCTCCTCCCCCCCCCCCCCAGAAAAACAAACAAACAAACAATCCCTTATACTGAGCCTTGTTATGTTGATATTTCATATTAACAATTGTGAAGCCCAAATGATTCACTTGGGTCTCATTCAAATGGTTTGTTTGCTATGAAATTCCTGAAATGTTGAACAAAATGTGTGAAAAAAAAGAGAAATGCATTTTTTTGTTCCAGTGTTTACTCAGTGAGGTAGTACCAGTATTTCACATCACAAGTAAAAAAAAGAATGAAAAACTGATTCTGAAGTCTTTTAAAGGCATTTTCCTATAGAATTTTCTTTTGTGCTCAGTTGCATATCTGGTATTATATTACAACTATCATATAGACTGACTGGATGTAAATACCTAAAGTTTATAGCAGCATGGATGGATTTTTGCTAGACACGGTCAGGGTTAGAAAATCCATTAGCGTTCAATCTGCACATTTACATGTAAAATAAAATTGAATAATATAAGATAAAAAATAGGGGCAGCTAAGACCTCTCCCACAATATCTGCCTATGCATGTGCAGTATTTTATTGTCCAGATCTTTGTTGTTGCTGTACTGTAGAGGGAAGATTTTATCATTTATTGATCAGAACATTAATTAACTTAAATTTAATTTTTACAATAGAAAGGGTTAATTAATAAGAAATATGACTTCATGTGAATTGCCACAGGTGCCAGAATGCCTTACCTTCAATATTTTAAAAACATTTTAAAGTTTCATTTCCTACAATTATAGATATAACAAAAAGAATATTTTAATTCCAGAGGCTGACTTGAAAGTGAGAGACCTTTTCAAAAGTCCCGAAGATGTAAAAAATTATCTGACAACCCAGGCGGGTGTCTTGGCTCCAGACATTGTGGAGGCCGTATTAAATTCATCCCTCAATGTCAGTAAGGTGAGTCCATGGGTAGCAACAATAAGGCTACCCTTTTGTGTAAGTATTAATATGAACCTTCTCTTCAAAACCCCGTGGAATTCAAGCATGAATGGACAAGATGTGGACTAAGGACAAGTGGACAACACATATTTTCTTGAGTAGAAGTTATTAGAACTGGGTGAATTCATACAATCATGTACTGCAGACTATGATAGGAACTGATAGAGGGTACACTTATGCAAACTTTTATATAATGGTCTCTGAAGATTTTGTCCTTACTTTGTAAAAAAAAGCTAATTCCATGACAAAAACCAGATAAAGAAATCAAGGTGTGATATAGCAAATAAATAAATGAATTCAAAACCTGATAATATAAATAATAAAATTATTAAGTATATAAGTGTATTAACCATTTGATGTTATAAAACAACAATTAGAAGACATGATACCAACCCAGTAATGAATATGAATGATTTAATTAATATTTTCTTTTACTTTTTTGTTTGTGATTCAGCTCTATGACTTAATAGGCTACAGGGACTACAAGGGCATAGTCTGCAGCCCAACCCGTCTCAAGGAGTACCTGCTGTTTCCAAGGGGAACAGACGTGGATGTTGTCAGCAGCAGTATGTGTAACATCAATGAGGATCTTATCCCACAGATAGTGGAAGAACTGCAGCGACAGATCAGTGTCACCAAAATCTTAAATCTGGTGAGGAAAAAATTCTTTCTGTACATAGTGCATTGAAACAAGACCAATCCTGATCCAGAGTTTCACACAATAGTAACCCAACCTGTATTAATTTAATTAAAGAATTCATGGGGGGAGGCTATATAAAATATTAAAATGGGTTTTATATTTTAATACAATCACTTCATAGTTAATTTAGTTTTTGATTGGAAATTGGTTGGTTAAAAAAGGAAAAAGTACAATGTTTCATCTCTGTTTTCAGAAGTTACTTTCAGTAAATACTAGAAGCACCTTTTTTTCGCAGTGTCTGATTAAGTATGATTTGAAAATTGGTATGATTTAAAAATTAGTTTAATTATTGTTAGAAAAACCCCAATGTTTTTCCTGAAAAGGTCAATATATATTGTCATTCCACTTCCAGGCTAGTGAGATGACGGGAGCCATTGCTAACATCACAGAGATGGAAATCCTTCATGATGTAGCCGCCATGATGAAACTTTTGACCAACATGTCCTCCCTTCAGCCACTGATGGCCAATGTCCCCCAGCTCCGTGAAGCCATGGGCTGGCTGCGTAATGTCGCAAACTTCATACAGTTGATGCAGAACCCAATTTCTGGCAATATGGATTTCAATTTGTGAGTATATCCTAGCTGCTACATTATTGACTAGTGTTTGTATTATTGTGACCTAATTTATGTGCAGAGATCAATTCAAATGCATGAATATAGATTTTGTTTTGTGTAAAGAAGGAACCTCCAGGAATATAGGTTTGCTGGAGTGATTTTATTTAAAAGATAATTATGCTTTGTTCATAAATAACACTACCTGTAAGAAAGGTAATAAAAGTAACCTAGTGTCTATACTTTTTCTAACAGGCACTTGTAAAAAGTGAGATTGAATCATTAGAGAGAGTATTCTTACAATGCGAGTGTGTTGAGAACATGAATAAAAAACAATATTAAACTATTGGTATTCTGCTTCCAGCATTGGTCGGTTTCTGAATGACCTTGACCCACTGATCACCCAGTGGACACAGAACAGCCCAGTGTGGACAGACATCAAGAGGGGCATTAAGGTTGGACAGGCCATTGCTAACTGGACCAGCAATGGACTCCAAGTCATTCCAGGTATGGTTATGTCATTTATGAATAATGAAAGTAACAAAATCCTTATATAAACTAATACATCTGCATGAACTGGCAAACATGTACAGTGTGATAAATACTGTATATATACAAAACATAATGATATTTGCAAATAGTTTCCCTTTTATTGCTGAACAGATGATTACTTTTTAATGACAATAACAGAAAATACATGCTTAGTAAATAGATGAAGATGCCTTTGACTTTTTATTGACTTTGACTTATAAGAAATTAATTGATCACTATTCACTGAGAAAGCAAGAAGTGAAAGAAGAATAATGCACTGCAAAATCATGTTTCCTTTTTCAGAAATATTTGAGCATGTTATCTCAACCAATGTACTGTAAAACTTTAAGAAATGCAAATCTACAAATTATAATTTGTTGATTTCCTGGTAGTAAAATATGATACATATGTAGTATATATATATATATATATATATATATATATATATATATATATATATATATATATATATATATATATATATATATATATATATGCTGACACAGTGCTACTAAAAAGCAACTTTTCTTTCTTTGAGTAATATGACATGTTTTTATGGGAAAAATGTTATATTTTCAGATACAAAGATCACATTCTACAACCTCTTCCCTGAGGGAACCACCATAGCAGAGTATATCAATACCACCCTAAGACTGGCACCCTATGTACAACATACTCTGTTTGCTTCTACTGTCAATATGAAGAAGGTTTGTTCAATACAATTTTTAAGAAACAAATCATACTTTTGAGAATATAACTTCTATTAATTTCACTTTATGGTTCTGATGCATCTGCTTGGTGTGGAATTATTTTTGATGAATATTGTTTATTTTAGATTTTAGCTAATTTAACAGAGTCAAGAAATGTGAATATACACATATTTATTTAAAAAAAAAAACAATTGTTTTAATTTTCAAGCTCCAAGAAATGTTAGCCCAAATCCAGCAGAATGTCAGTGTCCAGCACCTGTACTGTGTTGACCCTGGCTACATCAGCATCTTTGAGATTACACATGAAGAGGATCGTCCTGTCTTGCAAGAGCTGCAGGATGCCCTCTGTAGGATTAATGTCTCTGCTGCTTACAATGATGAGCTGATGAAGGCTTTTAAAGTTGATCAGCTGATTCATCAGGTGCTTTGAATTTTTAATTCAATTTTTTATTATTTGTCTTTTTAATTTTGAATTTAATACAGCATTGTATCTATCTCTCGGTCTTATGTCCTTGATGTTTTTTAAAGATATTGAAAGAAATTAAAAGACTCACTGAAACATTTTCCATAGTTTTAAAACTTAAAATGAAGTTTTTAATTGTATATTAAAGTAAAGTAAAGTTTTATGAAGATTGTTAACAATTGTTAGACAGGTGTGATAATTGCGAACCATGAATGCCTGATAGCTAAGCATTTGTGATTGGCATAGTAAACATAATTCAAAGACATCATTGGAAGTTAGAGTGAGAGTTACATTGTAGGTGCCTCATTGATGGGGTAATCTTGCTGATATGTAGATTTGAAACTGGCATTTATGGGTTCTAAAGCCCATTGTACCAGTGCCACCTATCTTATAAATATATATTTTTTTGTTTTATATTATCAGGTTCAAACTCTCTCTAACACATCTATCCAACTTGGAAACCTAGACTGGACTGAGCTGATCCAGACCTATCAAAACTTGGCTAAACATCAAGCTGAGTTCAATGAGTATATTGAAACCATTGTGAAAATGTTTGCAAATGTCAGATTTGAGGACTTGGCACATGATTTTCAAAATCTCTGGCAGAGAAATCTTGAGATGTGGATTAATGGAACACAACCCACAAATCTTGAGGAGTAAGTTGGATAATATATTCAATTAAGCATTCATCTTATTTATACTTAAACCACCTTGCCTATATACATCCTTATTCATATGAATTTTATATTCAATTTAAACACTGGTTTTAATTAATTTGTTGACAGCAAGTGGTATTCTGGGTAAAGATGGCATAATTTTGGTTGACTTTCAACCTTATGCAGAGTGTTTTACTGTATTTTAAACATGCACATGCACAAATTCGCCATTTATTTTAGTATCATTTGTGTCACATGTTCATTAATTTACATTGCTGTCGAGTAATATAATATAACCTTTGTGGAACTGGTTTGTGAGTGATTTACACTAGTACATGTAGTCTACAATCATTCTAACCTATACTTTTATTCAATTCTGTAGCATGTTCCTTCCCTACCTGCAAGGCTTCCAAATGACAATGCAAGCGATGCCAATATGGGATGAGGCTAAGAGATGGATGGTTGCTGTAGATATTGGCATGGAGATGGCACACAGTGGAGTAAGAATGTACACTGGTGAGATACTGGATTAAAAAGAGCATCTAATTTTTATTACATGTCAGTAGATAGCAGTAATGTTTTTTGATACAATTATGAACTTCTTGTCTGATTAGTTATTTGTGCACATAAGAAAAATAACATTTATAGGTGAAGTTTGCAATCTTCATGGCTTTGGTGTAATATGAATACAATATTTTAAACAATCTCAGGTTATTGGCATAATCAAATTTCTCCTATTTTAGTGATAAGCACACTGAGCATATTTATTTTTCTCTTTTTTTATTTCAGAATTTATTCCATACCTTTATCACCTGATCAGGAATGACACTGGTGTCCAGCAGACATTCAGAAAGGTCTTGGCCCTGGGTCCTGATGTAGCACCATCTGTCATGACAGCCCTGACCTCTTATGGAAATACTCAGGTGAAACATTTCAAAGATAATATACACATTTGACCTTTAAATATTTTTTATCTACAATTGGGAACAAATTTCTTGAATATATGAACTCAGTGCTTTCAGATTTTGCTGAATTAAAATGTAACACATGCATGGTCACCAAGTATTCCTCACAACTATAATCACTTGAACTTGTCTATGTAAATTTGGGATAAAACCTCTCAATGATAAACATTCTGTAACCTATCTACAGAATATTGGACATGAGTACACCATGGAGATCACTAAAATTAACCAAAGCTGTATGTAATTTCTATTCCTTCCAGTTGCTTATGGCAGATCCTATGAACATTCAGAAGATCCTTTGTAACATCACAGCTTTGAGACAGGCAGCCTCTCTTCCTCGACTCCCCAATGATGAAGTGGTTGAGAGGAGCTTGTGTGATAGTAACCTGACAGCCGTCATTGTACAACTGCAGAAACATTTCAACATTTCCCAGTACAACAATATGGTACATGATATAATAATAATAATAATAATAATAATAATAATAATAATAATAATGTAGGTTACAAATTTAATGACTAGAAACATTACTATAATGATTTTAATTATTTTCGTTATTCTGGTATGCTACCATATAATTTGTATTTCTGTATTTGATCTTTGATTTAGCCTTCAAGCTTGTATAATTTTTAAAAAATAATCTATCCATGACTGGAGGAAAATCAAAGTGATTCATTGAAAAACAACGATCATTTCCCTGCTTAGTTAAAAACTCAAAATAATTATTTTTTATCAGAATATTTCTTTCCTGTTGCTCTCTTCATTGTTTTGATCTTCATTTGCCATACTTACAGACAATGATGATAATGGCTGCCTTCAACATGAGCACTCCAGATAACTCTCCACTGTGGAAGAGAGCGAATATGACTGCTATGTGGACCAGAGCTCAGGGTTTAGCTGAGGCCATGCTGTCAGCCCCCAATAAGACCATGGAGACCTATGCCTTGCTGTATAACATGGATATATGGAAAGATCTGCTGCAACTCAATAAGACTGCAATGGCAGAATGGGAGAAAATGCTGCAGAGCTGGGCTAATCCTAATAATATCATTAACATGTAATTTTTTATTTTCTTGCCATCTTGGTTTCTCTTTGAGAAAGAAATTGTGAATGTGTTTTATGTATATCAATTATTTGCAGTCATATTACATAAAATGTTTATGAAAAGCTGCATTTGGTGGTATCATTTGGCATACTTGGTAATTTAAACAGTTTCTCTGCTGTTTTGGAAAGAATGAGAACAACAAATTTAGGGAAAAATGTCCTTGACTTGTGTAGCAAATTATGTTGTTAACATTTCACGGTGCCTTGTATGTCTACTGCTGATGATAGTTAAACTTTTGTTGTTTACTATTTGTAAGTGTAAAAGAAAAGTCACTTGACATTACCAGCCCATAAGTGTATTTTTGTGATGACTGGTTAACAAGCTAATGATTTCTTCCATTGTCCCATAGGGTGGTGTCAGCCATGCAGGCCTATGGACCAATGATGGAACAGAACACAGAAATGTGGGCATTTGTAGGGCCTATTGTCCAGTCTCAGTATGACTATATGATGTTGAGTGACCAACAGTATGATTTCCTTCTTGGTAAGGAACTGCAATCTCGAGTTCATTTAGGAAAATAGAGTCGTTAGGAAAAAATTTAAAAAGTTAATGGAGGTTTTGAAAATTTTGTGATTTACCTTTGAAAGTCTATCAAAATAGATAAATATATTTATATGTGAGTTGCAAGAAAAATAACATGCCAATTTCAAAAACTTTTTGTGTTGCGTCTAACATTTCAAAGAAATGCCCCAACTTTTTCTTTCCCAGGCATAATGAATGGGACAGGCTACATTGGGAAGATGATGGATTACCTGTTCCAATATGGCCCTGAGCTCATGGAGACTGTTGCCAAGGCGATACAGGAACCAGAAAGAGTAATTGATAGTTCTTCTTTTTAAAGTCTGAAAAAAATTTACTCTAACTTACATTCTTATTAACATTTTTTTGTACAGATAAAGGCCCAAAACTAGCAATAATTAAATACTTTTTCTTTTAGTTAATGGTCGCATATCCTGGCCCCTAATTCTAGTAAACTGTACATTTGCAATCACATCAATACTTACTTTTTTCTGTCATTGTAAAGCTGTATTTAATTCTTGCATGTATCTATCATTCAAATGCCAGTTGATAATTTATTTTAATTGTAAGCTTTTAAAGAAAATTGTACAATCCATTTCCAGTTATTGCATAACATCATGAAATTTGCATCTGGAGTATGTGTTGATTATTTTCCATTTCTTCAGATATCCGAGTTTTCAAGACACATCAGTGACATGGGCAATAATGTGGACATGAAGGTGATGTTCTGTGATACAAATGCATTTGAGGAACTTCTGCAGCCTCCATCCAAAATACCCATGGCAGAAATGAAAACTTTCTTCTGCACAATGAATGACACTGCTATGATGGCAGAGATCAACCAATTCACGAAACCTATGGAAAAGTTTATGCAGCAGGTACATGAAATCTTTGCTGTCTTCATTAATAGATTGGGAAAGGACCATATGTCATATAATTAAAGATAACTGCATAAGTGTTTTGGATTTTAGTGTTTATTATAATAATTAAGAAAGGAAATATTTACCAAAAAAAAAAAAACGTTTTCACCTTCTTAGCTTTGTTGAATTTGGGTTTTTTGCATTAATTACATCATGTATAATATAGGAATGTGTGATCAAGGATGTCATCTTAAAAAATCTGTCTTTTTAGTTAAAGATTAGTTTAGGCAATAGTTTATGTTTTTTACTTAAATAGCACCACCATTTATCTGTATTAGTGTATTATCATGCCTGTTCATTTCCTTCAGATGGAACAAATGTTCAACATGTCTGCGTCTCGGGAAGCACCCAAAAACTTTGACTGGGAGGGCCTTGGTGCTCTCACAAAGAGCATGTATGAGAAAGCAATGCAGTTTTCAACAGCTGTGGGTTCATCTCAGAGATACAATATGACAGCTCTGGTCATGCAGATGATGAGTATGGACTTCAGTGCCTATGGTCAGTCCTATGCTAAAGTATGGTCAGAAATGGGAAATATCTACAGGTTGGTATGGTTTATAATTACATGTACATGTATGTTAGGCAGCGTGATGGAACAGTGATGATGCTAACACATGCATGGACAAGAAACATGCACAAACACTCAGAGGCATGCACATGCCTGTCCACTCACTTTTTTATAGATAGGATTAAAATAAAATTGAACTTAAGATTTTGGTATCCCCAAAATCATTGGCTGTAATTAAATTATATTAAATAGAACACTACAGTAACTGTATGATATTGCCCATGGCTTTTTAAAGACTTTATTTGACACCCTTTATAGCTTCTCCATGGTGTTTCAGTTAAATCATAGTCCCAAAGTGCTGACAATTGTTTATTCATTCAGGATTTTATTGAGTACAGATCTTTAATTGTGATTGGTTAAACCCTCAAGTAGAAGTCATTCTTCACAAAGGTGTTTTCCACTTCTTCTTTTGTTCCTTGTTTCAGCCTTAGCCGAGACCTAGGTAACCTTATGACAATGTTGGACAATCTGACAGCCAGTGACCCTGTAGCTGGAAATGTGTGGAACTCTGTCAAGGCCAGCATGATGACCTTCAATGAATGGCTGGTTTACTCCACCAAGATGTTGCGTCAAATGAACAGTAAGCTTGGACTTGAAGGGTTTTCAATTCTATATGTTAACCCAAGTTTTGAACATTTTGACTTAGATTCCTCTTGTTTTCAGGGGAGATTAAATTTTTTTCTTTTTGAGCTCTGTAATGCAAGTAACATGATGATTTACCCTGGTTTTTGCATTCAGTTTTTTATGTGGCTTTTTGTTCCTGCAAAATAAATGACCCCAGGAATGATAAGTTGAAAATAATTCTTTTAATAAAGTTCAACTACATGTACAGTTTTCCTATACTATATATATGTAAAAATTGAAAAACCAGAAATAACTTTTAATGTTTATAACATTTCAGAAACTGGTGAGTTTGATGTGTTCAGTTTGTACAACTCCAGTGAGTTCAATAAGATCCAAACTGCATTAGAAAACTCCCCTGAGATCGTGGACGTCCTGTTACACACAATTGGAGGAATGGCAGAGGACCCAGCAAAGGTATGCTTTTCTGAGTTTTGAAAAATTGAAGAAAAAAAGTGATGAAGTACTTCACTACAGTATAAACAGCATGTTTCGTATAGTTTTTTGTATGGAAAGTGAATACTAAATAAATAATTTATGGAGTTAAAAATAAAACACAAAAGGTACAAGTTTAGATGATGATACTAATCATGCAGTAATACATTTATGCACTTGCACTATAAAAAAATACCATGACACATGCATACAGATAATGATAAGAGTAATTTTGATTTTTGTAATTTCTCTATTCATTCATTGTTTAGGCCTTTATTCTGACAAACATTCCATTGGAGAAGATTTGTATGAACATGACAATCTTTGAAGCAGTGGTTGTGGTGCCCCCTACAGTCCATGCTGATATGGCCACCATTCACAAATATGTGTGTGACCTGAACATCAACTTCACTATTCTCCTGGAAGAAATAAGCCAAAGCTCAACTGAGATGAGAGCAATTTCATCTTTGGTAATTTTTCTATAGTAGTTGTTTAATGGATAAAACTGAAGAAACCAATATAAAAATGAAGAAGAAAATAATAGTGAAAATAGATTTTTAAAAAGTGAAGTTAAGCATTCTCCTTTGTTGCTCACTACTTTATTTTGTTCTTCTGTTAGATAAAAAAAAAATAAAATTCTTGACCAGTAATTCCATGTGTAGATTATTAGTTTAAAAATGGGAAAATATATTTTCAGATTGAGGCCACAGCAAGAGGACAGAAAGTGGAAGGACTGAATATTACTGCACTAGTAATGAACTATGGCAAATATCAGGGACTGATAGAGGCAGTAATCAGGAACCCTCCAACCTTCAAATTTGGTGAGGAAACTGACTGGATGAATGTGTCAGTGTGGAATGATTTGTGGCTCAGGTTTTCTGGTGGACTGGAGGCTCGTACTTCTATGTTACAGAATCAGAGGTTGGTTTGATTATTCTTATATGTATATTCTTTATATGAACTACTATATGTAATATATATTCTTTTTAAGAATATCAACACGCAAATTTTTTTCATTTGCCCTCTTAATTTTAAGACATTTCTGAAAAACCCTTTGAAAATTATCTGATTGATAACTATTGTATTTGTTGATTTTGATATCATAACAACTTACAAAATTCATTTGCTGCGGGGAAAAAAAGCCATTTTACTCAGAAAAATATAAGCTCATAACATCACTCTGCAGTACCTTTAATTTTTGTTATTGCTTTGAAAATAAATTATTAAATAAATAAAAATATTGCATACTTTATCTTTTTTCTTCTGTTTAGTGGCATATACAATGTTTTGACAACACAGCTGATGCCTGCTGTGGAACAGATGCTGCTGCAGCTTAACATGTCAGACTCAGCCAAGTCTCTGCTGCACTCAATGAATGGAGTCATGGACCTGGTGAAAAACAGTATTTCTCTCTCTGCAGGTGGGCCAATTATAGATATTTTCTCTTTCATGGTGATGCAAAAGTATTTTAATGTCTTAAAGTTCTGGGGTTTACATATTACAACAACATAAGATGAAAATTTTATCGCACTATACTTATTTGTCTTCTTGTTTATGCTTTAAACAATTGTTACAATTGTTATGACATTCAAATGGCATAGCTTAAAATTTCAAAGAAAACTGGAGCAAGTTTGATAAAATGTCTATCAAAATTAATATCTTAATGGAGTTTGATATGTGTAATTGTATACAACTATCTTCATTTCTTTCCTTTTTAGGCAATCCTTATGCTTTCTTCACATTGGCCAATGATACGGTGGAACTCAAAAAATTAATGTCTTTGATGGAAATGTCTCCAGAGATAGCGGAAGTGATCATGTACACTGTTGTAGACCCAGTTAAGGTAGACAATACTTTCATCATACTTGAAAAATGAATGAAGTTTTTATATTAGTAAAAACTATACATGTGCACCCTTTTGGTTCAAACATTTTTTTCTGATTTCAATCTGAAATCCAATTTTTTATTGGCTTAAACAGCCCTAGACTCCCACTCTTAAGTCCAGAGAGCTATTTTTAATACTTTTTTCTTACAACCCAAAAGCATGCCTGGCGTCAACCTTTAATATCTTAAATTTAGTTAATTTATTTCTTCACATTTTCCAGTCCTCCACTTTGAGCGGGATGTTCACCAACATAGAGACTATGTGTACTAAAGATCTTGGTCAGTTCCTGGTCATCCCTGCCCACTCAAAGGTCAACATCAGTGCTGTGCAGCACACCCTGTGCACTGTGAACTACACCGTGGTGTTACATGAACTCCAGGAACTCAACGACAAGATGTACGGCTCTTGGAGTAATGTGGTAAGGACACTTGGTTTGGTGCTTTGGACAGTAATATCTTTAGCGATGCTGTGGCTTATGGAAGAAAAGTGTGTGTTTTGATAGTCATTACTCAATTTTGAATTATAATAGTGCATTCTGTGAAAAATTGTTTTGATTTAGTTGATTTGTTGTACTGATTTGATGCTTCATGCAACTGTAGCTATCTTGTCATTTTTTTCAGATGAGTTTGTTCAATGTCACCAATGTCCCAGAGAACACCACACAAAAGTTCATCATGAACATCCACAACATCCAGCAGCAAGTGGAGGAGATGATCAAGACTTTCACTGGGAACCATACCGCCACCCCAGCTATGGCAGTACCATCATGGCTGAATGAAACACGCTGGCAGAACATGATTGATAACTATGTACATCATGTGCAGAATCTGAACATGACTAACAGGTTTGTTTGTACAGACAGGGAGAGATTGGGGGGGGGGGGGCGGTTGACTGCAGTTAAACATCACAACCATCTTTCAGCTTAAAAGGTGTGTTGATATATGTTTTATTGAAGTGCTTTGTAGATATACAAATTTATTGAATTATATTTTAAACAAATACATTACAGAAAAACAAGTTGTACCTGTTCTTGAAATACTGTCATGTTATTTAATAAATGACTTGGATTGTGTATTGTCCTTTCCAGCATCCAAGCCACAATTGAAGGTTTTGGCCCCATGTTAATGAGCCTGCTTACAACAGACAACAGCACTGCCGGCTATCAGGTCCTCCAGGCAGTGAATAATGCCTTGGTACAGATGAAAGTTTCACTTGGGTTTATGTCAGGTAATTTCCTCACACTTTGGTGCAGCCTGATATTTTGATAAAGTTACATATCTTTGCTTTTAGCATTCTTCTCACTTTTCTTCTACCTCTCATTGTGTTTTTGTGTAAAGGTTTCAAATATAAATAGACTGGAAAATTACTTTTTATTATCAATGAGTTTATATTTTGAAATGTTTTTATTCTTTCAGGTACTTTTAACATTGAAGAATTGCTTGGAGGCGGCCAGGAAACCTGGAGAGTAGTAAAACTCTTAGAACACTCACCAGAATTAGTAGAGACAGGCCTCAACTCCTTGTATTTAAACCCAGAGAAGGTAAATAGTGATAAAAAGGTGTTGCTTAAAAATAAATTCAAAGTATGTATCTACAAAATTAATTTATTAATTTGGTCTCCAACTGTCATAATACTCACACAAGAAAGAATTTTTTAGCAAATAATCACCATTATGACACAGATGTGAGGTAATTTTGAAGTTTGGTAAAACATGCCTAATAAACGGTTTTCTATCTAAATTTTAACCAAAAGAAACAGCTTAAAAAAAATGAACATATTTTAATAACCAGCAAAAATTTACAAATTACATTTATATAGTTTGAATAAAAAAAGAATAGAAATTAAATCTCACAGTGGACTTTATTGATTAATTGATAAAATGCTTGATCATGTAAAATATACAATATTAATATAATATTAATTTTTATTGCATTTTACAAAGTGACCATATTTGTGAATTTTGACCCCTTCCAGTGACTAGTTTTCTTATTAAAAATACCCTTTGTACTATTCCAGTTATGGCCCATGATTGAGAGACTAGCATTCAATCCAGCAACCTGGACTAGCCCTGACAATATGAAAAATGCCACTTGTACAGGGGACTGGAATGACTACATGACTCCAGCACCTGGCTCCACCTTTAATATCACTTCTGTCCAGATGACCCTCTGTGGAGCCAACTTTACTGTTCTACTGGCAGAATTAACTAATGTATTCATGGTAAGGAAAAAACCCTGAGTTTCATTCCATCTAAAAGTAATCTTGTTTTCCTTGATACCCCTGTTAGTTTCAGTTAAAAAGGCTGATGGGCAAAGCACGAAATGGATAAGAAGATGGCTTTGCCCTTTTTGGACAGCTCGAACCCATGGTAGGGAAAAATCCTTGTGTTTATTTGGTTGTTGCTACATGTACCATCAGCACAGTTTTCAGAAGCACAATGATTTCATAAATCTTTCATTATTTTTTGCTTGCTTATGTTTTTAATTTACTTTGTTGGTTTTAAGTTTTGTTTAGGTCCTAATTTGCTTTGCTGGTCAAAAATCAATTTTTTATTTCACAGCCACAGGGCCCTGCTGATGGCAGCTTTGACTTCAAAGAATTTGGGGCAAACCTACAAGAAGTTACAGATTTGTACACTAAGTACATCCAAAGTTTTTATGCCCCTACTGTGCCCACAGCAATGCCCACAATGCAATTGCCAACATGGATGAATGGTTCTGTGTGGTATGATATAATGGGCAGGTTTGCGGAGAGACTGCAACAACAACTGATGTCTCAAGATGTGTCTCAGTAAGTCTGGTCTGCAATAGGCATATGAATTAAAGTCTAGCTTGATGGTTTCATTAGTTGTTGTGTTACTGGTATGTGTTGTTATTTTTTATATTAAAGCAAAATTAATGTGCATGTTTTGTTCAGTGCCTGCTGTTTTTGGCCAATATGCTCAAGAGAAAAGGGTCTTCATCAACAAACATTAAATGATACAATAAGTCCTTTCAATAAAGATGTGATGCTACCAAATTTTATTATTGTAAATAATAATGTTTAAATTTATTAATTTAAGATAAAGTTTGATTGTATCCTAAAACATTACCTTGGTCTGTTTTATAGCAGAATTGAAAAGTCAACAAATGTGATATACATCTCTGTTTTTTCTTAAAACTTTTTTTACTATTTTTCCAACTGTAGGATATTTGGTCTGTTAGAGAAGATGTCTCCATATCTGGGCAGTGAGTTTGGAATGATGTTCACCGAACAAAACAGAATTATCAGCACAACAACAGCTGTTATGGATATTCTTCTCCAGAAGTTGCATATGTTAAATAGTAAGATCACATTTTTACCTAACGGGAGTTTGCATACTATATATAAATATGTGCATTTACTGTTTTTATCTCCTGTATGTTTGACTGAAAAGGTTGAAACATTTAAGATTTAATGATTTCTGTTCTGCTGCATATTTTATGCTAACTCTGGTATAGAAATGTTTTTGATGATTATTTTTCTGTTGTTATTAAACTAGCCTAGGTCTTTAAATGTTAAATAACATGTTTTTACTATATAAAGCTGGTTCTTTTAACTTTGTCATTTGAAACACTAAAAAATACTTGAGACAACTAAGCTCAGTAAATTTTGTCATTTAAATTTTACTTATCCACATTCATTCTTAGCTACCCACGGACAGCTCTCTGACTTCTTTGCCCAATCCCCTGAAACTAAGAAACTGCTGGCCATGCTCCGCAGCTCTCCAGACATTATGCAGGTCTTGATGTATTCCCAAAGTAATGAAAAGGTATGAGGAAACTAGAGCTGCATCTAAACTTCTCTCTTTTAATTGGGATTTTATATCTTGTCTTATCCTGAAAGAATGAAAATGAATGTCATACTTCCATGATCATATAACTAGGCTCTTTTTCTGTATGATGAATTTCAATTTATGCCACAGTGCTTGCCTTAGCGTATCTTTAAAGAGAAGCCCTTCTTAATTGAAAAAAAAAGACATAAGAAAAATGTATAAAACTTATGAAATTATATAATGGCTACTAGATTTTGTCATAAATTTTGTTATAATATAAAGTTCTGAGCTTTTGCTGTGATGAAAGTCTAAAATATCTTTCTGTAGTCACTAGTAGTCACTTTGCAAAAAGTTTTATATTACCGTATATGTCTGGTCTGTGTTTACAGTTTATGGGATTATTTGGAGAGAGTGCAGCTTCAGCTCTGACTAAGATCTGTACCCCATCTCCTTATTCCAACATCTCTGACTACTTCAACATTCCTGCTGGCTCCAACATTGATCTGGAGGCTCTGAAATTGGAGTTCTGCAAAATCAACGTCACAATGCTTTATGGGGAACTTGTAAAAGAGTTCAACATCCAAGCTATAATTAATGCAGTAAGTACTATTGAAGTCCTGGTTGTTTAAATATATTTTTACGTGTTTTTGCTTGAAACTTATGAACAGTTTTAGATGGAGATGCTTCTTAATGTTTTTTGAATGGACAACTATTTTGCCCAGTTCAAAAATCTTCTTTAAACCACATATTTCAGAAACAAAATGCACCTCCAGCATGTTTGCAGGTTGCGATATTTTTATGTTATGGAACTTTAATTTTTAAGACAAGGGGGTAATGTTAAATAAAATTCTTTCACTATCATAAAATGTGTGTTTTTAATGTAACAGTTCTTATTTGAAACACTGTGAAATATTCAACAACAAACAATCTCAGCAAGTTATAATATATCACTTGTTATCTTTCAGTTTAACAGCAACCAGTCAACAAATTATACTGCCTATGCCATGAAACAACAAGAGCTACAGGCCTTGATCACAGAATGGGCCACAAATCCACCTAAGTTTGTTGTAGATCCTGCCTGGATGAATGGAACACAGTGGCTGGAGATTTTGGTCAAATATTCTGAGAGTCAGAATGATCCACTGATGGCTCTCAGGCAGTAAGTACTCAATAACTTGGTTATTTAAATAACAGTTAATGGAACAGCTATTACTAGTAGTAATCTCATTGACAAATGGTTATTATTTACAGAGCAAGAATGATGAATGTATAGCTGTTGATAGATGTATTAGTAAGTTCTTTCAAAGAAATATTTTTATTAGATTTAAGAGGACTTAAAAGAATATGAAAAGAGATAAAATAGCTGCAAAGTGACTTATCAAGACCACAATTGAATCATGTTATTATTTTCCATACAGCTGTAACTTAAAAGTCACTAAATACCTATTTTTTACTGAGAAATTCTTCTATGTTATAGGGGTGCAGCTGGTTTGGGTGCTTTATTCCAAGCCTTTGAAAATGACACCACTTTTAATGAAGTGATGTTGGTGCTGAACACATTGATCAAAGTGACCAACCAACACGTTTCCACGTGGGCAGGAAAGAACCTTACTCTGGCAGACATCTTCTCGGACACCCCTGCTTTACTGGACTACCTGACCACAACACTGGACATTGCACCACAGGTGGCCGAGGTGCTCCTGCAGGCCTCTGTGAGTGACCCACTTGTAGTTATGAAGGCAATGAGCTATGGGAACTGGAGGGACTTTGTATGCAATGAAACCCATGGAATTAGCACAGTCTTGAGAGTACCTGCTGGTGTGAATGTCACTGCAGTAGCAGCACATGTCTGCAAATTCAACGAGACTGTTATTACGTATGAAGTAATGAAGAAACTTGGCCTTGACACCGTGATCGCCAAGTTGAATTCCAGCGTTCCAGTGAAGGTCAACTGGAGAGAGGTTTTGGAAGGATCCATGGAACTCTCCCAGCATGTCCAGACCTTGCTTCAGAAGCAGCCTAACTTCCAGGTCCCACAGCTGGACGTGGCCCAGTTCGAGGCCATCTGGAAAAAGTTTGTCTCCCAGATGGATGTCTCTAATATAAACCAATGGATAGAGACTGCCATGATGACCTTCGCCCAACTTTCAGAAACTCAGAACCTAAATTTCATTGAAACTTACTTCAAGTCTGGTCAGGTCTTGATGGAGTACTTGAACACGATGCTGGGTCACTTCAGACCAGAGGGAGGCGTGATAAGATTGGGAAATATCTTCAAGAACGTCACTCGCGTCAGAGATATGATGGAGATGGTACTCCACCTGGCGCCTGATGTGGTCAATGCCATGATGTCAGCTAGCATCAGGATGGAGAAGGTAGGACTTGTGCTAGAAATTGACAATAATTTTAGAGAATTAACAATACAGAGCATGTTTTATGACTTTAAAGACAATCATTGCATTGATGTAATTATAGTCCTTAAAGATATGCTGATACAGAGGTTATATACTGTGAGACTGCTATTTTGATAGCTTAATAATTTTCTTAATTCTTGCTTGATGTTATCTTCTAAGATTTTAACAATTTAGAAACAAATTATGCCATTTTACCAGACAAAGAAACACAATTACATGTTCCATTAACCTTCAGGCTGTCCAGTGGTCTCAGCTGACCCCAGCAGAGATGGACGCTGTGTTCTGTAGCGAGGCCAAGCTGTTGGAATACTTCTACTTCCCCGACACCTTTAACACCTCATATGCCATCAGGGCACTGTGTGGCACCAACTGGACACAGTTAGGGCAAGTGCTGACCGATGAGCTGGACATACCCCAACTGATTAATAATGTAAGTATTATGATGTCATCATGTCATGGGGAAGTGGCCTAGATTTTCATCATTAAGGCAGGCCCATCTTAAATTAGCATATGTAAAAGAATATGTCTTGTGTGTCTCTCTATTTACCCAGTACAAATGTCCCTATACATAAACTGTTAAAACCTGCTGCTGGTGTGAGTTGAAATATTTATGATATTTGCATATATATATGGTATGATTATGATATCACTTTTATGTCTCCAGCTTATGGCAGCATTCAATGGCAGTGGCACCTTCAACATGGAGAGGTACATGCAGGTGTCCCAGGAGATCAGTAACACCATCATGCAGATGGTCAATGCCACTCACTTGGAGTTTAATGGGAGAGATGTCACCAAGTTCTTCACAGGCTTTAATGGTACCCTGTCTCCTAGCACCCTGCTGACTGTCACACAGAACCTGCCTGCACTCACCGTGGAAACGTAAGTCATATTTCATCTATTTATTTATTTATTTATTTATTTATTTATTGTTTGTTTGTTTGTTTGTTTGTTTGTTTGTTTGTTTGTTTGTTTGTTTGTTTTTTTTGTTTGTTTGTTTGTTTATGAGGAGAGGAATACACTAGATAAAGTGGCTATTGTTCCTTTTTGTTTAGTTTTAAATAAAAATAATTGTAGAAAATTTAATTTAGGATGAATTTTAATAACTTTTAAAAGCAATTTACACAACTGCATAACTCTATAATTCACCTAGTATGATATACTACTACTTGCATAGAAATGACTTTTTGTATTGTATTTTAAGCTTGTTGATTTCATTCCTGTTATCTAACTGTTTTCAGATTTGGTATGTTCCTGGACCAATTGACCCCATTCCTGGAAAATGTCACCTTCTGGAGAGATACAAAACCAACCCTAGAAATCATGAACATCTTGGCAAGAGTGATGAATAAACAGCTAGATGGACTGATAAGTAAGTTTGTACCAAAGAGTAGATATTATTGACTTCAAAAGGACTTTCAAAGGTACCAACAAAGAAATTCATCATAAATATAAGGTTTTATACTAAGAATTACTGTACAAGGAAATGATAAAGACTATTTTTTAGTTTAGTCTTGAGTGATATGGACTGTACTTTAGATATATTTTTATTCATTTTCTTCTTCGAAGGTGGAAACCCTGTCACCATGGAAACACTATTTAAGAATGCTACCCACTTTACTGATGTGATGAGGAAGGCATTTGCCATCACCCCTGATATCATTAGGGTCCTCAACTATGCAGCAGTTGATCCACTCAAGGTAGAGAATTTCAAGAGTGATATTTTGTTTCTTATATATGTTTTTTGTGCATGTATTTAAAATCTATTTGTGTCTCAAGGTGTTATTTTTTTCTACACCAGTAATCAGTCGTAAAGTTCACAATCGTGGTCCATTTCATATTAATGGTTTCCCGATTAATCTGCCAAATTTGGAGTAATAACCTTCAATTAAATTTCATTAAGATTTGAAAAGGTTGTTGAAGATCGTAAACTTTTCAACTCAAAGTTGGGAATACCTATAGTGCTATTTAGAAACAAATGTAAAGAAAAACTGATATTCTGTACATACATTGTATTGTAGATTGGTGAAGCAAAAAGTGCTGAAGACCTGCAAGCTGTGTTCTGTTCACCATCCACTGTGCTGCCACCTGGTATCAATGAGACCGCAGTGAGGATGGTGCTCTGTGGCACCAACATCACAGCCATTTATGTGGAGATGATGAACCAGATTAATTATGTGGCCATTGCTGATGTGGTGAGTGCTAGCTATCATTAAATGTCTCATATCTCTTTCTTCAGTGTTTTGATGTAAATACCTTAAAACTTGTTTAGTAAGTCCACATTTAATTTACCTTTGTTTTTAGCAGATAGTCAAGAAAGTCAGAACTTTCATAGCTATAATGAAGTCAAAAAATATGATTCTTCACCTCCAGTTACACAAAGCCAATTCAGGAATGGACTTGGGTCCATTTAACTGGACTTCTACTCTGGGAGAAATGTACAAGCTCGGAGAAAAACTGGGTCTTGTCTTCACCAATACCTCCTACCTTAGTGTTCTGGCCCAACCTGAGTTCTACATGTTCAATGGGGATTTTAACACCTGGATGAAAAAGCTGGAAAATGCCAGCATGCTGAATACACGGGAGATGATGATTGTGTAAGTTGAGACTCATTAAGCAGAGCAGTTTAGAAATGATTTTTTGACATATGGGAGAACCCAGCAGTGCCTTCAGGCAGTTTTTTTCTAAACAATCATGCAGTATGCTATTGTTATGCCTTGTTTGTATTTTGTTTTATATTTATTAAGAACACAAAAATGATAAAATATACATATTTTCTATGAAGCAATTTAGATAAATGAGATAAAAATAATAATGTGTTTCTGATAGTCACATGTTTCGTTGTTTTGTTTTAGAATTGGAGCACAGTTGAACCAGATGACACCTTTGTTAGAAACCACAGATTTCTGGAGAATGCAGCTTAGGCCACAGTTGGAGATTCAGAGGATTTTGATCAATGTGATGGAGAAAAAATTAGAAGGGCTACCACGTAAGTGGCTTCCATTTTTGTGACGCAGCTATTGTCAAAAATTTAATAGTTGTGTAAAAATTAAAATACTTTTTTGTAGACTGCTGTAAGTTTTCAAGGTTTAGATAAAAACCTGAAATGCCTTATAGCTTTTATATTCAGGTTTAGATCTTAACCTTTGAAACAAATAGAATATTTTTTCTACAAATAGAATATTTTTTCTACAAATCGAAGTTGTTTTGAGAAAAAGTTGTTTTAATCTTGAAAATGGATGCCAAATTATTCCTAATCAGAGTTTATTTTCGTATTATAGAACCAGCCACCACCTGGACCATGGAGACCTTCTTCAAGAATTCCTCCAACTTTGTTCACTTCATGGAGAAGGCATTTGAAGTGGCTCCAGACATCACCAAGGCCTTTACTTATGCCCAAGTGGATCCACTGAAGGTACAAATGTTTATATAGTATCTGAAGGTACAAATGTTTATATAGTATCTAGTCTGTGGTGATAGTCAATGATTAGAATCTATTGGCTAGTTGAGTTGGCACCTGAAAAATGAATATAGTTACTATAATATAGTTACTAGTCTGATCAGCTGTTTTTCAAAGACAGTTTTTCCATTATTGATACGTTTAATTGCTGTACCATTTGTAATGGTTTTCTGAGGCCTATATCTCTGGCTTTATTCTCCAAGAATGGCTTAAATTAACCCATGACTCTGTCTTGCTCAGATTGCTGCTGTGACAGACCCAGCAGACATTCAGGCGTTGATGTGCGGTGATGCCACCACTTACCCTGCCACAGTTAACGTCACTGCCGTCAAGGAGGTCCTGTGTAAAACCAACTTTACAGCAGTCTATGTGGAATTTATGAATGAAATCAACTACCCAGCCATTGCTGAAGTGGTGAGTAAATTTTATTTGATTTGATTTTTAATTTGAAGCTTTTTTACCATAGAAATTTGTGATGGTAGTTGGAAAACCAGTTTTACAAAATTAATTTTGATGATTCTTTAGAATATCCCAGTTTTTTATGAAAAATGGAATTGATAGATTGAGTTAGAATGAAAAAAAGCTGTCCCCATTTGCAAATAATAACAAACAAAACAAAATCCTTTTCATATAGTGTTGGTAGTTTCCAAAATGTTTGTGTTCCTGTAATTTAACTATCTTGTTTTATAAGGGGAGTTTAAGTCAGCAGCGCCCTGAATTGTATTTTTTTATTAATTGGTTTCCATTATTACATTCAGATCTACAAGGCAAGTAACAACATCTCAATGGGACCATTCAACTGGACTGAGGTCCTCCTTGGTTCTCTGAGACTGGGAGAGAGATTTGGAGTCGTCTTCACCAACATCAATTTACCCAAAGTACAGGATTTCTTTAATTTCCATGGCAACTTCACTGCATGGCTGGAAAGGATGGCAACAGCATCAACTCTCAACAACGAGGATATTGTAGCAATGTAGGTGACTCTTTGAGGAGAAACTAATTTTTTAAACTTTTTTTCTTAATATAAATTCTTTCTTTTGTGACAAATTGGCATTGATTCATTAAAATTTTATTATTGTTACATAATTTGTCTATATCAACAGTATTCACACTGAAGTTTTTTTTTTCTTTTGAAAAATCATTTACAAAAGACAATATTATTGTAACCTTGATATACTTCAAGATAATAGTGAGAATTTAATTTTAATTGAAAGGCAGTTGGCAATAAGTGACAAAAAATATTTTTTTCATATGAAATTAAATATATATTAGACTGTGAAATTATTGTGAACATTTTATCATTCAGGGTTGCAGCTTATATGAAGAGCATCACACCAGCCATACAGAACATGTCTGGTGGGAATGACCTCCTCATGTTCTTCAAGGCAATGGATTTCCTGACTGAGACCCTGACTGACAGACTCCGAGAGTTCCAAGGTATGGGATCCCTTTTCTTTCTTCATCTCCCCCCCCCCTTTCCCCCCCTGCCTTCCAACAATCACTGCTCGGCCATAAAGCATTTAGTATATCTATGTAGTTTGCTCAAGTTGAAGTGGGCAGATTAAAATATGTTTTCAACTCTTGTAATGTTTTGTGTTATTGGCTTTGCTTTGTGGATGCATTCACTTATTTTCCCAAATCAGGTATATGAAAGAAAATATATAAGTTGATTTTACAGTTGAATTCGCTATGTTTTTTAGTTTTGCCTAATTATGAACTTTTGTTTCTTAACTCATTATTTTAGCCCAACCAATCACTCTGGAAGTACTCCTGAAGAATGCCACCCAGCACATTGCGCTGTTGAGAGCTCAGTTGAACTTGGATGACGAAACTATCCAGACACTAATGACGGCCAGGTTCAGACCCAACAAGGTAAATATTGAAATAGAGTTATCAAAACTTCTGTAAAAAATGGCAATGGATTTGGAATTAAATGAAGTTGATATGATATTATTTGATCATAAACTTCTCTTCATATGCGTATTCAAGGAAAGTCTCTAAATACCTTTTCTAAATATAAACTAAGTGGTTAGAAGTAACACAAAAAAACTCAAATTACTGAATAGTGATCAGAGTTAGTACTGATAAAAGTCATTTCTTTGTATTCAATATATTTTTTCACTCTATACACTGCGTAACAAGTTCACATTCCATGATAACTGGCAACATTATTTGTGGAATTTCAGTTGGCAGAATTGGTGGCTTCACCAAACCCAGACCAGATCCTGTGTACATCAAGTATAGAGGAACTGCTAGAGCTTCCTTCCAATGCCACCATGAGCCTGGACCAGCTCCAGCAAACCCTATGTCAACTGAACACCACTGTGTTACAGCAGGAATTCTTGAGCCAACTCAATCTGCAGCAGCTCATTGATATGGTGACTACATTTAGATCCATAATATTATATGTTAAAACTTTCTTCTTTTTAGTCATTTACTGGAGTTGTAAAATGGTACCAAAGGTGACATTGTAATGATCGACTTTTGTCTGTCACTGTAATTTAAGCAAGTCCATTGAAAGAATAAAAAAATGATTTTCATATGTTATTGCAGCTGGATGTCTACTTATCTTCACAAACTTACAGTTTGATAGTTTTATTTATGCATTTCATGTTAAGTCATATTTTAACCAGTTATACATGTGAAGTTGATCTAATTCATATGTGTCATCACCTATTCCACTAAGTCTGACTATTTAATGGTAAAATTAATTATTATGTTAAAACATAATTCATAGAGAAATTTGATCATTTTGTCAATTCAGAATATGTTTGATTTAATTTTGTAATGTATCACAGCTTTATATTTTTGGGTTGCACATGCAAGAGGTGTTTTTATGAACAAAATTGAATTTATGATTTAGGTGTGCAAATAAATTTTATCACTGTGAGGTATTTGCTTAAAAAAAATGAGTACTTTTTCAGATTGTGAATGGCATGACCTCGGCTGAACCTGTACAAATTGACTGGATGGCAGCCATTAGACACGCCCGTGAATTAGAAGCAGTGATCCGGCAGATGATCCAGAATCCACCAAAAGTGGACCAAGAGCTCATGAGCATTGTCAACATCACTAACCTGGGCCCAGTGTTTGCCAGGTTCGCTGAACAGTGGCAGACGGCATTGACAAATGTTGATTTTAATTCGTAAGTTTTTTTTTCATACTTCATATGTCCAACCATTTTGAGTAATAATGATGGCTGTTAGCAGTAGTGTTATGCTGCAGTTTTTCATGTAACTTATTCCATCCTCTTTTTATGATATAGAAAAAGACTTCCTCTTTTTTACATAAAACATTACAGAAATTTTGATGGTTTTATGTTTCAGGTTAGCTGCCATTATGCAGAGTCTGAGTCCTATGATGCAGAACACAAGTTTTGGACGAGAAACCATCAAATATCTCAGAATAATGGACCTCATTATTGATGTCCTCAATACACGACTTGAAGAAATGCAAGGTATGAAATTTACATCTGCCTGTCAAACAAAATTATTCCCCATTTATATTTCATTATTGTACTGATAAATAAATTCTTTAAAATTGTCCTCAAGATAATTTTGTGCCCTGTGCAAATAGAGATGCATAGTTTCATGTTTTCTGACTATCAGACATAATGTCCTTACATTTTAAATAAATTTCACGTGAGGTGTATTATTACAGCAATTTTTTATAATGCAGCTTAGATAAAATATTTCATTTGTAGATTGCATAAATTTAGTTGCTTGTTTATGAGTCTTAATCTAATTTTTCTCATTTCTCATTTTTCTCTTCTTCCAGGGAAACCTTTGAGCTTGAACAGTCTGCTGCTCAATGTTACAAGTCTGGTGAACGTAATGGAAAATGTACTGAACATAGACCCCAGTGTTGTACAGACTTTCCTCACTGCTAATGTAGACTCAGCCAAGGTAAGCAATACAGAAATAAGGTTATAGTCTTCTTATTTTCTTATTTGTGTAAGAAGGAATCGTTATTACTGTTGTGAGAAAATCAAACCTAAAATGCTTGCTAATTTAAAACAAGTTTTATTCTGTTGGCATGGTATATTTGTATGCTTTTTACATCCTGGCTTAGTAATATTTGGAGATAAATGTATAATACTTTGGCTTCAGTCAGCAATAACATTAACATACATTTTTCACCAAATATTGCTGCAAGAAGTGAACAAATGTAACTGGATCACACTTTCAGTGCATTATGATCCCAACATGATGTCCAAGTCATCTGAATCAAGTGTATTAAATAACTAACCTCCATTTGCCATTTCATTAGTTCAGATTTGAGAAAATATAGTGATATCTGTGAAGTTTTTTTTTAAAGATAAAACAGGTAATAAAATTGCCACAACCTTTTACACTTTCAGTTGAATGAGCTAATAAGCAACCCCAGCCAGTTCTGTAGTCAGGACCTGTCTCAGGTGTTGACCTTGCCAGGGGCTGACATTAATGCCATTGAACAACTGAAGGATTCCTTGTGCCAGGTTAACACCACTGTCATCTTGAATGAGTTAAAGAGGCAGCTGGACATCAACAGACTGACTGGACAGGTTAGTTTGATCTTTTCAGGGCAATACTATATAAATAGTAAAGCGAATGATGTTTTTTTTTTTGGCTGCTTTTACTGATGAAGAATGATTTTTTTTAAAGATATGTGAGTAAATGGAAAAATAATACCTTCAAATCTGAAATGTCTGTATATATTTCTTATTATCCTTCTTATACTTCTAGATTACTGACATTCTGAACTCGAATAGCACTTCATTTGACTGGATAGCCTACATGGTGAAGACCCAGAAGCTGAGTGACCTGATCACCAGTCTGGCCACCAATCTCTCCACCGCTGACTTCCTCAGGTCACTCAATACCAGCCAGCTCCTGAATCCTGGAGCCATGCAGCCTTTCACATTTGATCCCAAGATGTAAGTAATTGTTACATTCTATAAGGTATGCTTGTGTTAATCCTTCATGAGACAGCAAATTGAATTAGTACCTTGAAACTGAGGAATATTTTTGTACCTAATAGATATGTTTTTTTACACCAGTGTAAAGAAAGATTACATAAATGGACTTAAATTTAAGGAATTTTGCATATACCATTTAGTAGGTTTCATTTTATTTTTTTAATAAAATTCATTAGATGAATAAACATGACATTTTAAAATTTGTTACTGTTAATTAATATTCTGAGCATTTAAAGGGACATACTAAAGGTATTAACTGTCACCTGGACCAGATACATGTACTACCTGGTACAGGTGAACTTAACGTCAACAAAGAGCAGCAGAAACTCATTAACAGACATTTATCCTCTTGTGTTTACCTGTCCATTCAGGGTGACTCAGTTGATAACATCTCTGGCTCCATTGTTGAATGGCATGGACGCTTCACTGTTGAATGGCATGGCTTGGAACCTGCAGATGATCAATGCACAGCTCTCCAGGCTGGCAGGTAAGCCAATCAAAAGTTCAATCTGATTTGATTGTAGAATTACCTTTTGATGACACTGCTGTCTTCTTCAGTGAGATTTTAGGTGATTGTACATAGGGCTTGTTCACATTGTGAAGAAAGCAAGGTGGTCACATTAGAAATTAATGAGCATAATAAGAGCAGCCAAGCACTTGTCAAGTGTTCTCGTCTGTCCTAGTGTTGTGTTTATCTTTATTGTCATATTGTTGTGCTTTGATACAAGTACAGCAATTATTGTTTAGTTGATCTGTGCCTTCTGGAAAGAAAAATGCATGTAGCCGTTTCCTTGCTTTACCATTACTGAGAAAGGGACTTAAAGAAAGCATAATGAGCAGTGTGACTTTTAACTAAACAAGTTTTTCTGAGTTAAATCTATTGAAGTTCAATCTGACATATCTTGGGAACCAAGACCCCACACTACTGATTATCAATTTAATCAAACTTGTAAAATTGTCTGTTTCAGATCAAGGATGGACTGTAGAACGTCTGATGCAGAACCAGACAGCCCTGGCTTCCTTCTTCAAGGACATGATGCGCCTTTCTGGCACAATGGCCACTGGTTCTGTATTACTAGAGAGAACAGAAGGCGTGGTAAGGAGACAGATAGTTTCTGGATTTGATAGTATTTATAGAATTTTTCTAATATTGCTAAGAAAAAAAAACACCATCCCCTTTGCCATGTCCAAAGGAAATAATAGGGAGGAAAATATGTATAAACATTCAAATAAAAATATGTAAATTTCTATTAGTACACCTTCAACAATTTTCTCCACTCAACAAGATTTCCCTTCATTTACTGCAAAATTTCTGTTATTATTACCAATTGACAGGGTCAACTACGAATTTGTCCATAAAATTCCTTCCTTGTTTAAAAAATAACAATTCTAACTTTTCCATCTTACTTCAGATGAAGGCATTGATGCGTGACAGCCCCACTGGACAGCTGGTGTGCCAAAACACATCTGCAGTGACCACATTACTGGATATGAAGCCAGCAAAGATTGCCACCTTGCAGCAGATCTGGTGCAACCATCAGCCAGATGCTGCCTGGAAGGCTCTCAGGCAAAATATGTCTGCAGGGGAGCTGTACAGCATTGAGCAAACTGTAAGTACTGCCATGGGGAAGGTATATATAAACAGGAAATGTATTTTAATTAATCTTCATTTCAATTCTTCTCTAGTATGTAAATATTAATCAAGCACTGATAAAGCAAAAAAAAAAGGATACAGGTTTGACAGCTGTCTTTCATATTGGTTACATTGTCTTTCATATTGGTTTTATATTGATATAAAGTTTGTCAAACTTATATTTATAAGCATTAACTAGCAAAACTAGCATTCACCACTTGAGTCTGATGTTTAAAAAACCTCCCTTATTTTACAGCTCTGGCAATGGAGATATATGCATGCTATACGAGTGGGTGACTACACATTTGCACTGAATGTGACTTCTCCCAATTTGGACTTGAACGCACTCACAGACAGTGTCAGGACGATGATAGGTGTGCTGGAAAAACTGCAGTTCATGAACTCTGGACTTGGCACATTCAATGCCTCTTACTGGCTACATGCTTTGAATACATTCAGTATGGCATCCACAGAGGGCAACATACTGCTGTAAGCTTCATTCCATTTTCATGTTCATTGTCCAGTTTGTAAATTTTATTTGGATATCTCTGTATAGCAGATGGACAGCTGTTATTTCCATGCTATTTGTTTATTAATATAGATAAAGAGTTTCTTTTGTTATCCTAAATTTGGACAATGTTTTATGTTCATTTTAAATATTATAAGTGCTTTTACACAGGAAAAAAATGGTATAAGATTATTAAATTCATTGTGAGCTAACAAAACCCCAGAACAATCATTGAGGAACATGTTGAATAGTAATAAAGTGTTATGTATTATTGAATGTAGAATGCTGGATACCCTCCGCACCCTGGATCCATTGTTCAGTGACAGTGAGATTTGGACAGAGCTGACAAAATATGTGAACGGATATGCTGTCTTTGCCAACTACCTCAACACACAGATGGAGAAAATGCAGGGTACGTAATGAATGACTAAGCAATTACGGGTTTCCATTTATCAGTATTTCTCCATCTTGAATTCATTCAAAGTGTGATGTTTTAAGTTGTCTTTGTAGATGACAAAAGTCAGAAATTAAAAAAACGATGAATCTGAAAAAGTGAGATTTGACCATGATGTAAATTAAAATTTTTTAGTTCGAAACTTCACGGTTCGGTTGGTGGACATGCTTCCTGATCCAGTCGCCATGCAAGAGATGCTGACTGCAGCCATGAGCCCAGAGTTTGCTGCTGAGTTTATGACAGCTGGCATGTTCCCTATCAAGGTACGTGTACTATGTTTTAGGATGGAATCCAATCAGTTATAAAGAGAAATTGGAGACAATCTGGCCTGGCTTTAGATCAGTTTTCTTCTTATGTATATATTTTTTTCACTTTGGCAAATTCCCCTGCAATTTTTAGAGATCTAATTTTTGTCAGGCACAGTTATGCATAAAGTTTCAATTTTAGCACAGTTGTCACACAAAGGGACATAACAGCATTCCACATTCTTTTGAAATAAATCACTTTTTCCTTCTTGACTCTAATGTTTGATACTTTTTTCAGTTCATGGGCATGTCCTCAGATTTTGCCAGTATGCTGTGTAATGCGACAGCATTTAACACCGTGTTCCACTTCCCAGAGGGCCTTGACACTGTGAAAATCCAACAAAAGCTGTGTGCTACAGCCAAAAATGATTCTCTGTTTACTCAGAAATTCTTGGATGCAATGGACATGAATATGATGGTCGAACAGGTACGCATGCAAGATGCTTCACATTTCACTTTTTGTATGTTTGTCAATTCCTCCTCCAATGGGTTCTAATTCTATTCATTTTTCTGTATATTATTGACTAATTTCATGGGTCACCTTGTATTTGCTGTATATCTCACTGGTGACTGTACATTTCATCTTAAAAGTTTCAAATACACTATTAAATGTATGGTTTCTTTCACTAAATGACACAAAGTGACACCAGTGACAAACCTTTTCCTTGTAGATGAGACGTGCAATAGAACAGCCCAAGAGTATGGATACATGGAGCTACGTGATTGGCCAGATGGAACGCATGTTTAAGAACATCGACATGCTGTCCAAGTTTGGTGTAGACATGGGTGGTATGGGCAAATACACAACCATGCTCAGCAGCTTCCTTACAATGCTCAATGAGCCCAATTACAACAGGTGAGTAACAACCATTAAAAAAAACATGTTAACAGTGTATAAGGAAGTAGTGTAACAATGTTCAGGAAATATTGTAACAGAACCAAAAATGAACTAAACTCAGAAGATTATTTGCAATGGGTATCCAAAATAAAAAATCAAAATCCACACATAAAGACTAAACTTTTTGTCCTCAAACTGGCCTAGTGAGAAGGAATGCACATTACCTATTACAGTCACCAATAGTAAATGAAGTCATATTATTACAAAATGTTACCTCCAGTTACATATGACAAACAGAAAATCAATTAGTATCCTGATTTTATTAAAACTTGTAACTGTTATTTAAACTGAGGCATAAAGGATCATTCTTTTAACCATCTGACCGGATTTCATTTCATGTCATTTTTTGGTTGCCAATATATACTATACAAAAATCAAAACCATAAACTAATAACCATAACAGGAGCTATTGTGTAGACATCATATTTAGTTGAACATTTTGATACATTACAGCCATCATTTGCCAGCAGACAAGATTGGCAGCTTTTTAGTGAGGCTATACAAACCTGGAAACTGTTTACCGATTTGTATCCACCTTAACCAACAAACATTTCATCTAAATTAAAAGCTATATTCTCCGTGTATCTTGCAGTGCTGGTGCCATGTGTGATGCCACATTCTCTTACTTGAAGCAGAACACACCATATTACCAGCTGATGAAGAACTCTCTGGTGGCCAACAAGTACATGATGGCCATGCAGCTAGACCTGGTAGAAATGGTAGCAGGTGGGTGATATTTTGTGATAAAATTGGTTAAAAATTTAGAGAAGGTTAATTTAAATCGATTAGGTAACTATTACTCACTGTAGGCAAGAGAATTTCTATATATTTAATAATAGGCCAAATTACAAAGTCTGGTGTCAGATGTCAGATTTAGTGACAATAACACAAAATTACAGTTTCAGACCACATTTTCCTTAAATACATTTGCCACAGTTATCATAATGAGACTAATGTAACAAAACCCATGGTTTAAAACTACAAATAGAGAGTGTGCATGTTTTTCTTTTTCTTTTAACAGAAATACCGAGAATGATGTGTGATAAGGATATGGACATGATGAAATTGTGGGAAGAGATTAAAACCTCTGGTATGCTGGACCATATGGATAAGGTAAGGACTTGCTATTATCGATGTCTGACATTGTCAGAGTTTCTATAGCTTGTATGCTTGATTCATTTGCAAAGGTAAATAACACAATGTTTGTGTTGTAAAATGACATACTTTTGTTAATGGTTGTTAACAACCATGTGCTTGGTGCACCCAAATATGTGTACATTTAGAACATGTATCTGAACACTTTTGCCATTAAAAAAACCTAGCTGTCTTAAGTGCCAGAATTGGTAATCCTGCATTATTTTTGAAACATAGATATAGCAAAAATGGAGGGAGTAGGACCATGTTTTTCTTCTTTGTGAATCATTTTGTTTTATGATCGAAGAAATAAGCCAAGCAGAAATTCTGTGCACATTCAATGATAGTAATAGATTAATTATAGTAATAATAATAACATTACAATAAATTATGAATATTTTTGTCTCCTTAACAGTTGACTAAAGTCTTAACTGGCAACCTGTCCGAGCCGTTCCTCTGCAGTGATCTCACAACCCTCCAGTACCAGACTATGGAACAGACCAACAGAACCATCTTGCACCTCATAGCCAACTCTAACCAAATGGCGTATTGTGCCAGGAATAATATGTTTGTGGACATGACTTTTGCACAGCAAATGGATTGGTAATTTATTTATTTATTTATTTATATTTTTTATTGTTGATTTTCTAATTTCATGGGGGAAAAATCGACTATTTTCAGAGGTTGGTAAAGTTGTCAGTGTTAGCGCTACATGTATTTGCTGGTATATAAACATAACTTATAAACCCTATTTTTGAAGTGATTGCAGTACACTATACAAGGGTTGAAAAATGAATGCCTGCTATATATATAAACACAAATATTATTGTAAGACCAAAATTTATGAATGAAATATTATGTATCTATCTCCAGGGTAATGAGAATGCTTGGGCAAATGCAGACCATCTTGAACAACCAAACTAACATGGCATTAGACATGACTATGCTGAATCAAATCATGCCATATGTCCAGATGATCAGCAGTGCATTCATCCAACCTGATCCAGGTAGAACGGACTTTTCAGACATATCCTCATTTTCAGATTATTTTATCAGCCAGGTTAGAGTAAGATGTTAAGCTTTGAAAAAAAAGTAATACATGTACATCTGTTGCCAAGAAATCCATCTTATCCCTTTATCATTTCCAGTTTTAGGACATTATTCATAATTTTCTTCATTGTGTATATTTCTTACTCTAGTGTGGGCCAATTTCACTGAGATCTTGAGAAACCCCAGTGACCTGAACAAGTTCTTCCGTGATGTGCTGAGTCTCAGTCCAGACATGATAGATGCCATACTTAAGTCGACAATAGATCTCAGCTTGGTAATGTCATTAAATTCACACAAACCAGACTTATATTTACAAAGCAACAGTAATTGGAATTAAAATTTTATAGTTCCATAGTGTTGTAAGTTGGATGCAGCCCTAGAGTTATAGGCTGGCTATTAATTAAGATTAAGTAAACTTTTTAATTCATGTTGCAAATAAGACCAATTTAATCTTGTAATGGATTATAAAACTATGCTACTTAGTTGTTGGAATTTCCTTCAATTCTGTCATGAAATGTTGAAAACCCTAGTGAAGAGAATGATCTTTTTTTTTTTCTTGTAGAACTCTCTGGTGAACAAGACAGACAAAGAAGTTGCAACTTTGCTGTGCAATTCCACAAAGTTGCAGGGACTTATTCAGTTGCCTACAGCATTTGGTATTGATGTTAGTGAAGTGAGTTCTGCTCTTTGCGGACCCAACATCTCGCAGACAGTAAAGATGATCCAACAGAGCATTGATGTGGGCAGAGTGCTACTTGCAGTAAGTGTAGCTAGTTGACAGAAAAATGGGGAAAATTTACCCCAAAAAAACTGCACTTTTATTTAATCTAAAAAGTAGCATTGATTTTCAAGATATTGATTAGACGCTATTTTTCCACCTATTATTGTTATTATTATTATTATTATTATTATTATTATTATTATTATTATTATTACTTATGTGTCTCCTAGTATTATTCTCCATTCCTTTTTCACACATATAAAAATGAAGGGAAAAATCAAATGAACTTACATCATTATTTGAGAGAAGTCTTTCTCTGTTGGAAAATCAATAAATAAATGTGCTCAAACCTTTAACAACATACTTTGCTTACATTTTATCCTCAGTTGTCCCAGACTACCTACAGCATCAATACAACATGGGTAGACTCATTCTCCAAGAACCTGCAGCAGTTGTTCCAGGTTGGCGATGCCCTCTTTCAGCTGCAGGACGCCTTCTCCAGCCTCAGTCTGGACAAACTGGGAGAGGTCTTACCGCAGTTACAGACATTCATGCTCGAAAATGGACCAGATTTGTTGTTCAACAGGTAAAAAGTCAAATGCTTACCCATAGGTATTTACTCTAAGTATTAATTTAGTGATTTGAGAATATTTAATAAAAAAAACTTAAGCTTAATTTTAAATTTCTTTACCTAGGAATTTGATATTATGCAACTAAACAAGTGTATCACAATCATTTCCAGCATTCAGCAGATTATAGTAGACCTGAGCAAGGCCATAACAGACCCCACAGTAAGGACACTCCTGCAGGACCTAGACGTCTTAGCCACTGGAATCAAAGGTCTGAATGTCATCAAGGCCTTCATGCCCCCCACTGTGAAGATACAAGACGTGCTAAAGGACCCCAGCGCCTTCCAGACATACATGACAAGTGAGCTGGGACTACCTGTACCTGTGGCCAATGCTGTACTGGGGAGCAGCTTGACGTATACTGTGGTAAGAACCATTGGAGATTCTTTTTTTAATTCTGGTCTGTACATAGCTAGCAATTAAAAAAATGTTAATTTTCTGAAATATATCCCCCCCCCATAGTTCTCTTAATCTGATAAATGGCATAGAACCTTTGTCAAATTTTGATTCAGGGTGTACTTATTCTGGACAGAAGCATGATTCTTTTGATTGCTGCCCCCCCCCCCCCAGGGCCTCCATGCTTATGGGTCACATGACATTGATAAACTTAACTGATTAAACTAATATTGCTGAAGTGCATGCTTTTTCTTTTTTGCTTTCTTTATATTTTCATAGTGTGTGAAAAACTTTCAAGTTAAATTCAGGGAGTAATCACACATTTCCTTCTACAATTGCAGCTGTACAATGCAAGCAAGAATATGTCTCCTGAAGACATGAAGGAACTGTTCTGTAACCCAGACCAACTCGGCTCCCTTATCCTCATCAACTCTACGACAGTGACCTCTATGGATGTGAGCAATGCCATGTGCGCCATCAGTAAGGACCTGGTGGCTAACATCACAGAGAACTTACTGCTGAGACTGGGTGTAGGAGAGATGGTGAAACAGGTATGTTGTAGTCTCTGAGAGAAACACTGATGTGTTATAAGGCATCTGATAACTATGAAAACCACTTTGTGAAATATGAAATAACACCAAATGCTTAAAAAAAGTTTTTTTTTAAAGTTTGATATTATTTAGAAATATCGCTCATCAGTATGTCATAAAGTTTAACTTAGTAAAAATTAAATCTTTGACCAAATTTCAAAATTTTGCAAGAGTGCCCAGGAAAATGGGGAAGTCAAGATGCCACAGAAACATAAAACTTAATAGAGTATATGAACAAATGTATATTTGTGGTGCACATTGGGTTTTTGATGTACTCTATAAATGCAACTACAAGTACTAAAGCTGTTGAAATTTATATGGTAAAACAACAATGCAAAACTCCAGTTTGTCATTTTTTCAATTACCAGAAGTATTATCATGCAAACTCACTCAACATGAAGATTTTTCTTTCAGTTTATTGCATCTGGTATAGATAGTGTGCTGCCAAGTACGACCGATACTGAAAATATCAAGAGAGTCCTGAAGAACGTGGAGGCCACTAAGGCCACACTGGAAAGTGCATTCAGAGGGTTTGCCAACCTGACTGCAAGCCTTCCAGCAGACTTTGCTGCCTTTGATGACAGTGCTGCATTTCCAAGTATGAACATTTAACTATGGTGTTTTAAATTGTTTTCTTTTAAACTTTCTTTTCTTTCTTTCTTAAGAGTCTTTCCAATGTGTTTTTTCCTAAGAGTCTATCCAATATGTTTTTTTTCCTCCCCAAAGCATTTACTTTTACTTGTTTGTAGATCTGTACATTAACATGTTCACTCACGGTGTGCTTTGTCTTTGTTTTCCTATAATAGCTTTTTTACTTTGCTTTACATGTAGTACTAACACCATACTATTAACATTTTCACTTTGAGTGTTTTGCTTTCTTTTGTTTAACCTGGTAACATGCTTGGTTTGATCTTGTGTGACTTTACTGTCTTTACTCCCATTGTCACTTATTTTATTAGGTCCTTCAGCCTCTCCAACTCCAACCACTGGATTAAACTTAACTCTAAATGGGTATCCAGGTATTGACTCTGTGCTTTTCTACAGGAGCTTGTGTTTAATCCTTTTTGATTCACTGTTAGAATATTATAACAAGCAAAACAAATTCAAATCCTTAATCAATCCTCATCTAACAAATAAAGAGAATTCTGAAGGGGGTTCAAAGTTCAGTGTTGAATCAATGTCAGGCCAATGTTGATGTCATGTCAACCTATCTTCAACATTGAATCAACATGACATTTCTCAGCATAGCCTTGTTGACAATGAATCAATATTGAATATTTATTAATCAACATCTGAACAAAATTTCAACTAATACACAATATTTTCATAGTTTACATGTCTGCAAAGCTCTTGATTTAGTTTTTCACCTTGTCCGTCTTGGTCAAAAAGTCTTTATGTGATGGAAGAGAGATGTTTTACATCTGACAGAGAATTGCAAAAAATTATTCATCAATATCAGAAGGAAGAGTGAAAAGTCTGAAAATAATCTAATTTTGTGAGTGACCTGCTTTATGTTGGATGGATGCTGCTTATCTTTGCATATTTTTTTAATGGACACTGAATATTTGAGAATGACACTTTGACAACTAATGTGTTTTTTGAATGATAAATTAACTATAGTTTCTTCATTTTGCTATGAGTATATTGCTTTTGGCGTATAAGTTTCAGTTTTGAAAACAAGGTATTAACACCTTTGTTCATACAATATTATGTAGTGCCTTGAAAAAATCTGAAGTTGCAGATGGTTTTGTTCCTGTATATGAAACAGAAATGTATGATATATTCAGATTAAATATGAAATTGTGAAAATAATAATGGTTGTATAAAAGATTTTATTTTGCCATTCCTTGTGGCATGCAACACTGCTCTATTTGCACCTATTACAACATATTTGACTATGTTTTGGTTCTAGGTACGTCTGCATTGACATCAATGGGGTCCATTATTTGCGGCACGCAGTTAAAACTTGATGATGTCTTCCAACTGACCAGCCCTGGCACTTCTGGTATCCCCACGGAAGAGATGGAGAAAGAACAAGCCACTCTGCCTGGTAATTTCTCATTTTGAAAACTTTTCCAAATTATTTAACATAACATTTTTTTCTACCAATGATGTTACTTATCCCATGTTTATTATTATTATTATTATTTATATGTAATACAGACCTATATCAACCTGTAACCTAAAATAAAATCATTCAATGAACAAATAAATTACTATGCAAGTGCTTGATTGTTTTTACTGTTAATGTATTATCAATACATCATTCAAGCTGAGCACAGATAATAAACAAATGTTTTAGTTGGTTTATCTATGATGTGCTTTATAGAGCACATTATATGCAGAGGCTAGTCTCGATATTATATGGCACTATTTTCTCTTTTTTTTTAGGTGGATTCTGTCAGGATATGTACATGAATGTCATACAGGAGAAAGGTGGCGCTGTCATCTGGTCCTACATCAAACCTTTGCTGAGAGGAAAGATTCCGTTTGCTCCTAACACTCCTACAACTAGAGCAATCATTGAGAAGGTACTAAACTGTGAAATAAAACAAAACATGTTTCAATAAACTCCATAAAATCTTCAGAGACATTTTTTTGTCTGTATTAAGCATTTCACTATCTATGATTATTTTTGATATCCCCTGGACTGTTGAAATTTTCTGAGGGAAGTGTAGATATTATGGTTTTTATTTGCTGTGGTTGATTTTACTTCATGTCACTTAAAATAAGCATATATAATGTAAGTTAACATTGTTTTGTTATTTGTTTGATTATGTTATATCATAAAATCATCCTTCATTCTTTAAAACAAAAACAATTTCAAGGACCCATGATAGCAGCTGGTTTCCCAGTCAAATACAGGGATGAAATAAATTATATTAAATTTAGTACTTGAAAATAGTTGCATCATGAGACTATTAAATGAAATTTCTTTCAGACCAATTTCACATTTGCTGAGCTGGAGAAGACCAAAGATTTCATGCAGGTTTTCCTGGATGGTTCAGAGAGTTTGGCTGCTTTGATGAACAGATCTCAACAATTAAATGAAATCACGGTATGTGCATCAGGAATAATCTGTCTCGTAATCTTGCAAATAATTAAGTATGTACTCAAGTCGTTTTGTTACAAAAATAGTGAAACACTCTAAAGATTGAGATAAACTAACCATTTTTTAAGAAAAATTTTATGACTTGTCTGTGGTTCAGAGATTTACATATAGTGACCCTCTTGATATTTTAATGCTTGATATTTAATATAATTAAGGTTATTGCAGATTACCGATTTAAATCTTAAAGATTTTGCTTAAGTTCTCTTTCCAGGCTGACCACCTCATCAATTATAATTACTTTTCAAAAAGATAGATAAAAGTTATCATATGGTTTCTATGTTTTAATACACTGAAGTAACGATGAAAAATGTTTTACGTTATTTTACCTTATTAATTATTTAATTAATTAATTTATTTATTTATTTATCATTGATTCATTTATTTTAATTTATTTATTTCTTTTTGACTGTAGGCAGCTCTGTCCAATCCATTTGTTAGTGGTGCACTGGAGCAGACCTTGGGCATGAACGGCCAGCAGCTTGCTACCAGTCTGGAACAATTTAACACCCTGCCAAAAGAAGAACTGGACAAGATCAAGTCACTTGTTAGAATAGTTCTGAGGTTCTACGACTGCTTTCAATTGGACAGGTAACTTTTTTGTTAAAATTTATAAATTATATTTTACTAAATCAGCTGACTACTTTTCGTGTTGTTATTGGGGACAATTTGGATTTCTTGCAGTGATTTTTTCGTAACATAAATGTGATGTGATTGATTACTTTTTAAGGCAAGTTTGAAACATGTGCCTAAAAGCTCTGCAACTGGAAACCAAGATGCCATGTTAGGGTTTTACAAAGAAAAAAAAAGATTAAAAACTAGGTCCTTGAAAGCAAATATTTGTTTCACTTTCAGATTTGAGGGTTATGACTCAGAGGAAGAAGTTGTCAACAGGGCTAGAGAACTCAGACGAACAAACGAGCTGCAAGCAAGTGAGTAATGCTCAAATAGAGTTTGAAATAATGAGCAAAAACTCTGTCATATTATTATGATAAGCTACTTGTGAAGAAATTGATTTTGTCGATCTTTTATTGTTAATTTCTAGTACATAATTTTGTTTTCATTGCAGGTATTGTTTTCCTGGATATGGATAGTGCTAACAACCGTAAGAAGCGGTCTGAGCCAGTGGTGGACTTGCCAAAACACATCAAATACAAGATCAGAATGGACATAGAAAATGTGCCAAGGACGGATAAGCTCAAAACTATGTAAGATATTAGTAACATTTCATGCCACATTTTATTAGTTCATTTATATTTTTCTTTCACTTAAGATGATGTGCACTTTCATCACTTATCTTCTAATGGAAGATTGCATGAATTTAACAGGTGAAAAAAAATCTCCTGCAGGTTTCAACATCTTTCTTCAAAAATGAACTGGAGTCACTCATTCTGGGATATATATTGTCTATTAGCCAAAGAACTAGATTAATTTTTATCCAAGTTCAAATTTGAACTGTTCAATTATAAATTTGGTATAAAATAGTCCTTAAGCCAGATCAGAACATGTTTAGCATTTGGCAATTTTGTACTAAAACAAGGGGCACCATGCAATTTTCTCAAAACCAACATATATAGTTTATATGTAAAATCCTTCGCACTTTTCAGTATATGGATGCCAGGTCCAGAGGCCAACTTTGCCAGTGACATGAGGTACATGCGTGGGTTCGTCCAGATGCAGGACATGATTGACCATGCCATTATTGACCTTCAGGCTGGCCAGAGTGTGACCAAGCCATCTGTGGCAGTCCAGCAGTTCCCCTATCCCTGCTACCACACTGATGAGTAAGTCTTCACATGCAATGGCTGAAATTCCAAATTTGAGTATGATGACAATGATTTAGTGAATTATTTTTTATAATTTTTTGTTATTTTTGATATTGATGAATTGTTGGACTATATGGTTTAATTAAGAAAAAAACAATTTGATTAAAATCATTAGTCTAGAACCATTCTGAAATTATGGTGGAAAGTATTGATGTCTATATATGCATTCCTTTAGACCTATGAAATTACATATTTTATGCAGATATTATGTTGAAGTTGTAATGGTTATTCTTTCCTTATGCTCAGAATAAAATCTTTTTATGTATTGGATTGGGTTGTGATTGCATCTCAAAGTAAGGTTTATTCTGATTGGTTGTTCATCTACAGTGTATTTAACTTTGACCAGTGCTTTTACATGTATCACTGATTTACACTTGCCTCATCAAGAGAGATTCATCAGAGTATAAACAAATGAATAAGGTACTCTCTTTTTAATGAAAAATTTTAAGAAACATATTATATGTAAATTGTTGTCATCAGTTTTGCCTTTCATGTTTGTAAAAGTACACCTTCATTTTCAGCTATAGCAGCTATTTTATTCGTTACCTCCTCCCTGTTGTAATAACCCTGGCATTTGTTGGCTTAATAGCCGTAGCTATCAAATCTGCTACATACGAACGTGAAAAAGGCCTGGACGAGGTAGGGGACTAAGTTTTTAAACATTTTGCTTAATGCTTGATATGCTTATGCTTGCTTTGTATTACATTTCTATTGGCATGCTTTCAGGTTTATGCTATATACTTTGTCATATGGACTCCCTGTTGTTATGTTAACTGCACTAATATGTGCAGCTGCCATGGCAACCAGGAATCTTGTGTATGACAGAGAGCGAGGACTGGATGAGGTATGGTGGTTGATAATATTAGTGGAGTGCCAGCTAGTGCCTTTTCATAGATAACTTTACTTCAAGATCATCCATAGTCTAGTCTTAAACTTTTTGTCTTACTCAATCATTATTGAGATCTAGCAGATATGAAAAAATACATTTTTGAGACAAACACTCCTAGACTTCAGGAACAAATACTCTATATTCATAGAGCTCTTATATATCTAGAAAGTATCCTGTGGACTAGTTTATGGGGATGCAGAAGTTCTCTGAATTACTTGATTTTTTAGTCACATCTGCACTTATATAAGGCTTGGCAAATGTTCCTGACACACAAGGAATATTATGCCATTACTATTTTTGTAACCATTTTATATATCTTACATGTCAACTATTATTCTGTGTGACAATTCCTGCGTGTTTCTTGCTGCACTGTTTGCATTATAAATAATCTCACTGATTTAGTTTGTTACTTCTTTTGATGTATTTGAATTTCAAATTAAAGCAGATGTGTTATAGTATCTGTTGATAATGTTATCTTTTACTAAATATTGTCGTGTCATGGTTTAGAATAACTTAGTGATATGATGTGTTTGCTGAATATGCATTTCTAAGGATTTAATTTCTTTATATTATATGTAAATTGTGTATCATAATTTAATTAAAGTCATTTTTTTTCTTAAAAAAAAATTTATCAAATAATTTTTATTTATTTATTTATTTATTTATTTATTTATTTATTTATTTTTTGTTTTGTTTTGTTTCTTGGGATGTTGTTACTATCTTACTCAAAATTAAGTAAAATCTCCTAATTTGTTTGTAGAAATGTTCATCCAGAATTTATATTAATTTCTATTTTGTCGTCTGCCTCAGGTGATGAAGATCATGGGGATGCGCCCCCTGGTGAGCTGGTTGGGATGGTTCTTCACCACCATGTTCACCATGACTGTCACAGTTGCTCTGATAACTCTGATCCTCAAAGTCAGCAACGTTGTCATCTACAGCGACCCCCTGCTGCTGTTTGTGTTCCTCCTCGTGTTTGCATTCTCTACCGTTATGATGTGGTAAGTTGACATACTCTAATTTCTCTCTTAACTCACTCAAAAATGAAATGAGTATAATGTTTCCTATACCACGATTTTTTTGGCAGTGTGAGAAAGATTTATTGATAAGTCATGAAAATACATATTGAATTCATATGTCAGAATATTATTTATCAGTGACTAAAAGTGATCAAATGTGAAAACTGTGTCTCTCTCTTATCCAGCTACCTGATCAGTTCATTCTTCACAAGAACCAATGTGGCAGCTCTGGTTGGCATCCTTGTCTACCTCATCACCTACTTGCCATATGTGGTGGTGGTTACCATGGAGCAGGAAATGGTGTTCTGGCATAAGATTCTTTCTGTAAGTTCTCTTACTCATTGAAAAGAATAAGTAATATTTTTATATTGGTGTATCTTTTTGACTACATATTGCTTGATTGTGTTTTTATTAAAATGGTTCATACATCTGTAATTTATTTATTTATTGAAATATAAAACCTTTACAGGACATTGATATTATAATAAATACGCCATTATACATAACAATTGAATTCTCCTGTTTTCAGTGTCTGTCATCTACCACATCCTTTGGTTATGCCTGTTCTTACTTGGCAAGATATGAGTTACAAGCTGTTGGCATGAACTGGCAGAATATTGATGAGAGTTTGATACCTGGAGATCAGTTCAACCTAGCTTGGGCCATTTATATGATGTTGATCGACAGCGCCATCTATCTGTTGATTGGGTGGTATGTCAGGCATGTCAAACCAGGTATGAAAAAAATGATTATTTTGGTTGTGAATTAAATTTACAAAGCACTGATGCTGAAATGTCATTTATTTGATTTTAAACCAGTAACCCAGTTGCAAATATTTAACATTTATGTTTTCTTACATGATATTTTATAACAAATACCTGTAAGATATCAGTTTGATTGTAATGTGAAAGTTTAATCAAGCATTTTTCCCTTCCAGGAAAGTTTGGACTCCCACAACCATGGTACTTCCCTGTTTCCCCTTCATACTGGGGCTGCAGGTCCTCTAAGAAGTACAAGTCTGTCAACGGTGTGTATGGCAATGGAAATGCTCTAAATGAGAAACAAGGTAGGAATGGCAGATATATATGTCTCTGGCATGGTTGACCTCCTGATACAGGCAAAACAGTGGTATATTCCTTATTAGATCAGAAGGCTGCTCTTGAATGTCAAAGCTTTTAGAGACAGGGCTTGCACTGATTTGCCTGAATCAGGTGTCCAATGTGACATATATGTATCTAAGACCAGTAGAATCTAATTCAATGCATAAAAATAATGCATGCTAAATTTGGTTTCAGATTCATTAATAAAAAGCCAACGGGATACAGTTGATAACATTTTTGCCTGTTTCTCAATTTGATAACTAGAAAAGCTTTGAGAAAAATAATTAGTTGTTCATTGGCATCATCGAAATCTATCAATTTTTCTTTGTGTTCTCTTCTTGTGTCCAACATCTTTCTCTAGTTTATATTTCACTTCCTTTCTATACTTTTTGTAGCAAATTCCTTCCTTTTTTTGTGTGATTTTAAATCACACATATACTGTTAAATTCAATGATAGTCAATCCAAAGTGGTTGATATTTTTCTCAAAGCAAGATAATGGCTTGTTTTAGTAGCTTGCTTTTATAAATATTCATCATGTGCTTTGCTTTCATTTTTTTTAATTTTCATAATTGTACTATGAAATATATTCTGCCTCATGTAAGGATGTTAAGATTTATGCTTGAAATACAGCTTTAATATTTGTGCTGCTTTTAAGGAAATCATACTTCAATCTGCAAATTGTTGCCCTTCATGAACATTTTTAATTTTGGGGTTTGTTTTGGGAACATCTTGCCACTGCTCCACTTTTGCTACTTTTCTGTGATTACCTGCAGAATGAGATGTTTAGTGTTTAGTGTAAATTTTATATTTTAGCTTCAAATTTTACAGGTAAGTTATAGGTTTTTGTTGATGCAAGTTTTTGGGAAGCAAAATAAAAATCTGCTGTAACCTCTGAGCTTCTATTGGTGGGGTGTTTTCTAAAAATTTTCAGTGTTATGAATTCTTTAGCCTGGCCTGCATTTTAAGTTCATAGCATTTCTGTGTAGTCAATGGGAATCATTTGAGGTAGCCCAAAGTATTCTGACTTAATGTAAAGTCCTGAGATTTTGTGCAGTTTTCAGGAGAGTGGGGTAAAAAATTATGGTTGACAAAATTATGCGAATCCAGTATGATGGCAAATAAAAGCCGACAGAATTTACCCACAATATTATTCTGGACATGTTTTTCTAAAGTTCTGGAGAATTACAGTCTTTTGATCTCTTTTTCATTCAGTACAAATTCATCAAGTTTTGGGTGTCAATTTTATATTGCTTTCAATAAAGACATGCACAGTGTACTGAGTTTCAACCTTATGGCTAAAAAGTTGACACCTCCTCATGGATTCCCGCACAATTTCTAGTCTTCTCAGCTGTCAAATAGTGCCAAAGGCCTTGTTTCAGGCTATCTTTGATGATTCCCATTAATTTAGTCAGTTTGACTTTAACAAATTTCTTCTCTAATTCTTCCTTGTAGAGTTCTCTTCTGGCATTCCTTTGTGTTCAGGTAACAAACTTTTTTATTACCTATATTTTTGTCTATATTCCAATTATTAACATTCTTATCTCTAATTCAACATAATTTGGGAATTTATTATTTTCACCTTTTTGTTTAAAAAACATTTTTTTACATAATGTTAATCCATGTATTTTTTTTTTTTTTTATGTATCAATTATATGTACTTTATTTTAAAAAATAGGCAAGAGGTTGATGTACATGTAATTCATTATAATTGAATCTTAAAATTAAAAAAATGCCCTGTTCATGTAACATATAAAAGTGATTTCTATAGTTTCTTACTGTCTAGCAGCATACCTTTATGTACACCTAGTGCATTTTTTATACTTTTCATCCTTGTGACAGAACAACGTTCATGGTTTCGTAGCAGGAATTCCAATAAGTATATATTGGATCACATTGGTTTGCAAAATCTGCAAAATGGTAAATGTACAGCATATTTGTATATGTGACTCATGCAAAAGCTATGCATTGTGTAGATTTAATTTAGGAGCAGCATGGAAAATTAAAGATATGGACATGAGTTTTCTTGCTGCATTTTGGTTTGACATTGCTTGGAGATTCAAGGTTTAATAGTAAAAGTGGCACAGGGGTATTGTTAACCTTTTTTTTAAATGGCATGTCCATTTGCATGCCAAAAGCAAAATTTTGAAGGGATCTTTAGGGGTGAGGTCACATCCCAAAGATCTGTGTGCATATAGAGTTTTGCTAACATAGAAAAACAAGCTTTGTGCTTTTAGAGTTAAGATGTATGCTGCTAGTTTGAAAGGGTTTGCTGTTTTACAAGGGCACTGGCAAATTATGATATTAAAAGTATAGGTTTTGTTACACAAGAAAATATTCAGCATAAACTAACAGTTGCGTTATGAAATGAATTTGATATATATATTTATGTTTATATATAGAAAGAGAGGCATTCAAATTAAGTTTACTAGAATTGCTTACAGTAACGATATAGAGATTTATAATTAGATGCAATATTAGTGCTTGAAATTTTAGAGATAGCATGGTAACTTTGCTGAGTTATACAATAGAAATATAAAATGGCTACTTAAACAAAAAAACTTCTGACTTATATATTAGCACAAAATGGCTACTAGTTTCCAGTATATACTGCTTGTATTTTGTTTGAGCTGGACAAGGTAGATATGATTTAAAGTGACTTTATGACTGATGGGAGGGTTTTTGGTTAGGGGATTTGATAATAGCATAGTATATATACTTGTAAATAGTTCTGCATACTTACAATATCAGATGACCCGTAGCTGCCAGTGTTAATGGCTCGTAGTTAATATGGTGAGTTTAACTGGTGAGGTGTAGGATGTGCGTCTTTGAAAAAAGAAGTGCCACAAAGACTTCCGTTTGGTAACAGTCCAAATAATGCATGAAACATTTATCAGAATCTTTATGTTACCTACATAATTGTACATTTTATTGCAGTATTGTTAAATTTATAATCTATATGAAAAAAAGTAATATGCCTGTACAGTTTATTAAGTTCATATTGAATTGTGAGAATTTTTGCTTGGTCATGTTAATTTTTAATGTTGCTGTAGTTGTTGTTTTAGTAACAACCTTTCTCACATCATGCCAGAGAGAGCCAATATTCCGGTTCACTTTTTTCACAGTTGTGTCCTGCTTAAAAAGGATATTATATGACCTTATAACCAAAACATGCTTAAGAGTTTACTTAAGTTTGGAATCACAAATAACAATTCATTTGCATTTTCACCTCTTCTGGTTTGAAAATAACTGGTTTAACTCTTCATCCAATTTACCCTGTGACTTACATGTGAAAATGATAAATCACTAAGATTCTGTCCTTTTGAAAGATACCCTGAAGATTATTATAAAATGTTAATGGTAAATGATTTTAGGGATTTTTTACATGCATGAATATATCAAAAAAAAAAAAAGAAAAAATAGTACACTGAAGTTTGTCTATTAATATTTACAAGATGTTATGTACTTTACATGGTTTTATACAACATGGCTAATTGTGAAGTGGTATGAATGTCTTTAACTCTACTCTTCTCCAGATTTCAACAACCCATGGACAGAAATGAACCCGGCCGTCCTCCCAGTGGGGATCTCCATACAGAACCTCACCAAGGTCTACAAGAAGGGCAAGTGCTGTGGTGAGAGTGGCTCACACAGGGCCGTGAATGGACTGTCCATTGACTTCTATCAGGGTCAAATTACTTCATTCCTTGGACACAACGGGGCTGGAAAGACCACCACCATGTAAGCTTTCAGATGGGAGTAGTGGATTGAGAAGAACTGGATGGTTTTGTTATTACGTAGTCTGAAAGGGTTACTGGATAGTGAGAGTTGGTTGATTGCTTGCTTGGTTGATCTGTTGGTTGGGTTTAATGGGGTGGTTTTCTTTTTTTTTTTTATAATTAGTTGGCTGCTTGTTTGGTTGGCTGGTTTGTTGGTTCATTGAGTTGGTTGATTTGTTGATTAATTGGTCAATCTGTAGTTTGGTAGCTTTATTGATCAGTTGAGTGAGTCGGTTGATTTGTAAATTAAATTGTCAGTCTATCATTTTTTTGGTTGTTAGGGTATTTATATATGAATTATATATGATGTATGATTCAACATTTCATATGCATTGCTTTTGTATCTTAGCAACATGTTGACTGGCATGTTCCCTCCCAGTGAAGGCACTGCTGTCATCTATGGTAAGGACATCTACAGTGACTCCTCTGACATCAGGGACAACCTTGGATTCTGTCCTCAGCAAGAAGTGCTTTTTGACTTGTAAGTAAACATAAGGAAGGTTATGTATCTTCATTTGACTGATACAGAACAACTGTGTGTCCACTTCTCACTCTGCAATCATGCCATAGGGTTTGGTCATATGTTGTAGTCAGTCAGTGCATTTTTGTAGGCTTTAAATAATTTAACTTTGGAAAATATTGCATTTGTTGAGTTGAAATTTCTGTAAAATTTAATACATACTGTTTTAACTCAAATTCCCATAAATTCCAGCTTGTCTGTGAAGGAACACCTGGAGTTTTACTGTGGTCTGAAGGGAAAATCTGGCAAGTTTATTGTCAAGGATGAAGTGGATAAGTAAGTGTTATAATGTTTATTCGAAATCACTGCTTTTAATTTTTCTAGTTAGTATATAAGTAATATATATAGCTCATACAAAATTGTTTTAATGTCACAGTAGTGTTCAAAAGAAAATTGGTCCTGATTTAATTGTTATTATTATTATTATTATAACTTAATTTTCAAAGAGTGCTCTGCACTTGACATAGGCCAGTGATCTTAAACAAATCACAGGTGTTTTACTATAGACCTATTTAGATTTATAGTTAAGTATAAGTATACAGATATAGACCTCTGTTTGTGTTTCAGTATGTTGCAAAACATGGGGCTGTGGGCAATGCGTCATGAGCCAGTGTCTCACCTCTCTGGGGGAATGCAGCGCAGACTGTCAGTAGCGATAGCCTTCATCGGGGGCTCTCAGGTGGTCATCTTGGACGAGCCTACCGCCGGTGTGGACCCTAGTGCCAGGAGAGCCATATGGGATGTTATCCTTGAACACAGAAAAGGTAAGATAGTAGCATCACTGTCACTTTGGATTTCTGGATTCATAATTTTGAAAGGGATGCACCTTGAATAGGATAGGCTTCGCTTTCCACAAAACAAATTTTGCATGTTTGTTTGATTATATAGTGCATGTGTATGGGCGTCTGTATTTGCCTGTATATGAACAGGCATGAATCTAATCTTTTACGACCTGGTTTATTGACTTCTGGAAAAGTTTTTTAACATGATATTGTTCATAGTATTTAAAGACTCAAATGACAGTCTGTATCTGTTTTTCTCTATCCCAGATCGCACCATCTTGCTGTCTACACACCACTTGGATGAGGCCGATGTGATCAGTGACAGAATTGCCGTGATACACAAGGTAAAAAATGGGTATTGAAAAATTTGATGGAAAATCAGATTACAATGAGAAATTAAATAGAATTCTGTTATCCAATTGCCATTCAATAAAGAGTGTTTATGACTTGATTAATTGTACCACTGTTTCTTTTATCATTCATGGGCCGCAGGTCTTTAGATGTATGTGAAAATGAAGACTCTTAATAATTTTATTCTCTCTCTCTCTCTCACACACACACACACACACACACACACACACACACACACACACACACACACACACACACACACACATCATTTTTCTTTTTGCTTTTCCAGTAATAGTTACATTTCAGTATAATATCCTGCATGAAAAAATTGCATACTTTTCTTGGGTAATGAAAACATAACCATACTTTGTCTTCTTCAGGGCAAGCTGCTATGCTGTGGTTCCTCCATGTACCTGAAGAAGAACTTTGGCAGTGGTTACATGCTTACCATGTCCAAGATGATGGGAAAACAACCAGTGGATATGGTATTATAGTTTGACTTGAATACTTAAACTGAATTTTTAGAATAACAAAGAAGAGTCATTTAGTAATATTTTCCGAGGAGGATGTTTAGTATTTCCGTAGTGTGTACCACTTGAAACAATGTGTTATAAATAGTTTCATATTTGATTTGTTTTATATTTCCTTTGCTGTTAGTCACCCATCAGATTCATATATCATACTCAGTTTATTTATGCAACTATCATATGCATTGTACATCTTCTGAATTTTGCAGGGAGCATCAGCTGATGGGAGTGAAAAGAAGAAATGTAAGTTGGAAATTAAAGTTTAAAACTCACTGAATTTAAAGTGCTGTTTGCCTTGTTAGTTACATGCTTTCAGTCAATTTCTGCATTTAAACTTTTATACATTGATTCATTTTTTGTTCTTTTGGTAAAATAATTCAAACAGATTTCACTTTGAGAAACTAACATCTCAGCAGTAACTATAGTAACATCCCACCCTTCTATGTCTCAGTATTCTAATCACCTAGTGTTTCACAAAAAATGGAACTTCTACCAATTCTGTCTGCAGCTTCAGCTCTGGTCTCTCCTTAAAAGTTTTCCACCTTGCTTCTACTCTTTCATTCTCCACACTTGTGCAATATTTTTCCTGTTTTCTCTGTCAGTCCATGCCCAGAACTTCAAGACTACTTCAACAGGTCTACACCGCCACAACTCAATATTGTGAAACTTAAATGTATCACTATGGACTATTAACATATCACATTTGTCTCTGTTCCAGCCCTGTGTGACACCAGCAAGGTCATGACCTTCATCCAGCAGTACATCCCTGGTGCCGCCCTGGTGGAGGACTTGGGACAAGAGATGATGGTGGGACTGCCTGTGGGAGAGGGACAACAGAAATGGTTCCACACATTCTTCAAGAAACTGGATGAGAACATGGACCAACTGGGCATTGCAAATTATGGCATCACTGAAGCCACCCTTGAAGAGGTTTGTATGTGCCATTATTTGGATGAATGTGGAAGCTGTTGGTTTCACATGTATATTTTGAAAAAGGTTTTCCATTAAATGTGGTAGATCTTAGATGGAATATATAAGTATGGCTTCAACATTTTTTGACGTGGGTAGTCTTTCTTGATGATAAATTTTGTAGTATATAGAAATATCTATATTGTTAGAACACTGGCTGGTTTTAAACAAATTAATGCAGTAGTTGTTTACATTTATCTGTGCTAAATGATAAACTTCTGATTTTACTCGAAAATTACCAAGTAAATTCTTTTTAAAAATAATTGACGTATTGGCAAGATATAAAATCTTTCAAATAATGTGCTGTAACTTTTATGCTGTAAACTTGCAGGTGTTCCTTAAGATCTGTGGCCAAGCAGATGAGGGAAAACCTTTGGACAGTTCTGAACTGAAGAATAAACGAATCAGGAGAGACAGTGATGCCAGCGCCACCGACAGCGGAATTATCTCTGAGGGAAGTGGATCTGGTGCTAGCAGCGGTAAGTTAATGATGATGATTTATATTAGATGCTATATTTGTTTTGAGTTTTTAACTGATCTGTCACTAGACAGGCAATTTGCTTGCCTGATCTAGTGTTCCTTAGATTTATTTTATTGATACTGGTATCTCTGGCCCCTAGAGAGTGGCTGAGGGGGTGAGAGGGAAGTTACAGGGGACCTTGTTTTATGACTAATGATTTATAGTATGATGTACTAATTTACATCAGCTTTGTAACATGCTGATGAATGTCTGTTATTGCTATAATTTCAATTCTTTTTTTAATATATCCTTAAATGGGCTGTCAGATTGTTAACATTGATATCACAAGACCTATTTTAATCACGGATAACCTTTTCTCATTTTAGAGTGTGGAACCACTGCAACGTCTGGAAAATGGGGAAGCACCAAGACCAAGAAAGGCGCCAGTCTTGGATTTGCTCAGTTTGGTGCTCTACTCAGTAAACGTTTCCACCATGCCAGGCGGGACATCCGAGGCTACATCACCATCCTGGTCTTGCCCTGTATCTTTGTTGCCATGGCGATGGGATTCTCCCTGATACGACCAAGAAATGTGGATCACCCAGACCTGACTCTGGCTCCATCCCTGTACCTGCCCAATAATGTCTTCTTCAAGTATGTGATCTTTATTTTTTTTATGAGTTGATCATGAAATGTAAATAAAAACAAAACGGAAGAAATTAGTTTTACCTACACAATTCTGTTCTAAAAAAAAACATTTATAGCTGGAAATAACTGAGTGTGCACAATAGACAAATTCTGATATACCTCTACATGCCAAGTTCATTTATTTATTTATTTGTTTATTTGAAATAATTTTTTTCACTTTTGCAAATCTAGGAATGAAGCCCCAGGAGATTCTATGACTAGGAGTTTTGTAGAACAGTTGAGTTCTTCTCCAGGAATTGGAACGAGGTGTATGGCAGATGGTGGAATGGGGTAAGTTACCACAGTGTTTGTGTATCTGAAGTCAGTGTGGCTTGTGAACCTTGATATATTATGAGATATTATTATAATTATTGGATATGTTGATTCATTTTTTCAATTAAATAAAGGATAAAATAAAAGTAATTCTTCTACCTTCTGTATATGAGAGTCCAGTAAGAAATAAATTTAAAGTTTTTTTAATTGATCGTTATTACTACTAAATTTTTGCTCTAAATTTTGCTCTAAATTTTTATTTTCATATTTAGAGCAATTATGAACTTAATATATGCTAAAAAGGTTCACAGATTATTTATGTATTTTTATTTTATTTTTCATATTCCAGACCTGGATTCCCATGTATGTCAGTGTCCAGTGAGATAAAGGGAAGTAGTACAGGGAATGGGCTACCTAACTGTACCTGCCCTACCACTGGAGACTACACCAACAAGCGTCAATGCAACTATGACAACTATGTAGAACCTCAGCACTGGGAAACTAACACCACAGAGACAGTGTGGAACCTGAAGGACCGTGATGTGGCCAACTGGATCCTCAATACACATGAGATGTTTGTGGAAAAGAGGTAGGACAGATCTCCCTATTTGTTACTTTATTACTGTAGCCATGAATTTCAGTGTCATTTAGAGATGAGATTCAGAGGGGCATGCCAAGTTGTTATAAATTCAGTTAAATTGGTTGGACAGTGTCTTGTGTGTTGCATCTGCTTGCCAGAAGCTCATAAGTTCAGCATTGTTATAGTAATAATACTCTCAGCAGCAGTGTGGATAAGTGAAGTACTCACATTATGTCAACAATGCATTACTCCACATGGAGTTTTCTTTCCAAAATAATAACGTATAATTTTATTGCGCTTATCTAAATATATATATATATAAATTGTCACTCGGTTGTTAATGAAGTGAAATAAAGTTGTGTTGAATAGATCAACACAACTTTATTTCACTTCATTAAAATTGTGTTTAATAGACCAAATGAAGTAAACATACTTACGTATATCAGGGTTCAGAGTTGTCTACATTTGACTTTCTAGATATGGTGGCTGGAGTTTTGACAGTACCAAAGCCAAGGTTTGGTTTAACAACAAGGGCCACCATGCCCTCCCATCCTTTGTCAATGCCATGAGCAACCTCATCCTCAGGGCAAACATCAATGAAACAGTGCGAGGAGACCAGGCTGATTATGGTTAGTAGAGAAATATATTGAAATAAAAGTCAAATGAGTATGGGGATATAACTGTGTGAAAAATTGAAAATAACTTGTTTTAAAGACGTTAATGTACACCTTGTCCCAAGTGTGTTTTAATCTTCACTTTTTGTCAGATAGTGATTGTCAATTGGGTTTTTCTGTGGCCAAAAGTCAATACATACAATTGCATGTGTGTATAGCTCACCCTGGGTTTCCCAGTCTGAAACCTAACTTCTGTTGTCAGCACCCCATGCACTTTCCAGTTAGTGGTGCTGGAGGAAGTAACATCAGGGTGAATGTATAGATATATTGTATTTGGAGATCATCCTAATAGTGTGACATGTTTTCCAGGAATTACTGTACACAACCATCCTCTGGCCCTGTCTGCACAGCAACTTAGTCAGGAGACACTGTAAGATTTATTTATTTATTTATTTATTTATTTATTTATTTATTTTGGAACCAATGAAAGAAATGCTACCAAATAAACACATTATGTTTTTTTTCTGGATTATAACTTTTAAGCTTTCTTTAAAGATATATTTAGAAATACATTCAGCGATTTACCTGATATCTGCAAGGCATGAATTTTGAATTTATTTCTCAATATGTACACTGTACAAACAATAACTGTAAAATAACTTGCCTTGCAAGATAAACTTTCAGATAGAGATTCATGCACTACGTAGTCGGGTTAATATTTTGCATTGAAAAACCACTGACCCCTTCCCAAATGTCATTCCAGGACCCAAAAGGCTGCCGACACTGGCATAGCTGTCACCATTCTGTGTGCATACAGCTTTATCCCTGCTGCCTTTGTCATCTACCTGATCACGGAGAGACTGAGGAAAGAGAAGCGTCTGCAGTTTGTCAATGGCGTAGGGCCTGGGCTGTACTGGTTTGCTGCCCTGGTCTGGGACTTAGTAAGTGGAGCCAAAAAAAACAACTTGTTTAAAATTTCATTGACCTTAGTTTTAAAATTTCATTGACTTACTTAGTTTTTTTAATGAAATTTTGTTCTCGGTGTTACTTATTTTTCCTCAGTCATGTGAATATCTTGTAAATTGACATGGCTCAGCAGAAACAATCTTAGAAAAAAAATTAGATTTCATTTGGAATTTATTAAAAAGTGTCCAGTGTCCATTTGTATATTTATAATAAAAATCTGACAAATGGAAATAACATATTAATGTTTAAAAACTTGAATACATATAATTGAATGCATATATATATATAGAGAGAGAGACTATTGTAATAAGCATCACAATTTCCAATGTACAACCTAATGTTGATTTATTTATTGTTATTTTAGCTCCAGTACCTGATACCAGTGGGGCTTGGCATAGGCATCATTGCCATATTCCAAATAGACATCTACACAGCCAGACTGAACTTACCAGCGGTGGCCTTGTTGCTGTTCATGTATGGGTGAGTGGAACATTTTATTTTAAAATAATTTTTAATAATTAAATTTATCAAAGTGTTTCTCCTAGTTGTGGTGACAGTGGTTCAACAAGGGATCTTATAATCCATGTATTTATTTTATTGAGATAGGACACAGACTTGGACACAAAAGTTGGCAGAACTCGCCCAAATATTTTTAAAACTACATAATGTATCAATAGGTCATTCTTATTTTAGTGTATTCATTTTCATGTGGTATGGGTTGATCATATGGCTTTGGTCAGTTTTAGTGAGGGAATTAAATTTAAGCAGAGAAAAATAAGGAGTGTGGAATGTTAAGTATGCTATGGTGTCCCCAGTGTATTTATTATTATTATTATTATTATTATTATTATTATTATTATTATTATTCTAGCTGGGCCTGTATCCCAGGCATGTACATGACAGTGAAGATTTTCAAGGACTCGGCTACAGCATACATGGTCCTATTCCTGACCAATATGGGCATAGGAATCCTGACCACTCTCAGCATCTTCCTGCTCTCAAGTCTCTTCTGGATCGAGGTAATCAACTGTTTAATTCAACATTTTTTCTTTCTTTCTCCCTCTCTCTCTCTTTTTTGTAATTGTAGAGTTTTAGGATACACGAAGAAACTGATGTGCCTCACATACCTTGTGTCAGGAGTGTTTGTTGCACGGTTTGAGACATTAACTTTAGGAGTTATTTCATTGTTTCTTTAACCAGTGTCAAATGTCCACAGTTTTGTTTAAAAACTAGACTCACCAGATGATAAGAGTGTGAATTGAATGTTCTTTTCCAAGAAAACAGAGTTTAAGCATTAACTTGATACTCCCATACCAACAAGAAGGAGGTAAACAGTCTCTATATATTTTATCTTTGAAGGGTAAAAGACATGCTTAAATAAAGACTTAAAGATTTAAATATTTATGTTGATTTCAGATTCTCCAAGACGTCATGGTCATTCTGGACAAAGTGTTCCTGATCTTCCCCCAGTACTGTCTGGGAGGTGGACTGGTCAAGCTGACCAGGAACCAGCTTCAGGCCAATGTGTTCAGCATCTTTGGCCAGGACACTTACGTGAACCCATTCTCCTACGAAATGCTGGCCTGGCACTTTGTGGCTCTGGCAATAGAGGGCAGTGTGTTCTTCATCATCACTTTGCTCATAGAGTACAAGTGCTGTGGATCTTGCTGGTTAGCAGTTTTTACTTATCTGTTAGGCAGATAAAAGATTACACAGTTATTTTTCATATATGTAACAAGTGAAAAGATTTTTAGTTTTGAAAATTACTTTAAAACTTGTTTAAGAGAACTTCTGTTTTAGAAGACTTTATAAGTTGACTTATTTCTTCTAAAGACAGCGTTTAAGTATGAATGTGTTTTATAATTGCATATATGTAAGAAAGTGAGGTAAATAATTATTGGACACATACATCATTATATTGATGTATACAAAGGAACTCTGTTCGACCAATACTTATGCATTCCTGAAATACAGGTATATTTTTTTATTTAAGAATAGAGATCTTTGATGACACATTTTGTTGAATTTTTTCTCCAGTATCAGACAGAAGAAGCCTGCACCGGCTGACTACAAGGAAGACGATGATGTGGGAAGAGAGAGACAGAGGGTGATTTCTGGACAAACTGAGTCTGATTTACTGGTGTCTAGTGGATTGTCCAAGGTTGGCTGGCCACTTTATTTGCTTTACTGAATTACTTGGCATAACTCCGTAGAATATAAAATATTTCTCAAGGCATAAATACTAGTATAAGTATTTCTTTGCTACATTTGTAAAAGAAAAGAAAAGAGAAAATCATTGGATAAATTTCAAGATACTGTTACAAGTAGGTTGCAAAGTCATGTAGATATTGTGTTAATAAAAAATAGACACAAAAGCGATGTTGGATATTAGCTAATGTATAGAATTAAGCAAAATTGTAGATAAATGCAGTGCAGATTTGTAGTTTATGGTGTAGTTAGTAAAATATAACTAGATAACTATAAATGGTGTATTTGACAACACTTTGGCTTTAAAAATCTCAAACAGCTGTATCATGTTTTATTGCTTCCACTCTGAATCTTTCCGTTCTTTTTCTTCAGGTTTACGGCAACTGTATGAGACGTTCAGTGATGGCAGTGGACAATGTCACATTTGGTATCCCTAGAGGAGAGGTCAGTAAGAGCTTACAGGGACAACGGCCCCATTACATTTCAATACATTACAACATATAAGATGTGTATTATCCAATTCCTTATGGTATGCTTTAATTCTCCCCACTTCCACCAAAGAAAAAAAAAGATTGAAAGCTACAATATGGAGTCCAAGTACTACGTTCTCATACATAATAGCGTCTTAGTTGTAGTTGAAGATGAAATGTACTTAAGGTGAATAACTGTAAGTAAAATTGGAAAAAATATATATATATATCTTTTTTCTGCAGTGTTTTGGTTTACTTGGAGTGAATGGAGCTGGGAAGACAACAACCTTCAAGATGCTGACTGGAGACACTAAGAGATCTTCTGGATTTGCACTGCTGAATGGCAAGAAGTAAGGAAATCAATATTATGCTGAATCACAGGGGCAAATGCCATACCCAACATTTGTAACTGCTTAAAAGAGCCTGAATAGATTTAACATTGAAATTGGTGCAGAAATATGTCTCTTATACCTATAAATGACTCTTTGAAAAAAAAAACTGTATCTCTTTGTGCTGTGAGCTGCACAGTTTGTATTCTCCACCCTTTCAAGTTGTGAGTAATGTCATCTTTTCACTGTATAATATCTGCTTGTTCCATTCTAGCATTACCAGCGACATGGACAACATGGCCCAGAATGTGGGCTACTGTCCACAAGTGGATGCCCTGGACGACTACCTGACCGGCCGAGAGCTCCTCACTGTGTATGCTAAGATCAAGGGAATACCAGGCAGTGAAATCAAGGCTGTAAGTTTATAGCAACACAATTGATGATCTAACAACCTCTTTTAATTACCAATACTTTTGTTACTAATATCAAATGCTAAGACTCATTAAATGATGATATAAAGATAATTATATATAAGTCTCAGTCATTTTCTTTCTTTAGTTTCATTAAACAATCACAGATGAAAATACAGAGACGTGCACCACAACTCTCAACCATGCATGCAAACATGCACACGCACACGCACACACACACACACACACACATTTTTCACATTTGAGATATTAAATCCATTAGTAATTTATCATTTTTAGTAGCCTCAAATTAAATGATCATATTCATATAAGAGCATTAAATACCTGATTTACTGAATCTCATTGCTCAGGTTGTGGACACAGCCCTGACAAAGCTCCAACTCCAACTTTACGCGGACAAAGCTGTGAAGACCTACAGTGGTGGCACCAAGAGGAAGCTGTCCACAGCAGTGGCACTGCTCGGAGAGCCGGACATTGTCTTCATGGATGAGCCAACCACTGGAATGGATCCTGTGACAAGGAGACTGGTCTGGAACACCATACGCAGGGTACGTATCAACTCAGGCCTCAGTCTGAGCTAAATGTACTAAAACCAGATACTGAAACCAGATATGGAATGGCAGTTCAGGCCTTGGTCTGAACTAAATATACTAAAACCAGATATAGAATGGCAGATCAGGCCTTTGTCAGAACGGATTGTACCTAAACCAGATACTAAAGCCAGAACAAGAAACAAAATGGCATATATGTCAATGACTATATCATACACAAAGAGCATCAAAATTATTTAAAAGTTACTTCAAAATTGTTGAATGGGTTCATGGTTAACATTTCCTCATACCTGTAACGTTTATCTCCCTTATTAGGTTGTGAAGGAGGATCGCTCAGTGTTGCTGACATCCCACAGTATGGCAGAGTGCGACACTCTGTGTACTCGTTTGGCCATCATGGTCAATGGACAGTTTAAGTGTCTGGGCAGTCCTCAACATCTGAAGAGTAAATATGGCACTGGATACATCATGAAGATCCGCGTGGCTTACCAGGATAATGGTCTTCCCGACCTTGGCTCTGTCACTGACTTTGTTCAGGGAACTTTCCCAGGAGTGGCACTCAAGGTAAAGTGGTCATCTGTTGCTTAAGAGTTTGTAGCAGTCTAAGATATTTTTGGTGAAAAGAAAGACTTTCCAGGGAAGTGTCCTGGTTGTTGTAGAAGTCTGCAGTTGTATTGGCATATAAAAGAAATGCTGATCGGTTTAATTTTAAAAGACAGCCTGGTAATTCGATACATGTAGACCATCTTATGTGACCACTTTTTTTTGTTAAATTTTCTCTAAGCTATTCAGGCAAAATGCCTGTTATAAGTATTCCCTTACTGTGTGTTAAGGAGACAGGATGCAGTTAACATGTAAAGCAAGTCATACATCAGGAAGTATCTTTTAAAAAATAATTTTTCAATTTGTCTGTCTTAAAGGGCCAACATGGTAACTTGCTGGAGTTCCACATTCCATCTGAGGTTGCCAAACTGTCGTTCATCTTTGGAATTATTGAGAGTGAGAGGGAGAGACTGTGGATAGAAGATTACTCTCTTTCACAGACAACATTGGACCAGGTAAAGATAACCAAGAGCCATTTATTTTTAGTGAAATTGATTGCTTCTGGATGCTTATATTATTTTGTGAAGAAAAATATGTACATGGTTTTGCGAAGAAAGTGTTTGTCCACTCTTATAATTTTTAGATAATCTTACTTACCCTGTGTTTCCAGGTGTTTATCGGATTTGCTGAGCAGCAGACAGATGGAGTGATCATCGAGGAAGTTGGTGATGAAGAAAATTTGAAGTCCCACATTTACGCAGCCCCGAGAGGCAACCAATCATTTGATAACAAGGCATACGAAGTAGGATTCTACCCTCAGCATGGCGGCAAGGGTGCTTCTCGTTATGGGCAGAATATTCTGCATTCCAGTGAAGGGCAGGTCCCACTTCCACTGGCAGAAGATAAGGAAATGCCAGACAACGCTTACAGCACAAGGTTGTAATAAAACCAGGGGTCATTCTTTGGACTTAGGACTTGCATAGAGGTTACTGAAAACACCTTTAGTGTCAGAAAGTGATTTATGCTCTATGTTTTTATCATAATTTTAATTGAGGACGAATGGTCCAATAGGACTCAATGAATGTGAAATATTAATATGAAGAGATTCATGGGAATGGTTTTTTTTTTAAATATATCATCTTAATGATTGCATTTTAATAGGACTCTTAACAGAAAAGGACTTTAAACATAAAACAATACATGAATTTTCAAGTTGTTATATCGTTGACTTTTACTGGTGATAAGCAAAGCCAAAAGATTGTTTGAATTTTGTAATGTATTGGAACCTAGTGGAGCAATGCCACTGGATTGTATAATAGCACATTCTGAGATTATTGAAATCCACAGTCAATATTTTTATATAATTTGTATTTATTATTAAGGAGATATATATATATTTAAAAAGGACAATTTTTTAGGATTTGTAATTTTCCATTACCTTTGTAGAGCATTGAATAATATGTACATTCCCTTCAAGTAAAACCTGTCAAAATGGTTAATATTGTCAATTTTAAAATAACACATGTATTTTCTATATTTCATTCGTTACCTAGTACTATGAAAGAATAACAAGCTAGAATAAGATTAGAGAAAATGTATAGGGTAATGAGTTACAAATGCTTCTTTTATTTCACACTAAAATTGAAACAACTTTTTTTCTAGTTACTCTACACTCACACACATACAAATAGAAAAAAAAAAAACAAAAGAAAAAAGATTTACTATTGTAATGACTTCCAGTACAAATTAGACGACTTCCTTCCAAGTATATTCTATATAATTTATCTTGATAACATAGATATTGTAGATGACATTAAATTAATGTTTAGTTGCTGTGTGTGATATTTTCACAGATTTTACCAATTTGTCTTTTGCAACTGATCAATGCAATTTGGCGTGATATACCTGACAGTTGGGTAAAATGCCTTTGACATATTTTCTCTCCTTGAGGAGTATATTCCTAGTCTTCTTTGAGCTTTTAGTTAACTTTAAGCTGGTCAGTGTTTACTCAAGAAGAGCATGTGCCATCCGAAGAGATGTTGGTTATGAATTTGACTGCTAGTTGAACTTTGAGTCAGTGTACTTAAATCTTAAATGCTGGAGGAAAAGGACATGCCATTTGTTATCAACACAACAATGCAATTTTAAAATTAATAAAATTATATGCCCCACATCATTGTTATTTATTTATTTATTTATTTACTTACTTACTTATTGAAGTAGCAGTAAATGGACCTGCAGTGTAGGCATTTAAATTGTTTTTCCAATACCACTCAGTGAATTAATAATTAACACATAAAAAGAAGCAAAGTAATATAATTATAAACATATCAGTATAAATATCAGTATTCTCCAGAAATCTTGAAACATGACGTTAAACATTTTGACAACAAAATCTAAGTACTGTGAACATTTGTCTCCAAAAAAAGTTAAAATGCGACAGGGATATTTAGGTTGAAAATTGCTTTTAAACAGTTTAATCTTTATTTACTATCTTGTGAGAATGACTTTGTGTGAATGAGTACATCAGTTACATAACATTAATGTACTTTGCTTCTGAGGTGCCCCCTTTTACTCCTCCATCCCTTAAAATAGTGATGTGATGAGAAAACGGCGTAAGTCAAGTCCATCGCCAGAGGATGAAAAGCGTCACGGCGAGTCATGGTAAGTGTCTGCCTAATTTCATTATATTTCATTATATACTAAGATCTAATAAACGGTATATGGTATATTAGATCTTAGTTATATACAAGCAAAATGTGAATCACGTGCACGCAGTTATATAAAGATAACCGTGTCAACATTGGTGCATGTTTGTGTTGATTTAATTAAATGTACTTCTTTCTTCTTTTAAGATCATGAGGCACTTATACATCTTGTATTGCATATTGCATTTTTAAAGTTCTCTTATTGTGTACAAACTTACAGTGTCTGTTTTAAACTTATTATTTGCATGGGGGACGACATGTATTTGGATGAGGCAGCGGCCAGGAGATCAATTAAAATAGTTAAATGATGACTTTACAGACGCACCTTCCCCTTGCAATTCTGCTCTTTGAACATTATAATCAGTGTGAAACTTCATTTCAGCGCGTTCCGTGGTTCTGCTTAAGCCGAGAGGAAATAAATTAAACGGCTATATCAAAGTTAAAATTATCTTTTAATGAAATAAACACCATTGGAAATAGATTCAAAATTACATTTTATTGATCAGATTGGATTAGACGCTCATAGTTTCCAGCATAACTGGAAATCTCCTGTCCCAATTATAGAAATACCTCATTATCTAAACAGACGTGATGACAGAATCTGGTTGGTACTCGGATATGTTTAATTTCAACCCATCTTGACGCTTTACTGCAAGTGCAAATGTTTTTTTATCGATAATTAAAAGAAAATGTCACACCTCAGGGCTGGGCACTAAGAACTGTCCGACTGTCCGGGACAGGTAGAAGCTTAGTTCAGACTGGTGAAATTACAAGGTGAGTTGTAGGAAATGGCGTTTTGATGAAAAAATACACATTTTTTCTCTTCTGGTGTATTATATCTAAAAGTACTATAAAAATAATGAACCCTATAATGCTATATTTTGAGTGGCGTTTTGGCACATCTCTTATTCTGAAGTTACAATTACGTTTTTCTTTGGCCTTTATGAATTGTCTTAAGCGTGGAACAGTGACCTTGTCCAGAACTAGAATATCTAACAGAAAAAATTAAAATACGTATCTGCCTTTCTGACCTGAGATATTGTAGATGGCAAGTTAGCCTCAAACTAAGCTTTGCCGTACGAAATCAAATTCTTTTCTGTGGCAAAATGAAAAAAAAAATGCTAATCTGGTGAACTCGTCAATTACTAGCACTGTTTGCATGAACGTCGGCAGCTTACAAGCATGTACCTCGGATTCTTGGTACATTCCCCTCTCTTCGACCATGAATCGCAGAAAACGTTCCTGTCAACGCATGGAGCTAGAGTAAGTGAAAATAACATAAATTAAAATTAACAAGTACTTAGATTCCCGAGTTGGATTTTCGAATAAGCTTAAGAAATCAAGTTTGATAATTAACTGCAATAAGACAAAAGATTATTTTGAAGTGACATGGCTATGAATAATAGACAAAAATAGAAAAAAATTACAACATTTTGGTATACCATTATAACAAAAATTCATTTGTGATAGTACCTGACGGAGTTCTCGAGGCGCATTTATTGCACGACTTCGGACAATAAGGAGTCATATACCGAGGGTTACGGGTGCACTCGCCGCGCGCTGCCCACGTAGCGCAATAATTGTTGTAGTCCATACAACTGGTACTGCCTGTAAAAGAAGAAAGATATATAATTATAAAAACGTTGATTTCTTTTAGGCATAACACGGAGAGTCAACTACAAGTTTAGGGGGCTTTTAAAACTTTTTTAGATTAAAAGTTCTTATTTAGTGATTTTTTTCCACACTTGGTTTTGCTGAAATACAAAAATATGGTTTTCGTCTATTTTTTTGATCTACTTAGTTCAAACTCCCCAAAATAAATAAAGTTCTTTATCAAACAAGAAACTATATACCAAAGAAAAGGGTAAATTCTAAATGAATAATTCGCCACGCCAGTGCAGAGAAAAAACTGTTTTCTAAAAATAGGGGTAAGAATATATATAAAACAGGGGCGGATCCAGAGATATTTTCTGACAGTCTTCCAAATTATTTTTGTTAATCCATCCTCCATTTTTGACCGTCTTCCGACAGAATATATTAGATACCCGTCAATGTAAACTTTAAAATCTGACCGTCTTCCGGAAGACCCAGAAGACGGCCTAAATCCGCCCCTGTAAAAAATCCTACCTCCTCCGCCACTGCACAATCGACAAGACTGTCTACAGTTCAGCTGCATATATCTGGGGTTACGCTGGCACTCGCCTCTTCTCGCCCAACCTGCGCAGTTGCTGTTGTAATCTCGACAGTTGTCTGCAATAGAAAAAAAGTTACACTGCAGTTCATATTCATAGCAATAAAGGGTGAATCACATATTTCTTGCTGCAAAGATAAACTAGTGTGCGTCAGTGATTTAAAAACAAGAAGTAAGAAGTCGTTCAATGCTCAATACGAAATATGAAATGCAGGTGCATTAAACTCACTGTTTCCACCCCCGGTTCCGCCTCCAGTTCCACCCCCGGTACCTCCCCCAGTACCGCCTCCAGTCCCGCCTCCGGTTCCACCCCCGGTACCGCCCCCGGTACCACCCCCAGTACCACCTNGCGGCACCAAGAGGAAGCTGTCCACAGCAGTGGCACTGCTCGGAGAGCCGGACATTGTCTTCATGGATGAGCCAACCACTGGAATGGATCCTGTGACAAGGAGACTGGTCTGGAACACCATACGCAGGGTACGTATCAACTCAGGCCTCAGTCTGAGCTAAATGTACTAAAACCAGATACTGAAACCAGATATGGAATGGCAGTTCAGGCCTTGGTCTGAACTAAATATACTAAAACCAGATATAGAATGGCAGATCAGGCCTTTGTCAGAACAGATTGTACCTAAACCAGATACTAAAGCCAGAACAAGAAACAAATGGCATATATGTCAATGAGTATATCATACACAAAGAGCATCAAAATTATTTAAAAGTTACTTCAAAATTGTTGAATGGGTTCATGGTTAATATGCAACATTTCCTCATACCTGTAACGTTTATCTCCCTTATTAGGTTGTGAAGGAGGATCGCTCAGTGTTGCTGACATCCCACAGTATGGCGGAGTGCGACACTCTGTGTACTCGTTTGGCCATCATGGTCAATGGTCAGTTTAAGTGCCTGGGCAGTCCTCAACATCTGAAGAGTAAATATGGCACTGGATACATCATGAAGGTCCGCGTGGCTTACCAGGATAATGGTCTTCCCGACCTTGGCTCTGTCATTGACTTTGTTCAGGGAACTTTCCCAGGAGTGGCACTCAAGGTAAAGTGTTGCTAAAGAGTTTGTAGTAGTCTAAGATATTTTTGGTGAAAAGAAAGACTTTCCAGGGAAGTGTCCTGGTTGTTGTAGAAGTCTGCAATTGTATTGGCATATAAAAGAGATGCTGATTGGTTTAATTTTAAAAGACAGCCTGGTAATTCGATACATGTAGACCATCTTATGTGACCATTTTTTTTTTGTTAAATTTTCTGTAAGCTATTCAGGCAAAAAGCCTGTGATAAGTATTCCCTTACAGTGTGTTAAGGAGACAGGATGCAGTTAACATGTAAAGCAAGTCATACATGAGGAGGTATCTTTTAAAAAATAATTTTTCAATTTGTCTGTCTTAAAGGGCCAACATGGTAACTTGCTGGAGTTCCACATTCCATCTGAGGTTGCCAAACTGTCGTTCATCTTTGGAATTATTGAGAGTGAAAGGGAGAGACTGTGGATAGAAGATTACTCTCTTTCACAGACAACATTGGACCAGGTAAAGATAACCAAAAGCCATTTATTTTTAGTGAAATGGGTTGCTTCTGGATGCTTATATTATTTTGTTATTTTAATTCACAAAATAATATAAGCATCCAGAAGCAACCCATTTTATTTTTAAAAATATCTACATGGTTTTGCGAAGAAAGTGTTTGTACACTGTTATTGTGCACTTGGTGCTTGTAAACAATCTTACTTGCCCTGTATTTCCAGGTGTTTATCGGATTTGCCGAGCAGCAGACAGATGGAGTGATCATCGAGGAAGTTGGTGATGAGGAAAATTTGAAGTCCCACATTTACGCAGCCCCGAGAGGCAACCAATCATTTGATAACAAGGCATACGAAGTAGGATTCTACCCTCAGCATGGCGGCAAGGGTGCTTCTCGTTATGGGCAGAATATTCTGCATTCTAGTGAAGGGCAGGTCCCACTTCCACTGGCAGAAGATAAGGAAATGCCAGACAACGCTTACAGCACAAGGTTGTAATAAAACCAGGGGTCATTCTTTGGACTTAGGACTTGCATAGAGGTTACTGAAAACACCTTTAGTGTCAGAAAGTGATTTATGCTCTATGTTTTTATCATAATTTTAATTGAGGACGAATGGTCCAATAGGACTCAATGAATGTGAAATATTAACATGAAGAGATTCTTGGGAATGGTTTTTTTTAAATATATCATCTAAATGATTGCATTTTAATAGGATTCTTAACAGGAAAGGACTTTAAACATAAAACAATACATGAATTTTCAAGTTGTTATATCGTTGACTTTTACTGGTGATAAGCGAAGCCAAAAGATTGTTTGAATTTGTTAATGTATTGGAACCTAGTGGAGCAATGCCACTGGAATGTATAATAGAACATTCTGAGATTATTGAAATCCACAGTCAATATTTTTATATAATTTGTATTTATTATTAAGGAGATATATATATATTTAAAAAGGACAATTTTTTAGGATTTGTAATTTTCCATTACCTTTGTAGAGCATTGAATAATATGTACATTCCCTTCAAGTAAAACCTGTCAAAATGGTTAATATTGCCAATTTTAAAATAACATATGTATTTTCTATATTTCATTTCTTACCTAGTACTATGAAAGAATAACAAGCTAGAATAAGATTAGAGAAAATGTATAGGGTAATGAGTTACAAATGTTTCTTTTATTTCACACTAAAATTGAAATAACTTTTTTTCTAGTTACTCTACACTCACACACATACAAATAGAAAAAAAAAAAACAAAAGAAAAAAGATTTACTATTTTAATGACTTCCGGTACAAATTAGACGACTTCCTTCCAAGTATATTCTATATAATTTATCTTGATAACATAGATATTGTAGATGACATTAAATTAATGTTTAGTTGCTGTGTGTGATATTTTCACAGATTTTACCAATTTGTCTTTTGCAACTGATCAATGCAATTTGGCGTGATATACCTGACAGTTGGGTAAAATGCCTTTGACATATTTTCTCTCATTGAGGAGTATATTCCTAGTCTTCTTTGAGCTTTTAGTTAACTTTAAGCTGGTCAGTGTTTACTCAAGAGGAGCATGTGCCATCCGAAGAGATGTTGGTTATGAATTTGACTGCTAGTTGAACTTTGAGTCAGTGTACTTAAATCTTAAATGCTGGAGGAAAAGGACATGCCATTTGTTATCAACACAACAATGCAATTTTAATATGAATAAAATTATATGCCCCACATCATTGTTATTTATTTATTTATTTATTTATTTATTTATTTATTTATTTACTTGCTAATTGAAGTAGCAGTACATGGACCTGCAGTGTAGGCATTTAAATTGTTTTTCCAATACCACTCAATGAAGTAATAATTAACACATAAAAAGAATTGAAATAATAGATAAATATATCAGTACAAATATCAGTATTCTCCAGAAATTTTGAAACATGACGTTAAACATTTCGACAACAAAATCTAAGTACTGTGAACATTTGTCTCCAAAAAAGTCAAAATGCGACAGGGATATTTAGGTTGAAGATTGCTTTTAAACAGTTTAATCTTTATTTACTATCTTGTAAGAATGATTTTGTGTGAATGAGTGCATCAGTTTTATAACATAAATACACTCCTTTGCTTCTGAGGTGGCCCCTTTTAATTTTCTATCCCTTAAAATAATGATGTGATGAGAAAACGGCCTATATCACGTCCATCGCCAGGGGGTGAAAAGCGTCACGGCAAGACATGATAAGTGCCTGTTTCATTTCATTATATCCATGCTAAATGTGAACCACCGTGCACGTGGTAATATTGAGAAAACATTGCCGGAATCGGTGCACGAAGGTGCTGATTTATTTAAATGTTCTTCCCTCTTTGAAGACCATGCGGCACTTATAAATATTGTATTGCATATTGCATTTTTTAAGGTCTCTTATTGTGTACAGACTTATCGCGTCTGTTTTAATATTAATATTTGCATTGGGGGACGACATGTATTTGGACGAGGCAGTGACCACACGAGGAGATCAATTAAAATAGTTAAATGATGACTTTACAGACGCACCTTCCCCTTGCAATTCTGCTCTTTAAACATTATAATCAGTGTGAAACTTCATTTCAGCGCGTTCCGTGGTTCTGCTTAAGCCGAGAGGAAATAAATTAAACGGCTATATCAAAGTTAAAATTATCTTGTAATGAAATAAACACCATTGGAAATAGATTCAAAATTACATTTTATTGATCAGATTGGATTAGACGCTCATAGTTTCCAGTATAACTGGAAATCTCCTGCCCCAATTATCGAAATACCTCATTATCTAAATAGACGTGATAACAGAATCTGGTTGGTACTTGATGTGTTTGACACTTTATTGCAAGTGCAAATGTTTTTTATCTATAATTAAAAGATAATGTCACACCTCAGGGCTCGACACTATAGACTATCCGACTGTCCGACTCCCTGGGACAGGGAGTAGTGCAGTTCGGACAGGTGAAATTGCAGGGTGGGTTGTCGGAAATGGCGTTTTGATGAAAAAAATACTTTTTTCTCTCCTTGTGTATAATATCTAAAACTACTACAAAAATAATGAACCCTATATTTTGAGTTGCATATTGGCACATCTCTTATTCTGAAGTTACAGCTACATTTTTCTTTGGCCTTTATGAATTGTCTTAAGCGTGGAACAGTGAACTGATCCAGAACAAAATATCTAAATGAAAAATTAAAATACGTATCTGCCTCTCTGACCTGAGATATTGCAGTTGGCAAGTTAGCCTCAAACTAAGCTTAACCGTACGAAATCAAATTCTTTTTTGTGGCAAAATGAAAAAAAAAACTAATCTGGCGAACTCGTCAATTACTAGCACTGTTTACATGAACGTCGGCAGCTTACAAGCATGTACCTCGGATTCTTGGTACATTCCCCTCTCCTCGACCATGAAGCGCAGAAAACGTTCCTGTCAACGCATGGAGCTAGAGTGAGTGAAAATAACATAAATTAAAATTAACAAGTACTTAGATTCCCAGGGTTGGATTTTCAAATGTGATAATGGCGAAAAATTAATTTTGATAATTAACCGCAATAAGACAAAAGCTTATTTTGAAGTGACATAGCTATGAATAATAGACAAAAACGTTTTACAAAAAGTATAACATTTTGGTATACCCTTATAACACAAAATCATTTGTGACAGTACCTGACGGAGTTCTCGAGGCGCATTTATTGCACGACTTGGGACAATAGGGAGTCATATACCGAGGGTTACGGGTGCACTCGCCGCGCGCTGCCCACGTAGCGCAATAATTGTTGTAGTCCATACAACTGGTACTGCCTGGAATGTAAAAGAAGAAAGATATATAATTATAAAAACGTTGATTTCTTTTAGGCATAACACGGAGAGTCAAACACAAGTTTAGGGGGCTTTTAAAACTTTTTTTAGATTAAAAGTTCTTATTTAGTGATTTTTTCCACACTTGGTTTTGCTGAAATACAAAAATATGGTTTTCATCAATTTTCTTGATCTACTTAGTTCAAACTCCCCAAAATAAATAAAGTTCTTTATCAAACAAGAAACTATATACCAAAGAAAAGGGTAAACTCTAAATGAATAATTCACCACGCCAGTGCAGAGAAAAAAATGTTTTCTAAAAATAGGAGTAAGAATATATATGTCATATCTAGTCCCATGCATAAAAAGCCCAGACCTCATGCTTATTACGCCCTGGCTGGGCCCATTCTTTATGGTGTCTTTAAGAATCCTACCTCCTCCGCCACTGCACAATCGACAAGACTGTCTACAGTTCAGCTGCATATATCTGGGGTTACGCTGGCACTCGCCTCTTCTCGCCCAACCTGCGCAGTTGCTGTTGTAATCTCGACAGTTGTCTGCAATAGAAAAAAGTTACACTGCAGTTCATATTCATAGCAATAAAGGGTGAATCACATATTTCTTGCTGCAAAGATAAACTGGTCTGCGTCAGTGATTTAAAAACAAGAAGTAAGAAGTCGTTCAATACTCAATACGAAATATGAAATGTAGGTGCATTAAACTCACTGTTTCCACCCCCGGTTCCGCCTCCAGTTCCGCCCCCGGTACCTCCCCCGGTACCGCCTCCAGTCCCGCCTCCGGTTCCACCTCCGGTACCACCCCCGGTACCACCCCCAGTACCACCTCCAGTCCCGCCCCCAGTGCCCCCTCCGGTACTGCAGGGTTGCACGGGGATGCCCCTTCTAGTTCCTGGACACATACAACGGCAACTCTTGTCCACGAAGCCCGGGGAGGGGCATCTGGGTTTGTTGGTGCAGCGACCTGAGATTTAAAAAATCAGACTCGAGTGAATAGTGTTTCTTACATGTTGAGTAGTGTGTGCTGGTTTTGAATTGTCCAAAAATTCACCTTATAAAATAATTAATTCAATTTACAATAAACAATGTTTAAAAAAAATACCAGTAGTAACAAATGACTTGAGCTCAATGCAAAACGTGTTTATAAAACGATGAAACTCACTATCGCAACTGTACATGGCGTTGGCTAATTTGACATCACCGAAACTGTGTCCAAATCTGTTTCCAATCGTATTCTGCTTTGATCGATCCTTGGTAATAATGGTGGGACGCCCGTTGGTAGAAAAGGCCTGAAAAAATAAATTGTCGTTGTGATTGTTTATTTATGAATTATAATATTGATTGTTTGTTAAAAATTCATTTATATATTTATAATGCATAAAACTCATAGAAAACCAACGAATGAACTCAAAATCCAGAGAAAAGAACGAGAGGAAAAGACAAAAAATACCCTAAAACTTACATATTGACCATAGTGCATGACGCTGTCGTAGTCATACGGAACGCCGTGTGTGTTGGTAACAGACTGTGGATATCTCTCAAAATTATAATAAAGATGTCCCGGAATGTTTCGCCTGACGATGGTGACGTAGTTATCCCTGTCGTATCTCGTCTGCTCGTGGTTGAAGCCTATCGCGTGACCTAATTCGTGGATGACGATTCCTTTCTAAAAGATATAATGAGTAAGAATAAGAAAAGGGGACAACAGAAACCTAAAACGTGCTGAGGGAAAGGAGAGATTTCTTTACATATATATATTAAACAGCGTCACCTTGTTCACCATGGATTTGCAACAAAAATAGGCGATTGCTTTAGAGCAACACAAAACCAAAAACTTCTACTCAAGGTAAATTTGGGTAATTTCTAAAGACTTTGTAGAGGTGGACAAAGATAAAGAAAATAATGGTAAATGAGATGAAAATGCCATTAAGTGGAAGAATTGGATGAATGCGAGGTTGAAGAACGATTTTTAAAACTTACCGATCTGCATCCTCGAGCCAAGCTAACTGGCTGACGGCCTCGACCTAACATCCCAACGAAAGACGAACACCTAGAAATGCAACGACAAAAAATCATCAAATGTCTTCATCTAAGAGCAAAAGGACCCTTTCATAAGTGTGCAATATGCACAAATCTACATGTAGTTTCGTTAATTATAGAAAGTTTATTCAATCGCAATCCCAAATTCAACATGGTATTTTGGTAAGAAGTGTTTCTTTCTTACCCTCCTCCATTTTGCAGGTGGACGTAATTTCTTTCGTTTCTTCTCGGTCGGAATTGGATACAAGTGTAGGTGTTCCATTCGTTGAAGGCCTGCTGTATGACCCTGCGATCTGAGGCAGCTGTAAACACAGATCGATAAAGAAGTATTTTCTCATTGTCAGTGTAATGCACGGTATAGGCTACGTTTATTTTTCATGCGACTTTAGAACTGCTGCTGTGCACGTACATATGTGAGTGATTCCGCCGGCTCGAACGACTTTTGTGTGTATGTGCGAGTTTGTGCACTCGTTCCTTTGTATGTTTACCAAATTTCACGAGTTAATAGCAATAGCAGCTTTCTTTTTATTTAAACTCTACTTACTCATCACCGACGAGATGGTGTACGGGACAATATTATTTGTCCATCGCCGTCTTAAATCTCGTATTCCTTTCCTCTTCTTTCGCCTACGTTCCTCCCCATAATTACCATCCTTATCTGGGGGGCTTTAGATCAAATAGAAAAGCGCTTTTATTAACCAATAAGATATGGTGCTAGTCTTTGTCTATATTTTTAAACTTACACTAATTTTTTATCAGAAAAGGGGAAATGATTCATAAATTATCAAGGTTCTGCGTTTCTTGTCATACTGAATTTTGAAATATCACCATCCGTTTCATAACCGCAACTTTCCTTCTAAAATTTTAAAAGCGAACTATTTAAATTTCTTTTTTTTTATTATTTTCATATAACTCCTGATTGGCCTCTAATACTCACCCAAACTCCTCTTCCCTGGCTCTTGCGAGAGCGAGATAGTCCTCTTTAAGCTCTAAAATGTCTAGTTCGCGGAGAACGACGCTGTCATCTTGAAAGAGCTCTAAAGATCTGCCTGGATAGATATGAGAACTAAATGATTATTAAGGGGTTTTTTTTCAGATAACAGGCTAAAACCCTGATACATATATGTGTGTTCTAAGATTTAGAATTCACTGCTAAAAACCACAATTTTAATAAGTTTTTGTCTTAAGAAAAGTATGTACTTATTAGATGGCCTTGAATACGTCTTTGTAAATCGTGAAAGTGTTTTTCGTCTGTACAATATTCAAGACTGTTTTTCTCTAACGAATAATTATTGAAATAGCCTACACCAAGTATTTTAAGTTCAAAACCAACAAGTGTATGGGAAGGTAATACATTACGCAATTCTACGTTTCAAGACCGCAAGCCAAAATCTTTTACATGTTCGCAGGTGCAGGATTATAATGATAATGAAAAGTTATGTTGATATTTACTTTCCCTTGCAGCGCCGTTGATTATTTCATCTATCGTTTCTGCATGCGACACTTCTAATACCTGAAATATTATGTAATAGTACATTAAAACAAGCGCCTTGGGCAAAATACGAAAAGTTAAAATCGTAATAACTAAACACCACATTACATAGCCTTTTTTTAACACGTAAGATAGAAAGTAAAAAAAAGTATGCACCAAGGCATTGATACGAAACTAAACATGAGCGGTCACTCACCCAAACTGCACAGACTGCTGCTGCCAGTGCTGCGGTGGCAAACCGCGGCGATAACTGTACGTTTCTCATACTTCTTTAACTTCTGTTACAACTTGCCCGTTTTGGTTTCTCTTTTATACAGCTGGAGGCTACGTGCAATTGCACGGTCCACTTTATCTAAACTTCCCCATTTCCGGGTTATTCGGTTCACGGGTTATTTAGCTTCATCATCGAAGGGCCGTCTGCAAGCTGTGTAGAAATTAAAACAATCTGGTATTTTTACTAAACCAGATTCATGACGTGACTGTTTTTTCACGCAAGTGCCTTAGACCATTGGGATGAACATGCAGTTTTTAAGTCAATTATTCTTATATCGTCCTTGGTCATCAGTTTAGTCATACAGGTAGAACTCAGGTAAGGGGGACATTAACAAATCTCTAGACTGACCCTAACCTTGTATGGCTCGTGGACAATACCTGAGTCATTGTTGTGGACATTTGAGAACGAGGTCAGCCAGCGGAGTTGAGCAAGTAAAATAATTCTATGTGGGGACTCCTTAGACAAAGTTTTTAAAATCATTGTCTTTTTTATACGAAAGATAAAAGTTCATTGTTTGCGAGACATGGTAATCTGGGCCTCGAGTGTCCACAATTGTGGGAGGAAAATTTTATGCAATAGCAATAATATAATAAAGCCACATTAAGATTTCATCACCTATCGGATATTAAATGCTCATTAGTCACTGATCTAGGTGCGGATGTACAAATTGCGATTCATTACAATTACTTTTTGCAACTCACAATTCATAACCCACGTGTCACGTATTGCCAAATCCCTAATTGTGTAATCATCATGATTAACACACTATTCAGTCATTTGGAAAATCCCATTTTTAAAATTTTTACTACCATAAAATCGCCTTGTCGTTCAACCTGTCGATCTTTCTACTTTCGTTCATTCTCCTTTCTCTAGATCTCATTTTCTCTTTTGTTCTTTTCCTATTCTATTCTATTCTTCAGTTCTGGTTGTACACACAGAGTGGTATGAATTTTACTCGAGTAGAAAATAACTCAAGGTTCAACGTGTTCTGGGCTTTATTGTGCAACCCCACCACTCGCCGAAATCTTTGAAATTCAGCAAACACCAGCTAGGGCTCTCTGTTGTTGGATGTAACTTAACAAAGCTTTTAACCTGCTTTGGCTTCTAACCACATTTATTTCGCATCTACAATGTTTTGCTTTTCGAACAAGTAAATAAACTCCCATGTTATAATAGGTCTTGCATAAATATTACCGCCTGGTGCACAGGCAAACACACGCCTACAAACAACGTGCTGTTATGTTGATAAAGCTACAGCAGCGTTTACTATGACGTCAATCCGGGACCAGGCAAGCGGAGGACTTAGAACACAAACTAACAAAATGCAAAAAAGTATTGCACGGAGCTGTGAATTGTGCATTGTGATTTTTTTTTTTTTTTTTTTTGGGGGGGGGGGGACAATAGGGAGTCATATACCGAGGTTTACGGGTGCACTCGCCGCGCGCTGCCCACGTAGCGCAATAATTGTTGTAGTCCACACAACTGGTACTGCCTGGAATATAAAAGAAGAAAGATATATAATTATAAAACGTTGATTTCTTTTAGGCATAACATGGAGAGTCAATTAGACACTATTTTCCTGGTGATTCAAATCCAAACTCGAGAAAAATATGTACCATTTGCACAGCCAATCTGGAGAGGGTCAGAAATAAAGCTCCATATATGGAGATTACTGAGTTAGCCCGCAGAGTTGGAGGCACTGGAAATGATTATCATTGTCAAAACTACATTATTACGGTTAAGTTTGTCGAGATTGTGATTTTATCGGAATAAAAATATCACTAATCTTATGAATTGTCAATCCAGAATTTTTAATGATTTTAATGGAAGCGGTGTTATTTATATATCTATTCATTATAATTTACATGTGTCATTTTCAAAGGCTATAAGTGATTGAAGAGTTTAAAAGAATGGATTCGAATTTTCAATTTTAGACCATTAGCAGATATTTGCAATTTAATAATTTTCATAAATATGATTCTAAGCGCTATTAACTGTGCTTTTTTAGATCTTATATAAAACAATATGACCGATTACAAAGCCAGTCTTTTATTCTGTTATTTAATACTAAATGAGAAACTAACACCAACTATTTTCAAAATCTGTTCGTGATTGCCCGTGAAAATGACATTGTTTATATTCCCCCCGTTCTCCTTGGTGAAAAAAAAAAATTAACAACACAATCAAACCTTGCAGGCACAGATTTCTTTATTCCGGAAAACTAATAATGCCTCCAAATAAATTTTAATGGCAATTTTTTTCCACACAAAAATCCATATGATTCTTGTACGTACAGGGTGTCCAGTAAAGGAGGGGGCTAAATAATTACCCATCCATTCTCTTGGGTACGAGTGCACTATAACCCGCCTACCACAATGTACATGTAGCCTTTTTTCTCGTGATCACGTATAGTGCGCCCACACCAAAATCTGTGTCATGTATAGCAAAATCAGAAGTCAACTATTACGCCTACGACCCACGCGGAACATTGTGTATGGTGCCTTAAAAGGACATTGGCGAAGAATGGATCCAGGACGTATACTGAACACTAAAAGCGACAATGTAAGAAAATAATATTAAATCACTCCTTTTATTGCGAGTCGGTGGTCCTTTGTTACTTTGGTGGTCTTGATCACGCTGTTGTGTCCGAGATTTGAAGATAGATAAAGAGAAAGCAGTCACAAAACTACTGTACGAGTACTGATCTGTACTGACAGAGAGATTATATTTACATGATTAATGGCATATTTTACGTCGTTTTTATCAATGTCCATTATAATATGCCATTATAACGGTTCTGCCCCCTAAAGAAGTGCACACTGTCACTGTTCTCTCTCTCTCTCTCTCTCAGACTGTTTTCTCTCTCTCTCTCTCCCTTTCACAAATAAAACCTTTGTCTTGCCCCTAACTTCTTTCGGAGGGTCTTTTCGTATTTTTTTATTAAGTTCTGCACATTAGCAATTCTTTAGGATAACAGCGAAGAACTGAAATATTAAACACAAAATAATGATATTATTTACGCTCATGTACATTGGACAATTGTCTGCGGCGTCATGCTAAAGCACCAGGGCGACAGATTGATTTTTCACAGATATTCACAGATATGTCTCTAGACAAATAGACAGTCATTTGGCTCTCTGTCAGAAAAAAAAGTTTTTTTTTCCATTTTCCTCCATATAATCTGCCACTCTAGTAGAGGGTACTAAAGCGCGGTCTGGCGGTATCTATGACATGCAACACCCTTTGTTCTCGCCTCTGTGACGTCATACTAAACCATCCACTTAATCTAGCAGCAACAGTAAACTTGTGTGACACTCTGCAAAGAGCACGCCACTCGACATCTCTTTGAAAAAATTTTCAAGCTATTCCTGGATAATTGTTTTTACCACTGAAAACGTTTTACACAGGTAAGTTGCATATGATAGCCTTCATTGAATTAATTGGTATTGACTTAAGGTTTCTTGAGAAAATTACAGTAGAGACACAATGTATGCCTCATATAATAATTCAATCATAGCTTTCATTCAGAGACATATGTTTTAAGAAAAAACATTTTTTTATCAATTAAAAGGTTTCAGTTTGGTAAGGATAGTATTTGTTAGGGATAATTATTGATAATTACCATTTAACCGATATTTTCCAAAAAGATTGTGCAATTATGTTTTTAACATTTAGATACTATACAGAGACATGCAAAGCAAAGATAGCTTTGTAGTGATTCCTTGCAATAACAGCTGAAATATTAAACGCAAAATAATGGTATTATTTATCCTCATGCACAATGGACAAGTAACTGTGACGTCATAGCAATGCCGCTGGGCTCTGGCGGTATTTATGACATCATAAAACACTCGCTATGTTCTCGCCTCTGTGACGTCATACTAAAGCATCTACTGAATCTAGCAACAGCAGTAAACCTGTGTAATACTCTTCAAAAGAACACGCCCTTCAACATATCTTTGTATTTTTTAAAATCATAACAATGGATCATTGTTCTACCACCGAAAACGTTACACAGAGGTAAGTCACATATTATAGCTTGCATTGAATTTGTATTGACTTAATTTTTCTTGAGAAAATTACAGTTGAGATTCAATTTATGCCTCATACAATACTGTAAGTATACATGTAGCTGTTATTCAGAGTCAGATGTTCCATGAAAAAAAACATTCTCTCTTTTCTAAATTGTAAGATTTCAGTTTTGAAAGAAAGGTATTGGATGTAGAAAATTATTGATAATTACCATTTTTGCCAATATTTCCGATAGATTATATTTTAACACATTTATATATTATACAGAGAAATGCAAGGGAATTAGGGAATTAGGTAGATTTGTATTACCTGTTGATGCACAATTAAAAATCTTTTAGAAAACATAGTTCCCACTGAGGTGATTGATGCCAATCGCCAATAATGCGAGATATAGGCTTATACATCTAAAAAAAAAAAAAAAAAAAAAAAAAAAAGAAAGAAAGAAAGAAAGAAAAGACCAGAGTTGAAGAAGTTTGGATGTAGGTTCCTATCTGAGAAGTAAACTCCTGGTATAATTCAAGAAATCCGACCAAAAGAGTTGCAGAGACAATAATGGTTCAAATACCATTTTACCGATATTTTCGATATTGTGTAATTTAATTATGTTTTTAACATTTAGATATCATACAGAGACATGCAAAGCAAAGATAGCTTTGTAGTGATTCCTTGCAATAAGAGCTGAAATATTAAAAGCAAAATAATGATATTATTTATCCTCATGCACAATGGACAAGTAACCGTGACGTCATAGCAATGCCGCTGGGCTCTGGCGGTATTTATGACATCATAAAACACTCGCTATGTTCTCGCCTCTGTGACGTCATACTAAAGCATCTACTGAATCTAGCAACAGCAGTAAACCTGTAAGTGTGTTACTCTGCAAAAGATCACGCTATTCGAAATATCTTTGATTTTTAAAAAATCATAACACTCCTGGATCATTGGTTTACATACACCACCGAACACTTTATGGAGAGGTAAGTCACATTTGATAGCCTTCATTGAATTTTTATGGAGTTAAGTTTTCTTGAGAAAATTACAGTTGAGAAACAATGTTTGCCTCATACAAAACTGCAATCATAGCTTTTATTTATTTATTTTTTTACCTAGCTTTGTATTACATCTTGGATTCACATTTAAAAGTCTTTTAAAAAACATAGTTCTCAGTGAGGCGAATGATGCCAATATATAGGCCTAAACATTCAAATGAAAAAATAAAAAAAAGGAAAGAAACGACCAGAGTTGAAGAAGTTTGGATATAGGCCCCTGTCTGAGAAGTGAACACCTGGTATAATTCAAGAATATCCGA